CCATCAGTACCTGTAGCCACTGCAGCTTCTCCTGTGGTACCTGCAGCCACTCCGCTGGTACCTGAAGCCACTGGAGGTGTTCCTGTGGTACTCGTAGCCACTCCAGTTGTATTTGACGTCACGGTATTAATACTCCCTGGCACAGCATCTGTAGTTGTAGTCTCAGTATCCATAGAGTCGCACAGGTGTGTGTGTGTTTGCGGCACGTCATCAGAATAGTCACATTCAGGACTTTGTTCGAGAATTTTGGGAAAAACAGGATCCAATTCTTGATCGGATGCTGCGGTGCCGCTTGCATCGACAGCAGAAGGTAGGTCGTACGAAGAAATCGATAACTGAGAAAGTGGGTCAATCCATTGACCTTCACGACCCACGAACGGTGCAACCCCGTCCTTGATGATCTCCTCAAACTTGTCCAACGCTGCCAGCATCTCATTGAAGACTGCTGTACCATTACGGCTCAGAATGTCAGCGATCTGAGTACCGCGTCGACAAGCCGTACTGAATTTGGTGGTGCCATTGAGAACCTTGTGTTTGTTTGACACCATCATCGACTCACGGATTTGGAAGGACTTGCGTGCGATCTGATCTTGGGGGGCGTCTTCCTCTTCAGCAGGTTGATTCAGCTTACACGACAATCTCCATCGCTGGGCAATGTGCCGAATCGGAATTACATTCTTACCATTGCTCAGTCTCCAGTACATGACGTGACGACAAGGAAGAAGCGTGGTAAGCATGAAAACGCAAGAGCAGCGATATACCTATCATTCGTACCAATACAAAGACAATTAGTCAATAATTAAGATAAATATTGCTAGCATCAACTATAAAACTTACCGACGTATCGACATGATAGGCTTTATTGTCGCTGCCGCACGATACGGTGAACATGTTGGGCGTCACTTCGGTGACCTCGTAGTGGGTAGCTCGGTCCTTTGCAATCCAGTACTGTTGCTCAATCTGACGGTAGGCGTGTTGGCTCACCTCCTGTGAAAGTCGCTCCAGCTCTTTATCCGCGCCCTGATATCGCATGTAACCCACCGCTGTCATATTTTTACTGTATTCCATCTCTGCAACAGCCTGCAGAAATATCAGTGTATCCACACATTCGTCAAGAGGCATCTCAGGTTTCAGGATTTCCTTAAGATGCCCCCACGATGCCTCCAAGCTATCGCATAACACACAAACGTTAGCGTCAAATTAAATGCAGAAGCCTTAACTCCAAAAATTCTTACCGGTTATTTGTGTGATTTCCAAGATGCGGTACGTCTGAACGGGCGTAGAGAGCCCAACGCTCCTTCTGTTGGTCCCAATTCTTCATAAAATAACGGAGAAACGGGTGCTTTGGGTCTGGGATCGCGTCCGTAGAGCGTAACTGAACGTTATCCAAGAGGAAATACAGGTACTTGAGATACCTTGTGTAATCTTCACTTGTGGTTGCTGTTCTCATCATATCCACTGCGTCTTCTACTTGATCCATGTCGAAGCTGCTTGGCCCTCCGTACTCACTCTTTGACATCTCCGACCGGATGTATTTCTTGAGATGGAAGTGACAGAGAATCACTTTAACGTTTGGAAAGTGCGCCTCCAAAAGACTCAGCTCACCCATATCTTTGTCGATCACGATGACACGAATCTTCTCCCACGACGGATTTGAAAACTTGAAAGATTCGATCGCATCGGTAAGACACTCCGCACTCTCATTTTCCATAAGGCTGTGCTGCACATACTGACCCTAGGCACGCAAACGGTAACATTAGTACCTTTCGGTACCTACAGGTACATCTGAGGGTAACTCTTGTACATTACGTGTCTATAGTCACCAACAGGTACCGCTAGACACGTAGACTTACATGGCCGTACACATCATGTATCATGAACGAGAATAGCTTGTACCTCGAGTCGTTCGTGTTGTGCGTCGCGTCGATCAACAGCACCTCCGGAAAAGCCTTGAACCAGCGACGCATCTGGCGCGTCTGCAGCGTGATTGTCTGCGCCAAAGATTCGTCATCAACAAACACAGAAGCTCGGTTACCCCGCCGTCCACAAAATTCCCGCATTAGAGATTCAAGTCGCTGCTCTACGGTTCTGGAACCGCACCGCTTCTCTCTCATTCTGGCAACCATGTTGTGGACGTCACGGAGCGTCACGCTCTGACCTATAAACGGATTCATCAGAAATAGAAGCTAAAGCAAGACGAAAGTCATGTATACGTACCCGTCTTCTCGCGCAGAAACTGCATGATCCGCTTGGGTTTCGAACCCGACGTCCACGAACGCAAGTAGCATTGGATCCTCGACACGCCGCATTGACGAATGGTTCTCGTACACAGCTCGGTCGACGCGATGATTATGGCTGATGCTGTAGCCAGTAACGCGCACCATGAATTTCTGCTTATCTCTGCTCCACGTCACAGCAGCCTTGATATCCGCCTTGCACTCAGTCGATTTGCCGAAGTAGCTCTTTCGTTGACCAGTACTGCGACTTTTTCGACGCCATCCGTGCGTGCAGATAAGCTTCATCCAATAGGTTTTGAATTCATCTGGGATAAGCGAGGGCGGTGAATCGGACGTCTCTCCCGATGTGTTGTCAGCAATAGCTCTGATCTCCGTGCTACGACGGGCCACCGACGTCGAACTACGGAGTCGAAAGAGCTGGTGTGTCCTCTCCTGATACTCGCCCATGTAGCTGTTGAATGCGTCCCAGTTTTCATGCCATTCCTGGTCGATTGGTGAGGCCTCCCACACGCTGGCGGATGGCACGTGCGCCTCTGGTTCGCTTTCACTCATAGACCGTCTCCTGTGCGGTTACAATATCTCTTAGCAACAATAACAACCAACACAAGCGCAATAACTTAACGTACACAAATAGCGACCCAAGGTCGACTTGAGGCCTAGACGCGCGAAAATCCAAATGAGCGGCTCCAAATGAGCGGCTCTGAACGTTTTGCGGAGGGACCTAAAGGGGGGGTGTCTGATTTCAGATTTTCGAAACTTTGAAATATCTGGTAATATATCAAGGTAATTTACCGATTGGGTACCGTAAAAGTCCTTTTAGGTGCGATCTCACTCAGTGCTCTAAAAAAAAAAAGGCATACTACCTCCGCTCGGAAAAAGATAACCATTTGTTTTTTTTTGCGCAGCGCTCCGCCTCGTTCATTTGAGCGTTTATTAATTTGTGAGAGGCTGGCTATGACTGAGAGCTGACAGTGAGAAACTAAGCAAGGCACAGGCGTTCATGCTCCGCCGTGCAACTACAGATACAAAAACGGATCTAAGACGGCAACTACATCGCCACATTCTGAAGGGGCGCTCAGTGGGGCTTCTGGAACTTCAGCGGTAGGCGGTGGGGGCTGCTCGCTGCAAGAAACAGCATGTACGCGTTAGCATTGGCGAGTGAGATAGCGTCACAAGGCAGTGACGTAGGGAGAGTGCCAGCTCGTACTTGCTTGTCCTTGTGCCGGAGGCGCGCCAACTTGTGCGTGGGTCTGTCTGAGCGCACGCCGTATGTAGCCTTCCTTGATCAGCTGCTGAACCAAATAGGAGCTCATGTTGGACGCGCGCTGAAGCAGATGCTGGTTTTCGCGCTCATTGACAGGAACTGCAGCGATTCTCTCGCACAGCTCAGCTCGATCCACCTTCTTCCTACCACATGCGCTCTTCCTTGACTTGACCACGGCTGCTACTCGATCTCCCATCGAATTGATTCCACGCCTCCAAATTCGTTCGACAACTTGGCGGCCCACACGGAAGTACGTTGCAACCCGAACGAATTCTCCATGTTTGACCACTTCTCCCACGCTGCGAAGCAGTAAGGTCTCCCAGACGGCCTGGCGCTCACTGTCTGTGATCTCCCCCAGGTGCCAGCTTACAAAATGAAAGCTGGGAGCAGTCTGGTCGGGAAAGCGCGGGAGATTCGAAATCCAAAAAAAGATCGGCATAGAGAGGGTATTTTGTTGGGTAGGCTGTAATATAATATGAAATGGTTATCTTTTTCAGAGCGGAGGAAGTATGGGTACGCACGAATCGTTCAATGAGAAAATACCACCACATTTTTGTGTGACACAAGAAATAAAACAGGAGATAGCTGGTTTACCAAAGTATAGACGGCTGAAGAGCAGTGTACTTCCAGCGCGAGTTTTTCTAATAGTAGCTGAACTAATTGTGTTGCTGTCAGCCACCGCGGTAAGAACAGTGTCCAAATTTGAATGTGAATATTTGACCAAACCAAGAAAGGTGCAGTGTTTGATTATTTTCTATCCTCTTTCTGTCTAGATACGCCTGATCTCGACAATCGTACGGTCCGGAACGAAATGGGCACACTTGCCATCGGTTGCGCTCTCAATCTTGTCGTTGAACAAGGGGAGAATGGTGATATGCGCGAAGGTCCCGCCGGACTCGCCCTTACAAAGCTGGCCGGGGTTAATGCAGATGGAATCTTTCACGCGCTGTAGTTTGTTAAAACCAAAATAAAAGTAAATTTAAGAAGTGTCCAAGCGCAAATGCCTTGGTTAGCAAGACGTACCCCACAAAAGCGGTTGAGAATTGAAGGAAGCAGCAGGATGTCAGGCGTCTGCTCGAATTGGAACTGTTTCCTATACCGCAGGTCGATGGGTGCCTCACTGCTCGCAGGTGGGGGAAACATAGGGTAAAAGCTATCAAAATGAGCAGAGGATACCAGTCATGTTAAGGATCTCGAAAGAAATGTTTCAAAATTATGCGCATGCAGATGACGAACCTTCGTTGATCAACAACTTGTTCACATAGGCGGAGTAGTCGGTGCTGGTCGCGAATTTGGGCTCTGTATTTAATAGGAAGCGGTGAGGAAGTGTCATTTGTCAGCCCAAATATAAAAGCGAGATGTGTAAGCAAGCTAACCTGTAAAGCTCGTTTGAGCTCAGTTGTACAACGACGTCCAAAGCTGATGTTCCAAACACAACTCCGTTGATTGAGAACGTGCTGGGGTTGGACATGAAGTGGACGCGCTAGATACAACAAATAAAGTTAGATCCAGCAAGAAGTACGACTTTCATAAAGAGAAGCAATTGACAAACCTTTGCATACTCAGCAACCTCGAATGCTTCACATGCTTTCTTTTTGTTCAGCGGTGGCTGGGGGTACACGTATTCGTGGTTGGCATCTCTCAGCGACGGAACAATCACAATCTGAATCCGCTCGTCTTGTGACAGAACGTTGTTCAGCAGTGTCATCACTAATTCAGTGCATTGACAGCGGTTAGCAGAAGAGAATGTCCGTCCACTTATCTTGATAATAAATTACCTTTGAACAGGAAGATCTCTTCGAAACTTAGCATCATGCCGTCGTACTTGACCAGTCCATCTTGGAACATTGAGTGCATCGAATCAATGAACGGACCCACCTGTAAAATACGCCTAAAAATATTAGAAAAATGGCACTTCCACAGTATTGACAGCAAAAGTTCCCTCCTTACCAGAATGAGCACGTCTGGCTTCTGATCAATTGCAATCTGTAGCAAATCGTTCAGTGGCAGGTAGTCCACGTTGCTGGTGGTCGTGAAAGGACCGCACGCAGTGAGGACACGAACAGGCTTCCCGTGCTCACTCTGGAATTCTCTGATCCGTGCTGGGGAGGACGTCGCAGGTGGTGCGGGAATCGGCTACAAACCAGCAATAAATACACGTTGAGATATTGTCCAATACTAAAGGATAAATAGCAGATCTTACCTCAAGGAACCTCTTCACTGCTAGTGGCGAGCGGGTATCCGGGAAGACACCTTCCAGGGCAACAATCTGCACATCATGTGCACCACGTTAGCAAGCCAATCCAATGCATTTTTTGACAGCAACACTGTCGTACGAACCTTGCCCGGAAAGATCTGGAAATTGGGAACTGCACTCAAGTCGAGAAGCACACGCTGACCACCGCAAGTCTTTCTGGATCCTTCAATTTGAGCGACGCTGGGGTTCAGCTTACCCTCGGCTGCTTCGCACACGATACGTCCCACCACTGTCACTTGTGCAGGTGAGGGGTCTCCAACTGGCTTGAGTGCTTCCAACTTGAACGTCTCCTTCACCAGCTCCTCGTACTCGACAAGCTGTTCATCCAACGCAATGGCTCGCTGGAACAACGGCGTGTACATGTACGAGGAGTTCGGAGCGAGGTTTCGGGATGGAAATGGAGCCTTCACGTCGACTGGCTTCCCCGTGTTAGCTCCAGTTCCTTCGATCTGCTTCCTCAAGTGAGCGTTGAAGTCGGCTACCGATTTGCCGGCGTCTGTGCGCTTTTCGTAGCTGCTACCGGGTGGAGACTGCATGGAAGAGGGCGAGAACATGCCTTCCTTGCGCTGCACCTTGTTGCTACCTGCAGGGCTGGAGAAGGAGCGCGCATGTTTGCCCTCTGGTGACTTCACGCTGTACAGCGACTCGAGTTTGTCTTGGCTCTCCGCCTCGCGCTTCACTACAGGTGTTTTGGAATGACGCCTCTTCTGCGAGGCAGTAGCAGGTGTTGTTGTCTGGGCTTTGGCATTCTGTTGCTGCTTGAGGTGCGAGCGGAAGGCCACGAGGCCATCGGAGTTTGCCGCGCCAGAAAGCTGCTGGTTCATGGAGTAGGCGTCCCATTGCGCCGCCATATCGTCCGAACTCATATCAAACTCCGTACAGATGGACACACACGTGCTGGCGGCATCTTCTTCCAGGTCTAAGTTGCAGGCCGCGAAGGCCGCGCGGATGGCAGCGACGTCGACGCTCATGATACAGATCAAAAAAGTGTGTTAGTGGCGACTGCGAGGTAGGTGTAAGAAACGGCGCCAAACGTTGTGATTGGATGATAAGAAGAATAGCTAGAAATGGATTGGCTAAAATAAATGGTTCTTTTCGTAAATGGCTCACTTGACACGGATGATGAAGCGCGAGTTGCGACTTGTGACCTGGAATGTCAATGGATTGCGTGCGGTGCTGCAGCGCCTGGAGCAAAATTTGCTACAGTTCTTGGAGAGCCTTGAGGCCGACATTATTTGTCTGCAAGAAACGAAGCTGACGCGCTCGGAGCTTGACGAGGAGCTGGTGCGTCCTCCAGGTGAGCCAGAATACTTTTGTCATTTTCATCGGAGGCGTGGTGAAACCAATATGTCAGTATTACGCCAGGATTCGACGCTTTCTACTCATTCTGTCGGCATCGTGGAGGCTACTCGGGTGTAGTGACGTTTGTCAAGGGTGACCTGCCAACTGTAGCAGCCGAGGAAGGACTCACGGGGCACTGGCAGACAAAGGACAACGTAGGGCACGTCGGATCGCTGCATGACGAGGTAAGCTATATTAGAACAGTTTATATCTTGGAATGATATCTTCTAATTACACAAAATTGTGCTGGTTTTTACGGGGGTTTTCAGCTTCCGTCAAAGATACTCAATGATTTAGAAGCTGAAGGACGCTGTATTATCACCGACCATCAAACTTTCGTGCTACTTAACACTTATTGTCCAGCTCTTGCGTCCGCGGATCGTTTGGAGTATAAACTTCAGTTCCACGGGCTGCTAGAAGACCGTGTCAATGCTCTGCGGGCAGCGAACAAGCGCGTTATTGTTGTGGTTCGTGCTGTTGCTTACTGGACTGCTTGAAAATACGGTATCAACTGATGCGCTTCCACAGGGAGATATCAACATTGCGCATCGAGAAATTGACCATTGCGACCCGCATGCACATCGAGATGACGGTAGTTCTTTTGGCGATCATCCATGCAGAAAGTGGATGGATTCGTTTGTTGGGGTGTCAGGAGAGAAATATCTGCCAAACCCCCACAGCGACGATATCGTCGATGGAGAACCTGCAGTTAAAATGATCGATACGTACCGTCACTTTCACCCCGATCAAACTAAAGCTTACACGGTAGGTAGCCACTTAAGTTCTGAGTCAAAGACACAGGAAATTTTACACTAACAGTCTCTCTTCGTTTAAAACCAGTGCTGGAATACTCAAACTGGGGCGCGTCAAACAAATTATGGAACCCGAATCGACTACATTTTAGCAGACCCCACATTCATCGAATGTGTATCCTCATGCAGGTAAGTAATGAGATGACTAAATGCATACTGGTATCTCACAAATTTGTACTGGTGCTGCGTGCGTAGTATCGATGCAGAGCGTCTTGGGTCTGATCATTGTCCAGTGCTGATGTCGTGCACTGTGGAACTAGAAACAAGTTCGAGTACTAACACTGGCATTACTGCAGCATTGTGCGCCAGAAATTTCGCGGAGTTCTCAGGGACACAGCAGAGTATCAAGTCATTTTTCGCACGAAGTCACGCTGAAAATCACTTGGAACAGAGTTTGTCTCCTTCTTTACGCTCGAAGAAACGTGGTCAGCAGTCAATTACGTCGTTCTTCAATCATACAGACACTAGGAAACGAAAGCTCTCAACATTTCGCGAAAAATCCTGGGATGAAGAGTCGTCAACGTACCGAATGGATTCTGGGGCTGTACGAATTGTGAAGACAACTGAAAACCGGAAATCGGCGGAAGAAGGGAAACTAGAATGGGCACAAGTCTTAAATGGTCGGCCTCCCCCAACGCCATTATGTCATTGCGGTCAGCCGACAGTGCTCCGATCAGTTATAAAGACCAACGAGAATTGGGGTCGCAAATTTTACGTCTGCACTAAACCAGCGGTGAGCTTCAGCTGACTAATGATCATATGTATCGACGCTAAAGTGTGTGTTCATATAATAGGGCGAGAAGGGAAATCCTGATGCGAGATGCGATTTCTTCAAGTGGGTCGATAAAAAAGGCACCAAGAAGCCGAAGGCTCAATAACGCAAGTGTCACATTCGTTTCTTGTGCAAAGAGGCTTCCATCCTACATGTAACAGAAGCATCCACATTGAATTGGAAATTGGCAATCTCGCAGTATACTCTTCTTTTGTACTTTGTGCTATAACCCAAAACGTGTTACTCTTTTTTTTTCTCATCGTTCCTTTCAGCTCGGCTTAAAAGGCGAAAAGACCCAAGTTAGGCGGCGTATCTAAATCGCAAACATGGCCGACTCGAACCAGGTGTGCGCGAGCGCCTCAGCGGCTGTTAGTCGCTTAGTTGGGTCGCGCTGCAGCAGACGTTGCACCAAGTCCTTGGCATCAGCACTGATCGTCTTCCACACACGATCTGAAAAGTCTGCGTCTTCTTCAATGCAAGCGTGCGGAGGGTAGAACGGCTGATATCCGGTCAGCATCTCGAAAATAATAATACCCACCGACCACATATCCACCGGCTTGCCGTACGACTGCTGTTGTAGTAACTCGGGAGCAATGTATCCCGAAGTGCCCGTAACTCCGGTAAATGGGACCTTGTGGACGTCACCTGTCAGCTTGAAGAAGCGAACATCCGGCACCTTCACAGACAGTCCGAAGTCGCACAGCTCGACGTTGTAGTCATTAACCTTGACGTCAGCATGAGGATCCAGAGTCGACTTAGGAGGAGAATTGCGGCGCATGACAGGGGAGTTTTCGCCGTTCTCAAGACTCGCCGTCTTGGCATCGCTCAGTAAAATGTTGTCAGGTTTCAAGTCGCAGTGCAGTACTCCCATATCATGGAGGAATAGTACAGCACGGACAATTTGCTGCGACAGTTTTCCTGCAAGTGCCTCGGGCAGCATGCGCTTTCTCTGCATCAACGCCTTCAGGTTGCCTTTCGTAGCCTTAGCCATGACCAGGTACAGGAAGTCTGGGGTTTCGTAAACCTCATACAGACGTACAATGTGCTTGTGACGCAACCGAAGATGGATCTCAATCTCGCGACTCACAGCATTCTTGGCAGCCTCGTCGCGCAGGAAACGCTTGTGAATCTGCTTAATCGCGACTTCCTTTCCATTGACACGACGAATGGCAGGCTTGACGACAGCGTACGAGCCATCACCCAGCTGGTCTTCGCCAACCAGTTCATACTGCTCCGTGACAGCCTTCTCGTGAATGAAATACGGCTTCGGGTGGTTGTATTCGTCCTCACTATCGCTTTCATCGTGGTCATTCTTAAGCGCCTGCGAGTCGCGACGTCCAGTGCGGTGAATCGCCATGATGCGAAGTTCATCCCCGTCGTTTAAGCGTCTAGCTACAAACGGATTCGCAGGGATACGCGGTGCCGCCTGGGTGTATTCGTTGTTGATATCTTCGTCCGAGTCTCCTTCGCTTAGTGAGCGTTGAAGTTTTAGTTTAATAGGTGTCCTGATCTTGTTCTTGTCCTTGTCATTCGGGCGCTCGTGCAATGATAAACGGAACCCCACCTTTCTGAAAATGCCCTTACCCGTCGAGATGAAACCGTCGGTTAACTCGGAGCAACCAGCAGACTTGCCCAGCTCTGCGCGCTCATAGCTAGGAGTAATGAACGATTTCACCGGAGATAAACTTTCGCTTTCCGTGGACGATGTTCCAGGCGACTTCCTCGCCTTCTTGTAGGGGGTGCGCCGTGGTGGTAAAGCTCCAACCGGTGGAGGAACGTCATACTTGTCTGTAACCGATAGGATGTTCAGCGGCAGAGAACGCGGTGCATGTTGCTCCAACGCAGCGAGGTCCTCGTCCACGTCACTGTCCGTCGACTCATCGTGGTATTCGACGTTGCCATCCTTCTTATTGTGGGGTGAGCCGGTCTTGTTGCCATTGAAGAATGGGTCAGCGTCACCGTCGCTAAAGCGACGTGGACGCGATAGGAGGTCTACGTTAGGGATACATCTAGAGTCACTGTACATGCGATTCATCTGTGAGGCTTGCTGGAGCGACGCGAAGTCTTCGTTGTCCGTAATGTCCATAGCCACAAAGGATCGCAATGACTCCGTGTCGGAGTAGATGCCGTCGGCCGTCATGACGCGGCGGCAGGCCGCCAGCTTGTGCAGCGGGTCGTAGTAGCCCGGCAACGAGTGGAAAATTCCCGTAAGAGGGTGGTGGCGAAACTTCTTACGCTCCTCGAGCTCCGCCATGTCGACGATGTCGCTCGAGAAGTAGACGGCGCCACGGTTGCCAGCGCTATAGTCGCAAAGGAAGCGTGATACAGCAAGTCAGCACTTTTGACAGAATAAAACAAGATAGAGAAGGAGACAAACTGTTGCATGCAAGCAAGACGCACCTCGGCGCGTGATGAAACGTGCCCACGAAGGGATTGTACGAAGGCAGCTTGGCGAACACGTTACGCGGTACGACTACGCCTCCGTCGCCCGTCATCTTTCCTTCGTCGATAGCTGTCGTACTTGCGCTCTCTTTGCCGATCCGGCTGGTGTGGAAGTGAGGGGGCTTTGTTGCAGATTTGGCTCGCAGTGGCTTCTTCGGCTAATGCAGCTTTGTGTGTGTCTTCTCCGTTATGGACTCGAGGACGGTGCGACTCGACAACTGCTAGGTATTATACCACACAGAGAAAAGCGAGCAAATAGAGCCGGCGATTTTCACTTGAATTTCGTAAGTTGGGCATTCAGCCGAAAAATCGATGAAGCGCGACAAAAATGACCTTTTTTAAATAGAGTACCGATTTTTAAAAAAAAAAGTCCGTTTATTTTTACGAGCGCCCAATTCCACTGAAATATCGCCAGCAACGTTTTACTCACACCGCCAGTTCCAGGCGGCTGGAAACCAGGCTTGTTTAGCCAGCATCCTGCTTTGTAATGTAACCGCCAATTTAGCAGTTATTAAATAATATACGCCAGAATTTCGACGCATAGGGCGGTGCTTCAATGTCGTTCATTGCAGTTCGAAACTCAAATCGAATAGCCCTTCATCAATCGAGCCATCAGCAACCTCAACGAGAGTTGTTTTCTTCAGCACTTGTCTTGCAAAATGTAAGAAAACGATTTTTTACACACTCACATGTACCAGCAAGAAACCCTTACAAACCATGGATATTTATTGTAAAATCATTATTATATTTGTATCCTCTCTCCCACGTCCTGGGCGCTTGTTACTGCCCATTGAGATAGTGGTCAAACTCCTACATGTACAGTGCATGTATTATTAATAATACTCCTCCTGTAATTCACGCCGCATCAAATTGCCCAAAAAAAGGAATTAGATCCAATTACGACTCGACGAGGCCTATGACGAGTCCGCGGTGTAGCCACCTTGTCCTGTCACTTCAACCACTTGCACTGCGCTTTTCCGAGGCCGACTGGAGCCGTCGCAGCTTGAACTCACCACGTAGTTCAATGGCGCCTGTCGAGCGCCGACAGGCCGATCCGTCCGTCACATGAATCTTTCGCCGCTGACATATCGCTTGGTGATCGCCACGACCTAACGCTTTACAGCACAACAAGGTGTTGTTGAACTGCCCGCTCGCTTCGTGCAAGCAGTCCGCGTAACGTCAGCCAGGCAGCATCGATGAGCGAGGGCGCCGCTAACAGCCGCCGGCCATTAGCTAGAAAAGAAATAGCGAGCGGTGGCAATTATAAAAGCGTGCGAGTCAACTTCATCGCCTGGTGTGTCGACGACTCTGATTTATTGCGTGCCTGCTGGACTTACACGCTTGGGCCAAGCGGCTTGGCATGCAGCCACTTCGTTTCGTCAGCCTGGCACCGTAAGCAACTCCCCAACTTGAGGCTCAAGCGGCCTTGTCCCTAAAGGGCTAAATACATTAGTACTGCGCACATCGCAATCGAAAAACCCACTCGTGTCTGGTTCTTTTTGCAATATTGGATCGCACAATGAGCACGACGATAGCCACGGCAGCGACGACCGTTAGCCACGAGTCTGAACGCGAAATCGGCGGATGGCGCTTCTCCTGCCACACAGCGCCAGCGATGAGCTCAGCGCTGCGCGAGGAGCTGACTGCAGAACTTGGTCTACGCCCCGCGATTCCCCTTCCCGAGGTCGTCTTCGCTGACAGCACCCTCAGCATTGATCACCCCCCAAGCGGTTTGAAGATCCACTTTGACGCCAAGGAGGCTCTTCAAACGTGGATGCAGGACCACAAACAAGTAGCGTAAGTGGTTTGTCTGGCGAGTTGCGAAGGCAAGGTGATAGTGACTCGGTTTCTCTATATCCGCAGCGGTAAATGGGAACCATCGTCGTTTGACTTCACATACAGGTGAGGAGAAACACAAACAGAAGGAACAAATTTTGTGCTGACGATGTACTCGGGGGTTATGGTCGGCAAAGTACAACCTATAATGGAACCGTCTCACAGAAGGTTGGTGGGCGCGGGGTGCCTACTACAAGCATCACGTATCGAAACAACTTGTTTACATGTTAATGTAGGGGTGTTCGCCAAAGATTAATCAAACGACGGATACACTGCCTCTGGACAAATTGCAGCAGCAAGTAGCCATTCTGTTCTACGAACGTGTGCTGCTTTTCGAAGGTACTAGTACTCGACGCAAGGTCCTCCTTTTTCACAGTAATAGCGATAACGCGTGACATGTCCAGATGACATTCGAGACTTGGGCGAAATTTACGTCGAAGTTCGAGTGGTAAGGAGTGCTGTGTAGGTACCAATTAATTTCGTTTAACTGAGATTGTTTTGCATCCTACAGCGAGTGATGGAGTTCGGATTCTTGCTCTTGTGCAGATACTACTGCCGCATCGACGAGAAGGTAAACTTTGAGACAAAGAGAGGGTATTCGGGGCTTACCTATTGCGACGTTTGACAAACCAGCAAACTCTCAAGCTGCAGGACACACGCTATTACCACGAGTTCGGCGATGATTTCGTGTGGAGAGACCATGAGACCCGTGAATCCACGATTGGTGACATCAAGCAGGTAGGCAATAGCGCTGTTTGTACTGGCTGTAGTTGCTTCTGGAACGCGTTAACTTCTGCTTACATCCAGGTGCTGAGGTCGAGATTTCAAGGTGAAGAGGACGCGCCCTTCGATCTATCAGGCGACGTAGTGCACGGAATTTTGGAGCCGATTTCCACGACTACTGAGAAAATTCACATTGTTGCCTCCAGCTAGGCATGATAACTCAGCAGGTGTACGCAATCAAACTGGGCCTGGCCAATAAAATGGCCCCAGCAAAGGTGTCGGGCTTATGTTCTTTGATGCAGTGAACAGCAATAATTTCTGTCATTCCTTGGACTTATCAGTTGTTGATCTGCAGGTGGCTGGGCACTGTCAGTTATGAGCTCTAACGACGATGTTTACCACCACCCTGTCCTAGCTTTCTCTCATGGACCCGGTCCGCTATGGCTGCTTAAACACGGCGTGGAAAACCGCACTAGCAAACCAGCTCGTAATGTCTCGTCCATCTTTAAAAAGCTCTACCCGGGCGAACAGCACAAACCGAAGCGGATTCTCTTGGTGTCGGCGCACTGGGAGACGTACCGAATCGGCTTTGAGATCTCCAATTCGCCTGCTCCAGGAATGCTGTTCGACTACGAAGGGTTTTCCCCGGACGCGTATAAGGTGGTGTACTCCGCTAAAGGCGACCCTGACTTTGCCAACGAGGTGGCCACGCTCCTGTCGCGAAGGAAGGTCAAGCTGACTCAGGTGCTGCGTGCGTTCGACCACGCAGCGTTCGTGCCTTTGACGCTGCTTCGGCGCCAAGCAGATATTCCGGTGGTGACACTATCGATTAACTGGAAGCTGAATGCTCGCGCACATTTCGAGCTGGGTCGAGCATTGGCACCACTGAGGGATCAGGACACACTCATTATCTGCTCTGGCCAGGCGACCCATGGCCTGCGCGGAGAGGGAGACAACGTACCGCAGTCTGGGCTCGACTTCCAGGCGTGGCTGGATTCGGTACTCACTAAGAGCGAAGAGGGGCAAGAGGATTTCACGTACGCGCAACGACAAGAGAAGCTGCTAGCATGGGAATCCGCACCCGGTGCCCTTGAAGCACACCCGAGAGCGGACCACTTCATGCCATTTCTCGTCGCTGCAGGAGCCGGCATGGAGAAAAAGGTTCCGCAGGCAACGAAGCTATATGGCGGCTGGGGGGCTGATAACCACCTATCGTACGCGACCTACGCGTACGGCACGTCGCCTCCAGCACAATAACATCCCAATCCCCAAGCTTTGCACTCTTAAATTTAGTAAACTGGAGAAAGAATGGGTATTAAGATGCAGCTGTTTCGGTAATTCACCTTCGCCTTAGGATAACCCGCTCGATCCGATAAAATCAGATTCTGTAACCCACTCATATCCACCAGAAAGAACCAAAGGGTGGAAGGCACTATCAAATTTGAAGCGGTGTAGCTTGATAATGGTGATGCCTCGAGCCTTGTTGGTGCTGTGCGCGGCGGTGGTTCTTTTGTCGGACTTTCCGGGTGTCAGTGTCAGCGCGGGATTGATGTCGCCGCTGCGGCAGCTGGGGGAGGAGGTAGTGAAAGTGCACATCAAGGCGCACCAAAAGGAGGAAGCTTCGCAGCCCAAGCACCACGACGCCACCCCGTCGAAAAAGCACGCGCACAAACACCATGCGAAGGAAGGAGAGGAGAAAACAACGGAAAGCGGCGAAACTGTGCGTAGCTATGACCATGGTACCGTCCGAATCGAGTCGAAGGGCGCTATGGCTGGGAAGAAGCTCACGAAGAGTCATCAGAAGAAAGCGCCCGCCAAGAAGGAGCAAACGGACGAGACTGTGGTCGAGTACAGTCATGGAACCGTCAAAATCTCGGGCACGGAGACGACAGATGGCGAGACGACGGACAAGACCAAGAAGGATGTCACGCCAGACGAGAAGGAGGTCACTAGCACGGCTAACAAGGTCAATGAGCTCGTGACAAAGCTCAGCAGCACTGACTCAACCGAACACAAGTCGTTCATTGAAGCGTACGGTCCTGTGGTTGTCATCTGCGGAATCATTGGCGGTCTGGCGGCAATCGTCGGCGTCGTTGGCCTTGTGATGGGCCAACCGCAGTCGAACGACGATAACTTGGATTCGGTCTTGAGTGCTTCAGACCTGGATGTTGATGTTGAAGCCAATGCCACATCGTCTGGAGTGCAGAATCCTACCGATGAAGATCTTCTGGGCGATTCAAACTCAAAACCCGTCGACGATGAGGAAGAAGAGGAAGGCACCTTTGCCAACGGCACAGCTCACGTGTCCGTGTAAGGCAAAACTTACGAGTCACTCGCCCACTAGCGCAGGGGTGCATGTGTTTGTGATAGTTTCTTTTTAGCTTTCAGCCTGCGGTTTCTTTATGATATTTGTGGGTCTGCGTAGCAGAACCAGTTAAGTCTTATCGTTGACAGTGTTTGGCGTTTGTTCTCCGTCGATCGCAACCCGAAATAAAAGAAAGCAAGGACCAGCTGCAACGGGCAGCATCGCTTCCGCTTTTCTTCCGCTGAGCAGTAGGTGTCCCTTTCTTTTTTAAGTCTCATTCGTAGTACGAAATGGAACAGCGCCTGGGGCTCAATAAGTCTCCAGCATTTTGAGGAAGAGAGGCCTGTGAGGTTATCTAACAAAAATAATGATGATTTGTTACAAAGTTGGCTTCAAGTTGTCCCTTACAAAAATAGAGTCAAGACAACGTCTAGCACCCTCCCATACTCGGTACTAGTTATGCAAGGAAGGGCGACGCTGGCTCCGAAAAACGTCACGTCGTACTCTCTTCCGCTACCTCGTGTGTGTCCATCGAGGCATTTGTCGGCCTGTAGGTCTCCAATATTTATAACTGGCTCGAAGCAGCCATGGCGTCGCACCTCTGGGTTGTTGGTGTGTCGCTGTCACTCACTGCCACGCTCTTCGGAACGCTGGGAAAGGTGTTGCTCAAGCTCGCACACACATCGTCTCAGGCTTTGTCTGTTAAAGCGGCCGCCACGGTGTGCGTATTCCTACTCAACCCCGTATTTGATGCAATGAGCTACGCGTACGCAGCGCAGGTGAGAAAAAGATATATGTAACGTGGCTGCCAACTCGTCTTCTAACGAACCTCATTTTTTTGGTGCAATTTCAATCACTAGTCTATCTTGGCGCCAATGGCTGGCTTTAGTGTCGTGTGGAATATCGTGCTGTCACCGTATCTGCTCAATGAGAAGGTGTCCACACACGACGTTAGAGGATCGGCGGTCATTTTGTTCGGCTGTGTCCTTGTCGGAATTTCGGGAAGTCACGATACACCAACACACCACAGCGCCGAGCTGTTTGCTCTGTTTCAAAGCCGTATCTTTCTCGAGTACGCCGTATTCGCAATTTGTTCAGCGGTGGTGGTAAGTCTCGATAAAACATTTCTTCATGGTGTTGCCTGGACGTGCTGAAACGAATGTGCTGTTGCTGTAGTTGGTCTGGATGATCTGCAGCTACGAGAAGAAGAGTGGATGGAGAAGGTTTGCATTCGGCGCTCTATCTGGCCTCATCGGTGGCAACCTTTTTTTCCTTAAGGTGCGTCATTGGTGTTGGCGGTCAGCTACCACCCTAGGTCTCTAAAACTTACGGTGGCGCGGTGTAAATGGGTTTTTAGGCCTCAGTTGAATTGCTGGCTGAAGGTGGAGATGTTTGGGCAAACCCGGAGACATACATCATTTTCGTATCTGCGCTATCCTCGGCCGGCGGTGGTATCTACGTTCTCGATCGCGGCCTGCGGGAATACGATGCGCTTTATCTCGTAGCGATCTACCAAGCGTTCCTCATCCTCATCGGCTCTATTTCAGGTGTAATCTTCTTCCATGAGATTACAGGTATGAACTCATGGTGGCAACTAGTTGTCTACCCTTGCAGTATCGTTACGACGGTGGGTGGCATCATTGTCTTGTCGGAGAAACACACAGAGCACTGTGATCCGATATACCCCAGCAGTGCGATTAACGGGGCCAAGCAAGGTGAAATCTCGCCGCTTCTTGTCTCGAACGGAGTCAAGAACGGGTTCAAGCACGGCTCGATTGAGGCTGTTTAGAAGCGCTGCGGAAATCGAGCAAGTTCTGCAGCTCCTGTAGGGAAGAAATAGCTCCAGTAACAAATACTCGTGTACTACAGGTACAGGCAATCGATAGACGTCTGGCTTTCAGTGAGTGTTCCTAACTGAATGAATACCAGCAAATGTATTTTTTTCACGCAAGTCTCCGATACTAAAGGAGGGTACGTTACTGCCTACGACAAGCTTACACCTAGTTGCAGCAAGTAGCTTTGGCGTCTGGGTCAGGGAAGTACATACCAGCAGCCTTGAGCTTTCGATTGATGAAAAACATGGCGCCGGCGATGATGGCCACGAGCGTCACAACGAAGCCTAGAATCGTCTGCAGCGTCTGCTGGTATTCTTCTTCCTTCTTCTGGGCCTTGGCGGCTTCGCGCTGGGCACGAGTCTGCTTCTTGCTCTTGCGGCTCCGACGCTTCTGCTTCTTTTCGGTCTTTTCCGTCTTCTTTTCTGGCTCACCCTTTTCTGCTTTATCCAGACGTCCCAAGTAGCGCTGGATGCGATGTCCCACCTCGGCGCGGCATCGCTCCGACACTTTCGTGGGGTCCGTTGGGTTCTCCTGCACCTGCTTTAAGCACTTGGCCGACATCTTGGAGAAAATTTTCTCCATAGCCTCAGGTGTCAAGCGCGGATCGATCTCGTGCACGGGCACGGCATCATCCTCGCTCGGAGTCTCAGCCATCTCCGCTTGTGCTTCTTCCTCGACAATGAGGTCGCTGTCCACGTCGATTGCCACCTCCTCGTGCTCAGTGTTAGCCATACCCACGGCGGCAAGTACAGCCAGCGCCACCAGAAGCAGAGTTAGGAATCCTCGACGCATTATTCAACGACCAAGGGATTGGACGGCAACTTGTAGAATGACACGCGGCATGGGATCGTTTTCGACGTTTACCCCTAATTATGAGTGAAAAAAAGCACTTTTTATTAGGTATTAATTCAATGAATTTGTGTCTACCACACTACGCACTAAAAAAGGGCGGGTCAGACTTGAGTCCGTATTCTTGGCTTGATTTTTCTAGGAGAGCTCAGTCGGTGTCGTCCCTAGCAAGAGCTTGAACAAGAGCATCATGACCACCATCTTCGACGGCTACGATGAAGAGTATCGCACGCTGACCAGCGACATCTCCAAAAAACTTAGCGAGATTGCATCGTACGAGGACCAGAAAGGTGCATACATGTTGAATTCAGGGTTGAACGAACGAAATTGTAGTGATCTTAAATTGCTGGTTCTGTTGCAGACAAAAAGAAGGCGAGCATCGTGCATGTAGGAGACTTGCTGACACAAGCCACACAACTGGTAGGCCGGAAGAAATGCTGGTGAAAACTAGGTGGAGGCTGGTGTTAGCTACAACATTAACGCTTACTTTGCAGATTCAGCAGATGGAGCTGGAGGTGCGGAGTTTGGACGCAGCCACCCGTCGTGAACTCTCGAAGAAGGTGGACCAGTACAAGAAGAGTTTGGCTTCACTATCGGCGGATCACAAGAAAATCCGCGAGAAAGAGGAGCGCGAAGGACTCTTTGGCGACCGCGATGGCAATGCGGTACGGAGGACTTAATGTTAGAGACTTATGGGAATGGCTGTCAGTTTTTGCTAATCAACTTGCTCAATGACGATTATAGGCTTCGGTGGAGCATCGGGGTCGCATGGCAGCAGCTACCAACAAGTACGTCGGCTAAAATGCTGTGAGGAAGTGCCAACAACTACAGGAAATTAATGAATGGCGTTTTCTCTGTTTAGGATGAAAGGCACCACAGACAAGCTGGCTGCTGCACGAAAAGAAATCGCTGACACGGAAGAAGTTGGTGCGTCAACACGCTCACCGATTCTTTAGAACGATAGCTGACTCACACCTGTCTTTCTTTTACGTAAGCACTTGCAATTGGCGAGGAACTTGGTCGAAATCGCGAGAAGATCGAAGCTACACACGCAAAAGTCAAAGGCGTGAATGAGATGGCTCGTCGTGGAGGAAACATCGTCGGCCGCATGTCAACACGAGACAAACGCCAACGAATGGCTCTGTCGATTGCTGCAGGGTTCATCATCATCGCTATTTTACTGCTGATTTACTTTGGCATTTTCAAGAGGAAGTAGATACAGAACCTCGCCTGACATGGCGATAAGCCGGGCTAATTTCATTACTTTGTTCACATACACTGAGCTGAATTTAGAGTCTACGTACGAACTCTTGCCAGGCTTCTCCGCAGATCCCCACGCAGACTTAGACCGCAAAGCGCTCGTTAGTTTCTTGCTTGAACGTTTGACCTCCAGTACCCGCAGCATCAGCTGGACGCAGGGACCGCTCTTCAGGGGTATCTTTCGCTGTTGGGGACTTTTTACCCTGAACATGACCTCCTTTCGAGAGGTGGATCGGAGCATAACCAGTCTGAAGACGTCGGCGCTGATGGAAGACCAAACCGAGGCAAAACAGAGCAGAAACTGATGCTGCTACGACTGCTATGGGCGTCCGAGGCGCAGTCTCTTTCGAATCCGACTCTAGCGGAAGATTGTTCTCATCAAAGATACCAATCGCTAGCTTGCTGCCGTAGAACTTGCCGCTGTTATACTCCTCAACAATCTGTGCACGCTCGTCGTCTTGAAAAGGAATTGAATGAGCAGCAATGCATGCAAAAGGCTCGGAACAGCAAGCCTACCTGAGAGCGAGTGGCGCTTGTAGCCCTCCAGCTTCCAACTAGAGCCATTTTCGTTCGCCAAAAGGATACTATAGAACTCCACCTTGGGCATGTCAAAATTGCAGCTGCAGCCAGATTGAATGATCGTGTTAGCTGCTCTGCTTGGGGCAAGAAAATAGTGGCAGAGCTACAATACCTGTCGCCTATTGCCGTCGCTGCAGCCGGAAGACAGTCGGCCAGTGGCGCCAGCTGTACGAGCATAGCGATTTTGGTACTGTTCTCTGGTATTGTCTTGGACTCACTAGCCGATATGACGCTCACCGGCCTGTACGCTGCGTCGCCCAACTTCTGGTTAAGCTTGTTGACTCCCACCTGGCACGTGCTAAAGAGCTCCATACACAACGGGACCGTGAGCATTGCGGCCATATCCAGTCCCAGACATTGAGTAAAGTCTGCGCTAACGCCTGCAACCCAGTACACAGCCGCGACCGCCACTACCAGCGACCTCATCTCGAATCTTCTGGCGAAAGGTCGTGGCTCGAAGACCAAACATGTGCAGTATTCTATTTGATAGTTCCCAAGAATTTCGACCAATCACTTTCGCGAACCGTTGGTCCAGCAATTGACATCCCGAACATGACTCCACCGATGCGGAAGGACGGTGATGTGCTCGCCATGGGTATCGAGGGCAGCGCCAATAAGCTCGGTGTAGGCATCATTCGCTACTGCGCTGACGGCGAGACGGAAATCCTGTCCAATCCACGCAAGACATACATCACGCCGCCGGGCCAGGGCTTCCTGCCTCGCGAGACAGCTTGGCATCATCAGAACCACGTGGTGGGCATCGTCCGTGCGGCGCTGGCGGAGGCCGGTGTCTCTCCGAAACAACTAGACTGCATCTGCTACACTAAAGGACCGGGAATGGGTGGTCCACTGCGCTCTGCTGCCGTCTGCGCGCGCATGCTCTCCCTATTGTGGAACAAACCGCTGATAGGCGTCAACCACTGTGTCGGACGTACGTAAGCTGCGATCTTTGCAATAATTATTGCAGTTGCTTATTCGCTGGGGCCATGCTGCTGTTTACAGACATTGAGATGGGTCGGACGGTGACCAAGGCTGCCGATCCCGTCGTGCTATACGTCAGTGGCGGCAATACTCAGGTCATCGCGTACTCGATGCAATGGTGCGAAAGAAATGACAACTTATAGAGACTGGAGAAGATGACCATTACGCTGATATATTTTACACTGTGCAGCTACCGCATCTTTGGCGAGACGATCGATATCGCCGTTGGAAACTGCTTGGACCGCTTCGCGCGAGTGCTGGAGCTGTCGAACGACCCAAGTCCCGGATACAATATTGAAGTCCTGGCGAGAGAGTACGTTTACAAGTAGTTTGCAGCGCAGCTTTTTGACGGTTCTGACGTGTTGGTTTTGATGTATGTGCTGCGATTCAGAGGCGAAAAGTTCATCGAGCTGCCGTACATTGTGAAGGGCATGGACGTGTCATTCTCGGGTATCTCGACTTTCATCGAAAAAGAAGCCAAGTACGTCGAGAAGCTTTGATTTGCTCTGATTAACGTGTGCAGCGCCTTACACACGTGCTTTTTTTATACGTTCCTGTAGGGACAAGATCAAGTCGGGCGAATGCACAAAAGCAGATCTGTGCTATTCGTTACAAGAGACGATCTTCGCCATGCTGGTGCGTTGTTTAGCTCCTTCGAGTTATTCTTTGCGTGTAAGTGAGAAAATGCTGATGAATCTTTCGGTCATGCTTCCAGGTGGAAATTACGGAACGTGCGATGGCACACTGTGGCCAATCCGAGGTGCTTATCGTCGGTGGCGTCGGATGTAACTTGCGTCTTCAGGAAATGATGGAGATCATGGCGAAAGAGCGCAACGGACGCGTCTGTGCAATGGACCAGCGCTATTGCATCGACAACGGTGCGATGATCGCTCAGGCTGGAGTCCTTGAATTCCAGTACGGAAAGACCACGCCACTGAAGGAGGCTACTTGCACGCAAAGGTACGAGAGAATCATTCTCAGTCTGTAGGCTGCTGTTAATATGGCACTTACGGCTGTCTACTCATGCAGATTCCGTACCGACGAGGTTCCTGTAATTTGGCGGACTGATTGAACAGGATAGCTGGAATCGGCAGGCAACGCAAATATGACCAAACTTTGAAGAGTCGTTTTATCCTTACTTTATTTTGGAGAAGTGAACGTCATGGAAGGAGATACTGGTGTCGATCAAGGAGCAGATCAGGATGGAGATGGAGATTTCAGTACTGCCCAACCCGAGCGCTCAACAGTGCCAATAACTCGTATGGAGGCTCTGATCCAAGCCATTTCGCAGTACCGGGACGTCTATCCTGTTGTTCAGCGAGCAGTTCAGTTGCTACTCCCAGAGCTGTGCGATAGAGATGCTGATGACGAGGATATCACTAGCAGCATCCAGGCTTTTATCAAATCAGGGGCACTGGTGGAAACAGTTCGTGCGATGAGTGTCAACCTGGACTCCCCTGCGTTTATTGGCCCGTGCGTTGAGCTGCTCGTTGCTCTGGTGAATAAAGCTGGTAAACTCATTGCAGAGGCTTTATGGGAAACGGGTAAGCTTTGACGAAAACTGACATATACCGCGTGCTAATGCTATCGGAAATGCGACGCCTTAGAGATATTGGCTGTTCTCGACAAAATTGTGCACAGTGTCATGTACCAGAATGAATCTGTATGTGTTCAGCTTGGTATGACACTTGTAACTAAGCTTTTGGGGAACTTCAAGGCGATCGGAGACGGAGTGTGGACTCAGCTTGTTTCTACCACAGCACAGGCGATGGTTTGAGATCTTGTGTTTGCCATTACTGCGATCTGCTTTGAAGGGTGTACCTGAAGCTGCTTGTGCCCGCATGCTCTGATAACAGCTCGCGAATCCGCTGAATGTTGATCTACAATCCGAGTGCTTGTTGAGTTTGAAGCTTCTTTTTCAGCTGAAGATCGATCGTGCTGTGCCCGCTACCACCGCGAATATCATTTTGAAGACGTTGGACCAGTGCTATCGACAGCTTGTCGAGATAAACAGGGCATTTGCGTCAGCTTCCGTGGTAATTGTCGTTCGGTACGTGGGACTGCTCTACGTCTACTGTAGAGCTGGCAAAGGCCTAATGACGAATTTCGGTTCAACGTAGGATACTTGATGCATCTTCTCGAACTCCCCACCTCGGACACCCCGCAGCAATTCTAGCAGCAGCGCTTCATCACTATCAACTTGCGAAGGATCTCGATGAGGTATTTTGCTCACATTGTACCTCTTTTTTTTAATTGTTGAATACGTTTTTTGCGATTATTGCTGTCGATGTAGAGCTACAAAGTCTGCATCGAAAAGCTAATCCAACAACCGCTCCATGCTGCTGTTCCGGACTCACTAGCGCGGCTGAGTAAACCAATGTTACCTCCTGCTGATTCGTACGCAGTATTCAACCTTATTCGGTTACTCGAGCAGTGTTAATACTTGGCTCATGAACAGGGACGCAGAGGATGGAGCGACGGCATTGCAGAATGCAGCCATGAAGCTTTTGCTCGCTGTAGTGTGGAGGTTGATCTGGTTTAGGACGCAAACTTGGTGTAGGACTGACTTGTGTCTGTTTTTCGTCGTTATAGAGAAGAAGCTCGTGCATTTCTGGACCGTGGAGGTGTAGCGATACTCGCGAAATTCTTCACGTCAAGATCAACATTAAATAACGCAGCAATTGAAACTGCACTAGCGCAAACACTGTACTACGTGTCAATGCACTGGCCTGATGAGATTTGGAATGTGATTCAAGCCAGTGGCACCGGCCTAAGCAAGTGGATCGAAGTGATTAGCAAGCGATGCGAAGATGAGAACGATGTGCTGCTTCATTACCTTCTGGCAATGATGAATACGTTGCTCCACTGCGAAGAATTTTCAAGCTCATTTGCAAGAAGTAATGTGGCGGACATTTACCTGTCAATCCTCGACAAACATCACCAGGTACGTTCCATCTATTGATCGTTTGACAAATAATTTCTCTAACGTGCTGGGTTTACTACAGCTCCCACTGTGTACGCGCCTTGTCGTGACTGCTCTCGCTTCCGTATCTGGGATATGCCCAACAAGTTCATTGCCGTAAGTACCGTCTAGTTCAGGGCTCCTTGAGCTGCTTCTCTAACAAATACTGACTCTAATCACTTTGTAGGGCGCTATGTGACTCAGTTGCAGAGACAATCGCTCTCGAAGACGATCGTTCGTTTCAGTTGGAATGTGTGAAGGCGTTAACACTCCTTGTGTCTCAGCAAGATGACAATCAAACCCTCTTCTCAAACCAGCGTATCCGAGATATAGTTCGCGTCATGCGCTTAAAATTGATGGACGGACAGTTGACCGCTGCTATGCTCAACCTCGTCGTGAACACATTGGTAATGTACCACTACTCCGATGTACTTGTTATTCACTTTAGGTTCTGTACACTCACCGGACATAATGCAACAGCCGAACAGCAAAACGCGAGCGAACTTCATCGATCAAGGATTGTTGCAAGTTGTTTCCAAGGCGATATGCACGTACCAATGGAGCTCTAAAGAGGCTGCGGGAACGATAGCTCGGTGGATAATTTGTGATATAGCTCACAAGCTTGACGTTTCCAGAAATCTCAGCACCCTCGAGCCTCACGGCCACCTCGCTCATGGCCACATGCTCACCGCACCGGTAAGTGAGCATACATAGCTCCCAGAAAGCCATTCGTCGTGCGTAACTTGTGCATTTCCCTTTTTAAACCACCAGGCTATGTCAATCGAAGCATTGAATGCGTGCTGCTGTGTGGTAGGAGCTCTTGCAGGCGTTAAACCATTCCTTTCTCTTTTGGTGGAAGAGGGCGCAATCCAGTGTATCGTTGGCACGTTGCGCTACGCGAAACAAGAGCTTATGGTACGCAGTGAAGCCTCCTTCATTCAACTCATCACGACCTGCTTTTATGCAGCGAACAACATTGTGAATGCTCCGGTGGTGGCACAAGTAACTGATTCGATAACAGCGGAAATTACGACCAATGCGATTGACGAGCAGTCGATTTACTCGCGATTGGTTGCCAGTGGTGCAGAAGATGCCATTATTGGGTGTCTCGAGGAAGCGTTGCGAGTGAACAAGTTCCTGTCAGTACTGGTGAACGGTGGCTGTCGGTTGCTCCACGCTGTATTCGCTTTTCCGATATCTACAAGCAGTGAGACAGAAAACCGATGGATCTCTGTGGCCACCTCCATTTTGCAGAGAGGAGACACGCAACAGAGAACACGAGAGCTGCTGTTTGGTACAACATTGATGGTCTTGTCGCGAGGGAAGCGCTCCGGCGAAGCAGCTACAGGACAGCATGTCAAGATGGTGAAAGTAATTCTTGGCGTTCTGACCGAGTCGATACAACATGAAAGCAGCTGCACCTTGAGTCAAGCAGAGTGCGTTGGAGCCATTCGCGTGCTGGAAGAAGTATCGAAAACGTCCGATTCCCTGCCAGATACGCTGGTTTCGAGATGTCTGGGAGTGCTGGGAAAGCTCCTAGGTGTCTTCATTTTATCGTCTTCTACCACAGCACAGGAAAGTCTGCGGTTATTCGACAATGCTATTGCACTATTTGCGACAACTAGTTACGTGAATAGACTGGTATGTCGGCTAGATAAATGCGCGGCGAAGGAAGAGGTGATCGATGGTACGGTAATGGTGGAGATGGCTGAAGATTTTAAAGCTCTTGAAGCGTTGTTGCTTTCCAGTCAAGGAAAGAAAACGATTGATAGTCATCATAGACTCTTTTGTCACCTCGCCGCAGTTGTTGAGAGTTTTGCCGAGTACGAACAAGCATTGGGAGACCGTGCACCGTTTTTTCTGGAGCTGGGATGTGTATCCAGTCAACTTCTGCCTACAGCTCAACGAGAAGAAGTAATCAACGCCGCGCTGTGTCATTTTGCTCAGAATACGGCGTGGCATTCCATGCGATGGATAGCTGCACTAGCCGACAAGGGCTCAAGCGAGTTCACGCTTATCGTCGAGTTTGTTCTTCTCCGAATTGTTTCAGGCTACTCGATTCTTGAGCCGCCATTGCTGATGGAACTTTTGGACGCACTGAACTTCCTCCTTCGCTATAGTCAATGCAGAAAAATCGTCCAGACGTCCTCGCATGTCGAAGAACTCCAGAGTGTCTTGTGGGAGCTTGTTCGCGCCGATGTTGCACACATGGATGCAGGAGCTGAAAAGTATGATGCTGCAGTATCCCTGCTCGGCATCGTCTCGTCTCTGTTATCATTCTCGAGCGAGATATTTTCACTTCAGTCCCATGAGAATGGATGCGATTTGCTTGTTCGCTTTTGTCTCGGAGCGTTGGACAGCCGTTTGGTGGATACGAAGTCCGATATGACGAAGTTCGCGTTAGTGGAGGAACTTCATCAAAGTACCGGCTCCATCCTTCAGCACTGCGTAGCACTTGGCGCAGAGTATGCACGCTCTATTTTACAACATCGAGCAACACGACAAGCATTCAACATTTCTATCGGTACCGATAGGAAGATTTACGGAAAATGGTGCTTGGTGGTGCTTGGAGCTATGATCCAGTCTCACGGCCTTCTTTATGCAGAGAAGTTGCTAAGCTTATCATCAAATCCGCTTGAGCTTTTAGCCGACCTCGTGGAAATCGGCTTACAAAATTCCGACTTGCTTTCGTGGAAGCGTTTTCTGGATTGTATCGCACTGGTGAATGGCTCGTCCCACTGGCAAGCAGACTGCAACGCATTATTTAAAAAGCTACAGGCGAAGGGCTTAATTCCTGGACAAACTACCATCACGAATTCTCGGAAGGTGAACCAGTTTATTGCAGATACTATTACGCAACTGACCTTCAAGTACGGCCAGCTAAGCTTAGATACATCGCCGCGTGATGTGGGTAGCTGTTTCCAAGCAATCGCTCGGTCTGGATTCTCTTTCTACGATCTTTTCATGGCATCACCAAATTTCGAAGCCTCGGAGTACTCTACGATTGTTTGTCTTCACCTCCAAATTGCTCGGCTTGTTGGGCTCAAAACAGATACCGAGCGAAGTATCATTGAGGAATCGACTGTCAGTATCAGGAAGCTTCTTAATCCTATTTGCATATCGGATGAAGCGCTTGCTGACTATCTCGATTTGGCGGCAATAGTGTATCTGTCCTCTTCTGTTCGAGCAGCGGCGTGGCTCTTTATCGACGCCACCACTCACGTCTTATCCAAGGCGATACAAAGACTTACGACTGGGTCGGTTCGTTCGAAGAGTCTTGAAAAGAGTCTGTTGAATTGTTTTTCTTCCCTTCGAGCTGTGTATGGCGCTCGGTGGGAAAGTGGAGAAGTGAAAAGTGCTCAAGCACTTCTGAAAATCTTTTCATCCGATACATGGTCCCAAGAACGACTGTTAGAGTGTGTGTTGGTGCTTCCACAAGGTCTTGTTCATCTACTTGAACTCGTACGAGCTGCACCTGCCACCAGTGGTCAAGTGATGATGTTTTTGTTTCATCGCATACACGACATTCGTCACAAAACGCAGCGTATTGGTGAGCTTGAACTAAGCACAATTCTCTCGTTGGTTAAGCGTAATGTTGCTGGTAGAGTCGGTGTCACTTTTCAACGAAAACTGAGAGAAGTTTCTGGAAGCGAGATGTTGCGTTGTGCTCTGGAAATACTCGAGCTGTGTGTGAGGCGGAAGAACTGTGCAGAACTTTGCTCTGATCTCGGGGGTATCAGTATTCTGTACGATGTCCTGTGTGCACCTTCCCAGTACGAAGACATCACTCTTTTGGCACTTGAGATCTGCTGCTGTCTAGCTGGTTCTGGAGCCGATCTGACGCATGAAAACTCCACTTTTGCTCTTCAGCGGCTGCTCATTTCCGTCGAAACCAAGGTGGATTCTTCTCGTTCCCGCTTAGTAGCTCTCGTCGTGGAGTATTTCTCAGCGGTTGATGTTTCTGCTTTCAACTTGCCATTGATTCAGCAGTGTAGGACTCAACTTTTACCTATATCATCAAGATCACATGAGGAGAGCGAGAGATTCATTCAGCAATTGTACATTGCACAGCAGAAGCTTTTAAGACGAACAGTAAAACCCCAAGGCTTCAGCACAAGTTCGAAGCCAAGCAAGTCATCTCTCAACGAAGGCGAAATACGGCGTAGAATCCTCTCGGGTTGTCGAACTATCGTGCAGTGCACGGATGGACAAGGTGAAAACTCGTATATTAACGTGAAAACTTCGGGTAAAAGCGTGACCGAGCCACGTGAGTATTCTCGCCTACGCGAAGCTATTGAACAGCTCAGCTCCGTATTGAATGACTCTAACATGGCGATGAACCGCAAATACCTATCAGCGCTGGTGCCGGTACTCAGCGAGATCCTTGTTCTCCATACAACTACGACGACAACAATGTGCACCATAATGAAAGTGCTTGAGCAAGTAGCATTTGTACACCCGTCGATCATGCTCTCCAACGACCAGCTTGACATTCCGACATTAGTTGCCTCCTGCTCGCTGCATCATCGAGCGTCGCTCCCGTTTGCGCGGAACCTCTGTCGATTTTGCAATAGTATTAGTGCAGAATTGACGAAAGATGAGTTCGGGTTGGCAGTATCGCTGGTTCCCTTATTATTCGAGCTGTTGGAGCACTGGAACAAAGATTTTGAGATCGTCGATCAAAGCCTAGCAACGTTACCGGATTTGATCTCCGTGATGCGAAAGGAGGAATTTAATGATCGTCGCAGTGGTGATATACTTGCTCTCCTTAACGCTGCAGTGGCGTCTTATACTGGCAACAGCCCAACGTCATGGAATTGGCTGAAATGTATGCTGGTTGCTCTCAACAAGATCGATAAGGTGGCTATAGAATCCGCACAAGACACGATATGCACGGTGATTGGCATCATTCGCATGTACGCGAGTCATAATTTCATGGTGGAGAGAGCTGTAGAGGTGTTGATACGCATGTATGTCGAGAAACGACAGCTCCCTCTTCGACACCTTAGCGAATCGGACGGTGTTGAAGTGCTGCTAACCTGTTTGAAACTGCACGCCAATGATGAATCAATTGTCCGAAGTTGCCTCAAACTAATGGTAAGCTTGGTCTCACGCAGTGAAACCTTACCTAGAACAGTTGATCAACTGGTGACAACAGAAGCTGCCGCTCCGATCCTACTCGTATGCAAGGAGAATCCCGACAATCCCTCAATCTGTGGAATGTGCGCTAAGCTGATGCACCAAATGGTTCAATCGTTCGAGAAGCAACCTGGAAAGAAGCTTCACATTTCTGTGCTACCTGGAGATACATCAAGAAAAAAATCTGAGCTGTTGACGCATCTTCTGGAAGCTGATATTCTACCGTTGATATTCGACTTACTGGATAGTTGTTCAAGTCGCGGAGATTATCATTTGCTCGGATCGCTCTTGCTATTACTCAAAAGTCTTACGAAAGACGAGCGCCTACGAGACTCTGCAGAGGTTTTACACGGTCTTCAAGAACTGCAACAGACGATTGACCGTATTTGGGAAAAGAATTCCGACCGTGTCTTAATAGAATTAGCCGTCGACTGTCTCGTCAACTTGGCTTGCTCGGATCGTGCGCTGGGCCATGGATGGAGGGAGTTGCCGATGTGGCTTCTACAGCTCGCGGAATCCATTCACAATCTAAAAACACAGAACACCGGAATGTGCGTCGAGAAGCTCATTGGAATACTGGGAAGACTCGCTCTTGATAGCGCTACAAGCAACGCAATTGCACCCAAAGGATCGTTCACTATTCTGGAATTACTGGAGCGCGTGGGGGAAAACTATTCACTAGAGCAAGCACTGTATGGACTGTTATGTGCATTGTGTGAAGACATCTCGTGCGCCCAGATCTTGATAGCTTACAACGCCATCCCGATCACCGCCGAACGAATAATCTGCCATGTTCGTGACGAGGAAACGCTGTTAAGCAGCTTGTGCTTTTTCGATCTCTTGGCTCTTAATAGTGGCGAGAGCTACCGTGCTTTGCAAGATGAAATCGCATTTAAAGCCCTGGATTTGGCTATCCAAACATATCCCGAGATGACAGGAAGCCAAGTGTATCGTATTGCAAGCACTACACTTGAGAAGGTGTCAGCATTAGACTACCAGTCGACACGAACGAAGCCTGGAGCAGCCAAAATGCTGAAGCCTCAAATCCAGTTTCCGGACTCGGAGAAACCTTTCCACGACTTGCTTCGTGAAGGAGCGAAGTTTCGGGTTCTCTGGGAAGCTAGACCCGCAATAGTTGAGAATATTCAGATACAACTAGCACCAAGCGGAGACTATCTACTCTTTCGACGCAAAACATCAAGTCAACTACCGCGAGTTGAGCGCATTTTCGTCAGTCAGCTCGAAGTTTGTCCGCAGCGTTCACTAACGAAGCCTTCGTCACCCTCGAAGACAGTTCTGGCGCAATCTTTACTAAAAAAACACTTCGAAGGAGATCGTGTACTACGTTTAAGGGTTCGCGACGAGGACGTCTTGATCAAGACGAACAGTGCTCGTGAGAGAGTTCACTGGGATCAAGCACTGCAATGGCTTGTTTCACGTCGCGAGACTCGAGCGTCGCCTGTCCATTCGCCCACCCAGGCTCGTATGCATTCTTCATAAGCATTTTTAGCCAACCTAGGTACCACGCAAACTTAAAGTAGAATTCTAATTATGCGCAGAACTTGAACCTCTTGCTGTTGATAATTGAATCATGGACCGCGGTCGACGAGCGGAACCTTACAGCAATGCTACAATTTGGACTCGAGAGATCGCTAGAAACCTCGCCAGTCACCTGAGTCGAGTGTCCAATGCTCATAGCTGTGTCGACACAAGGTCTCCGAAATCAACGCGTCTCCCTCAGTTCCATCACCCGAACGCTCAGAAGAGATGTCCGACAAGCCCGATGAAAACTCGACAACCGCTTATGACTTTAACTCGAAATTCTCCGAATCTTAACGGCGACCAGGAGCTCGAATTCAGTGGAGGAGAAAACGCACGAGAAGATATCGAGGGCGCCTCAACGTCAAGCCTCAGCTCAGAGAGAATCGGGAAACAAGAGCCCGTTCATGGAAGTAAAGGTATTCCACATTTTAACACAAACGATGGGCTTGATATTAACTAAAACATTTCAGATATACCAGCAGTTAAGCCTCCAGCAAAGAAGCGCACTGTTAATGGAAACATTAGCGATCTGACCACATATGATTCCCCACAAAGACACCACGTAACGCATGACTACTACAAAAGACAAGAACAACGAAAGATCTGGCAAGAAAATCAGGTAAAAAAAAGTTAGGTAAAAGCGTTAGAAATATGTAAACACTTCTGATTCTAACTAGCTCGGTGACGTGTTGTAGGCCCTCAACAAACGGCTGCAAAGTGCAAAGGCTACTCTAAACTTCAAGGAATGGGAGAAGGATGGCAAATGGACTCGGGAGTTTCTGAAAACCCAGGAAAGAAGAAGGCATGTGCTTCAACAAGAATTACGTAGAGCTCAAATCTCGCCACAAGCTGTTCTCCGAGCCAAACCGTTAAAATTGCTCCACCATCACGTGAAAGCCATTGCATTAGACTCAGACAAGAACTTAGGATTGTCTTGTTCATTGAGCGCTCGAACTTCGGCACGCCGCGACTCAAAGGGTGAGTTTCTACTTGGTAGTCGAGGTGGTTTCGAAGCAACACTCCAGCATCCGAGTGCTGCGAATCATCGACGCATCATGAAGTTGCGCCAGCACAAAAACACGCCTCTCAGCCCAACCAACGCTGCAAACGCCATAACGACAGAGGAAGTATCTGCTGGTACAGTTGATTCAGCCACAAGTGCAGCATTTATACCGAATAACGAGATTGTTACGGTACGGTTCACATTTTCACGTGGACGAAGTCGAAGTACGGATACCGCCTCGAACGGCTGTGAGCCATGTGATCAACCAGAACCATTGGTAGTGCGAGAAGGTGACAGAGACATGATGAGTCTGTCAGGAGCATATTCTCCGGGAGCCGAATTAGAATCCGAATTGAATGCCGCTGCAGTGAATGACTCGATCGATCAACCGCAAAGCGATTCAGTGTATAAAGCTGATGCTGAAGCCGTCGACAACACAGCAGCAGAAGAATGCGAATGCTATCAAAGCGACGCGGACTTTTACGACAATAAATTGCAAAGTGATGTTGCTGTACTATCCGCGAATGTTGTCGAAGCAGATACCCAAGCGGAGACAAAAGATGCAGATTTTGGATCCCATAACATTGAAAAAGAAACTCAAGCTCTGGACCATTTTAAAACGCCATGGTCCCATTCCGACAATGAAGAAGAGAAAGGAAGCTATGATGATGACAACTTTGATGAACATGCTCTTTTGTCGGCCCACGCAACCGAGCAGCAACATGACAAACTCGAAGCTAGCGGATACGCCAGCGAGTTCGAGGATGAAGGCCACGAAGACGCTATTGATGCAGCCCATATAGAAGATAAAGACGATACCATTGGTCCAATGCAGGAAGAAGATGACGACGAAGAAGAGTACTCCCGCGACGACTTTGAGTGAGCAGCAAGTTGAAGTGACCTAAATTTGTGATTTAGTCCAAGTAGACGTCATTTGAGTATCTCAATATTCAAATTTGTTTTACCAATGGCGACACCTACGTCCAGGCGCTCGTCGATTAGCTCCGTGACGTCGTCGGGAAGGCGACGCATGGACCAGTCGCTAGCGGAGATTGCGTCATCGCTAGGCCAGCGCACACCTGACCGCTCGCAAGGCAGCGACGACAGCGTCTCAGCGCGCTCCAGGCAGCTGGATTTTGGTAGCGTGGACGATGGCAACGTGGACGAGGAGCAGATAGAACAGGACAACGCTGGGAGTACTGAAGCAAATGAAGAGGTGCAGGAAGTGCAGGAGGAGCAGGAGGAGGTTGAGGAGCATAACCAAGCCCAAGAGACTGTTGCTACGGCTCGTCCTCGTCCGAGAAGGTGAGGAATGTGGTGGATGCACTCGATCCGAGACAATACTGAACTGTTTATCATTGTGTTGGTGATAGGGGGCGCCGTGGCACGGTGTTCTGGAGTGCGGAGGAGGAGGAATTTCTACGTCGCGGAGTGGAGAAATATGGTATTGGCAAGTGGAAGAAGATTTTGATCGATGGCAACGACGTGTTCTCGAGTCATCGGACTAATGTCGATCTCAAGGTAGAAACGAAGTAGTTTTTATTTGTTTAGCCATGCTGACTTTAGGTAATTATGCAGGATAAGTGGAAGAATATGTGCAGGATCCCTAGTCGAAAGCGACGGAGGAAACCGGATACGGCGAGTGAACCAGAGGAAGAAAGAGAACCGAGAGAGATTCGAGAAACTGCATCGTCGGAACATAGTTCTTCCAGGCCCCGTCGTTTCGCTGCTGCCAAGACTAAGACCAGGACTACGAAGAAGCTGATTAATGCTGATGCCGACCAAGCGAGACAGGTGAAGCTGAAGCTGAGCACTGACAAGTCTTCGCCCGAGGTACGTTATGCTGTTTGTGGATATTTCGGATAACCACTAATGGGTCTCTTTGGATTGTTGCAGTTCGCTGAAGTCAATGTGGACTTGGACACGTGCAAAGATGTAGCTGCTCTTAAAGCGAAGCTGCGGTCAAGCATCTTGTCGGACGCTTCACCTGATAGAGACATTCAGCTGATCGGACTCAAGTCCCGAGTCCTGTTCGACGACAAAGAAGAACTCTCGCGCTGCATCGCAACCAACGGTGCTGATTTCTTTCTTGTTTTTGAAGAAAACCCGGAAGAGTTTGTGTAAAACCGTGAACAATAAAAAAAACATTTATGCTGAAAGATCAAAATTTTCTGCTTACCGCTGCATCCCCTATGCATAGTTGGCGAACGACATGTGATCGAGCGCCCAGCCTCCGAATAACGCCCTTGCCCCCGGTTCCTTGTCCTCCATTCCAGCACCAGCAGTGACAACGAACGTCATGAAATGGTCAGGTGATGGATGCTCATATTTCGCTACAGGTGCGTTGCGCCAGTTTGTGATCTGCTTGGTCCGCTCCTCGACGCTCAGCTTGGAGTCTGAGGCCAGAGTCTGGTCCAGTCAGTATTGGAATGTTCTAGTCTCCTCAACAAGAGAAGGGCTACGCTAGTGGAGACCTCGCAAATTGTGGGTTGATTGGCCAGAGCACGGAATCAAGGTGTCTTCATCACGAAACGAGGTCACTGTCTTGCCCAGATTGAAGTGATCTTGGTTGGTTAAGTACGAGTTGATCGACATGGTGACGATTGGGATGTCTGCTTGGGGAAGAATCAGCTTCATCGGCACGAATACGCCGTGGTCGTACCCGCGGTACACGAGCTTAGCTTTGATCTTGTTGTTCTCGAGCTGTTCCTTCACGCGTTGAGCGAAGACAGGGTCACCCTTAGCAGGGTATACGATATCGTAGGGAAGCCGCAGTAGTCGTAGACCATGTCTGGGTGGGCGATCTCGAATCCGTAGCTGTTGGACTCGAAGTGTGCCGAGACAAAGAGGATCCGCTTGGGCAAATTCTCGTCCTTCGGATAGAGTTTCCCGAAGATTGAACTCAACAATTCTACAGCCGGACGAGAATCACGCCTCATTTCGTCGAAACCCGATGAAAGTAGCCACAGAGGACCAGGACCATGCGAGACGGCGACGACGGGGGATACATATTTGATCGGTGGTGCTGTTGCTTGTTGAGGTGCGAGCAAATTGCTGAATGAGACGAGGACGAGCTCGTCATGGAGGAGCACCAAGAAACTGGGCTAGTCGTTCAGGTGTTGAACCCAGGGGTTAATGGTAACTCCAAGTTAATATTGTGAAAATATCACCTGTAGACCAGTTTATAAAACAAATACCACCTAATATTTTCTTCTGAGACAAAATAATATTATTAAATATCAACTTAATATTAGTTAAAACGATCTTAATTTTTCAAAGGTTGCGTAATCTGTTTAAATCCACCAACCAGATGTCGTTAACGTTCGACTAACTAACGTACTACTAATCAGCATGGAGTCACGGACAATTGGGAGAGTGACGGCAAGGTTGGCGTCGTGTGTTGGCACTTCTGAGCACATTAGTCTAGCGTCACAGGCTGCATGCTTATTAAACGCTCGATGTGGACGAGGCTATCGGTAGAGAACAAGAACAAACACCTTGATTTCGTTCTATCGACATTAAACAACTGCAAGTTGCAGTTTTCCATCTCGATCGCCTTTGTGTCACAATGAAATACTACATGTAGAGCAAATACTCGTCAGTTCTACCGAAAGTATTCTTTTGTGACAAGAATCGTACTTGAGTGGGAAATATCACAAAATATTAACTAGTATCTAATATTTTCAAATCTGCGAGCTAATATTAAAATTTTAATTTAGCTTCTAAGAAAACAAGGTACTACTAATATTCAATATCTAAAATAGTACTATTATTAAAAAAAATATCATATGATATTTGGTTACCTGTTCACGGTTGGATTCGCAATCGCAACGACAATGGCAGATCCCAAGCTATAATACTTTCAACTCAATGAGCCTTTTGATCTTTTCATTAGGACGGTCTCTTCGTCATGTTTGACAGACACAAAGGAGTCGCGGAGGCCCCATTGCAGCAATTTCAGCTGATGAATACTTTAAGGAGTTGTATTGATTATGAAAACTGTACATTCAAAATGGTGTCTGCCGCTACAACTCGTCCTTAACCGCACCGCTCAAATTTGAATCAACTCCCCAGGCATACGAGGCGAAGGACATGTGTCCGAGTCCCCATCCACCATTTAGCTTCTTCGCAGCAGGAGCGTCCTCTTCCATCCCAACACCTGCGCCAACAACAAACGTCGTAAAGTGATCTGGCGTGCGATGACATTTCATGGCGTACGGTGCCTTCTTCCAGGCGATAACCGACTCCATCCGCTCCTTGTACGTCTGTGTAGACTCACTCGACAGCGTCTTGTCCAACCAGCTCTGGAATTCGAGCGCCCAGGGCTCGATCGGATGGCCCTCGGGGAACCAGTCGGCGTACATATTGTGTGTGGCTTGGCCCGACGTAATGATCAACGTGTCCTCGTCACGAAGCGGAGCAAGAGCCTCGCCCAGCTTGAAGTGGTCGTTCGGATCGAACATACGGTCGTTGATAGACATGGTGACGATGGGGATGTCAGCCTGTGGGCGCATCAAGAACATGGGCACGAATGTGCCGTGGTCGAGCGGGCGATCCACGAGCTTGGACGTGATGCCGCTTTGCTCCAGTAGCTTCTTCACTCGTATAGCGAACTCTGGATCGCCCTCGGCACCATACACGAGCTCGTACGCCTCAGCGGGGAAGCCGCTGTAGTCGTAGAACATCTCGGGCGATGCGGATTTCGAGATCTCCAGACCGGTGCTACGTGCCTCCCAGTGCGCCGATATGAAAAGGATACGCTTGGGCAACTGAGCATCATTCAAGTAGATTCTACTGAAGATATCCGCCACGTTCTTGGCAGACTGTGAGTGCTTGTCCAGTCCTTCAGCGCCTTCGTCGAGCAGCCAAAGCGGCCCTGCTCCGTGTGAGACGGCGACAACGGGATGACGGAACGCGTTCATATTACCAGAGATGAGTTCGGCTTGGGTAATGGAGGCCCAGGGTGCAGCAAGGAAAAGTGCGAAAGCCGATAAGAGACCCATGTTGTGGACGACGAAATGGCACTGCCATCAGAGGTACCGTATATCGTTTACGGCAATCGTCACCATCATTAGCGATGGTGATTGGTTGATCTTGTCGCGGCTAGGCATGATAACGTGTCACTTAATACGCAATCATTTCTAAATAAATAGAAATTGATTCAGATTAAATATACGTTCTACAACACCGCTTTTGATCGCGATTATCAAGCCCTATGGGTACCGTAAGCTCAAGGAAGCTTACGTCCCTGTAGCATGGAGACTCGCAAGTGTGGAGGTGTTGATGGCTGGTATTAAAACGAAGTCTTTACTTTGAACTGAAGTGATGCTGCAAGTTGCGCTATTTTTTTACAAATCCGAGAGCGTTATCAGACATAAAAAGTACGTCGACACAACTAAAACCACACCAACAGAACGCTCATTTTGCAACTCGCCTTAAAACGCATAAGCCACTGCCACCCACAACACAACCATGGTCGTCTTCCACCACCCCGTCGTCGCCGTCTCGCACGGCCCCGGTCCACTGTGGCTTCTCTCGTCGGGCTTCGCCGGTATGAGTAAGAGCAGTGTGCCCGCACGCACCCTGACCACTACGTTCGACAAGCTCTACCCGAAGGGCACGAACCTTCCGAAGCGCATTCTGTACGTATCCGCCCACTGGGAATCTGAGAGCAGCGGCTTCGAGATCTCTGCTTCCGCCAAGCCCGACATGATCTTCGACTACTACGGCTTCCCAGATGAGGCCTACGAAGTCAAGTATCCCGCCAAGGGGGACCCAGACTTCGCTCAGAAAGTCAAGACGCAACTCGAGAAAAACAACATCAAGGCCAAGCTCGTGGACCGCGGCTTCGACCACGGCGTGTTCGTGCCGATGCTTCTGATCCGACCGCAGGCCGACATCCCGATCGTGACGATGTCCATCAACTCGCGTTTGGGCAACAAAGCGCATTTCGACTTGGGCAAGGCTATTGCACCGTTCCGCGATGAGGATACGCTGATCTTGTGCTCCGGCCAGGCCACTCACAACATGCGCGCCAGCCGCGACCCCAACAATCCCCTAGAGGACTGGGCTGCCGTGTTCCAGGGCTGGCTGGATAGCACTTTTACAGAGGAGTCCAAGCTGAGTTACGGCCAGCGTGGTGATCAGATTATCAACTGGCCTAGCGCCCCTGCTGCGAGACTTGCGCACCCGACGCCCGACCACTTTGTTCCGTTCGTCGTCGGTGCTGGTGCAGGCATGGAGGAGAGCAAACCAGAGGCGGAGAAGCTGTTCGGTGGGTGGGGAATGGGCCACATGTCATTTGCTACCTACGCCTGGGGTGTCGAGCATTGAAGCGGCTACGACTCATGTAAGCTAATACCAATTACCGAATACTTGTCTTGATAAACAGTTCTTCCCTGGACGAGTGCGACTTGCACACTAAACCAAATTATCCTCGACATAATACAGTGACCTTCCTGCTCCAGCTCGCTTGTATGAATTGCTACAACATTCAACGGACGTTGCATTCTGTGTCACTTAAAACCGCACAGTTCAGAAACTTCGACTACAGCTCCTTGGCCTTAGCAAACCGCCCCACTGGCGGCGCTACCTCCTTCCCGTCGTCTTCTTTCCATGCAGACAAAATGTAGAGCCCAATCACGATATTCGCAGACAGCACAGCCGTGAAACCACTTTTTATCAGCAGTACCACAACAAGTATTATAATTACACCACAATATTGTCTGTGCACAAGTTCCATCAACCAACGCACCCCCATGCATCCGCGTATTGACTGCCCGGCTCTCCTGCAAACAGCACACCATCAGACGCCACAGCAAGTAAAAAAATATGAAGCTGCGTACCTGGTGTGAATAAGCTGCGCACGCCGTAAAATGTGCTCAACGGCACCACGAGCATCAGGATCGAGAAGACGACCAGCTTCTGGAGCACCATGCGGTTGTGCGCGCGGTTGCTGCACGACAATCACCCCTACGTCAGCTGCATTGTCTCCTGCTGCGTAGCGTGTCCGCCTTCCACTCACCCAGCTGCACGCCGCTGCATGCCGCTCAAGCTCTTGGTCTCGCTGGACATTCTTGATCTTTATAATGATGTCGTCTTGGTTTCATTATGGGTGATAGCATTTCCCGCTTAAGTACGCTTGAAGGAACTGCCTTTCACTTGGCAGTTCGAAAAAGAGCGCCCGCCATGGACGTCAGCGAGCGGTTGGTGGCACGACGCGCGCACCTCGCCCCATTCTGCCGCGTGGACGCCGTAAAGCAGCACTTACGTCTACAGAGCTACTACCAGTTGGCACGCCAGCTCTATCGCCAATCCGAGACGTACTTCGCTGAGGGCGCTTGGGATAACGCGTAAGTGCCAAAGCTCACAGAGGTTCTATTTTTCTATACTGGCTGCTGCGAATTCCCGGACACTAACTATCGACTAATTTGTGTATCTTTTGTTGCTGCTGCGGTTGTCTTTACACTGTAGCTACGTGTTCCTAGCCAAGTTTATCAAGTAAGTTTGTGCGAGTAGCTTTCTGATCCTCAAATTCGAGCACTGCGTTCTAATTTTTTTATTAATTTTGTTGTCGTGACAGACTGTGCTCCAAGGTGATTACTGTCCACCACGACTATGAGCTGCCTCGATATCGCAAAGAGCGTGAGTGGGTGCGGACGGTAAGTTGACATCTTAATGACAGCCTGGATTCTTGCGTATTGGGACGGTATCTCATGATGGGGCGTGTGACTGTGCACGTAGCAAGCTGCAGAAGGATTCAAGCTCTTTGACGCGATTTTGGATGGCATGGAAGCGGAGGAGCTCGAGTATTTGGAGTATGAACGATCGCTGAACCCGGAAAAACAGCGAAAAACTGCGAGTCTTGTGACCGAGAAAGCGTCTGAGCAGGCGAATATGTCTGCGTTGGAAGCGCGGCTGCATGCGATGCGATTGGCCAAGAAAAATGCAGAGCAGCCGAAGGAACAGACAGCAGGTGCAGCGGAGATGGAAGACGCACACACTGATAGTCAACCAGCGGAGGTTCCGCCTCGACTAAATCTCGCTTTGAAGCCGCGTCAGAAGGTAACGTTTGAACTGGTATCGATGCAGTTGATTGTCTTCGACTTATTATATTCCTTTACGTAGGAACGGAGTAATACAGTGTCGTATCCTACAGTGGGTAAAGCCTCCTGGATGACAGCTGATACCACGCAGCACTCTCACACGCACTATTCTGCGCCACCTCTCAGTCGTCAGCGATCCCAAGAAGCAATTGCCAATTTGACAAGGTTTGTGTCTGGCATTGGAGTAAATTATTCATGTAGTAATTGAGAGCTAACACTGTTGCTTAGTGGGAAGATCCGTACACTGGAGATTCCTTCAGGCATCATCGCTCAGTTCACATTGCTGGCTTCCCCGAACACGAACCAGCCACCTTACGGAATCGAGACGTGCGGCATATTAGCTGGAATTCTGGTACGTCTGTCATGCACCTCTGGGATGAAGGTGCCGTACCTGAGTATTTGTGTCTTTTTAGCACGATCGAAAGCTGATTATTACGACACTTATCATTCCTAAACAAGAGGTACGCGTGTAATAAGAAGCAATTTATTATTGTTGCTTGGATGCACTAACGTGCGTCTTCTGTTTTGCAGGGGTCATCGGACATGTGCACTATGACGAATGAAGAGGAGCTTTACGACTTCTGCTTCAGCAACGAGCTACTGACCCTTGGCTGGATTCATGTAAAGGCTCCTAGTACCCGAAGGCACGATACTTATAATAACTCACAAGTGTTTGTTGTACAGACACACCCAAAGCAAGATTGTTTTCTGTCATCCGTCGATGTTCACACGCAGTGTGGGTTTCAATCGATCTTACCTGAGGTACATGTGAACTGTTCTTCCTTCTCGCTCCTCTGTACATGAAATATCCACGGTTTCTATATGTTAGGCTGTCGCTATCGTCGTTGCCCCCAGTGATCCGCGTAGAAAGTGAGTTATGCGGTTATAAGATGAGAAACATAAGTTACTAACATTGCGACCGTGTTAGCGTCGGAGTGTTTCGGCTGACTGAGCCAAGCGGACTGCAGCTGATTCAAAACTGCAATATGACGGGGTTCCACACGCATCCGAGTCACATTGAAATCTATTCAGACGCCTTTGAGGGTAAGTGGCAGGAGCAGGTCACAGCGCAAATAGTTGACATGCGGTGAAGCAAAGAGCGCGATAGAAATTTTGCTGTGGATCCATTGAAAGCGTGAAAGGATGTCAAGACAACGAACCAAATGAAGTACAAGTGAATGCAGTGGACTAATGATGCGTTTTCTTATGGTCTCAGCACGATCACAATGAATCAACTGGTCATGTAGCATGCCTCGCGCTGTAAGTAGTCAGGTGATCTTCAACTGTGTTTAGCCGAGGCACGTGGGTATTTAGATATCGTCGGAGCTATCCAGATTCAGTAGAACCTTCTCCATGCCCGGCTTGAACGCAGGCTTGCCCAGGAACGGGCAGCTACCGCATCGGAAGGCGTCGCCCTTAAAGCACTGCAAGATGAAACGTCGTTAGATGAGTTGTTAACGGGCAAATACAGTGAGGAATATTACGTTTCCGCATCCAGACACCAGACTGTTTAGGTCCTTCTCCGACATGACTGGCTTGTCATTTTCATCCTTCAAACTGCGAAAAACACTATGAGTATCGCAGCGTTCACAGCAATAAATAGCAAATGTCTTACCCGCAAGTGCAGTTCTTGCACGCGCGCTTCTTTCCACCGACCGCATCGCCACAATCAGCCTTAGCTGCCTGCAGGACCTCGTCTGTGTCATCAAGCAAAGTGTCCTCATCGATAATGTCATCGTCCTGATCGTCACCGAAATCGTCCGCCAACACCGTCCACTTCTTGATAGGCTGCGTCGTTGTGGACTTTACAGCAAGCGGAATGGCCGCACTCTCGAACGACTGCTTCTTCGACGTGAAGCTTACAGCATCCGAGAACTCAGGGTAGAACGGGCTGCTCTCCTGCTTGTCGGAGGTGTCCACAAGGCCACCAATCATCAGCGCCATGAGGATAGCATTCTTCTTCTCCTCCTTCACGTTGGCCACGTGCAGTTGCAATACACCGCCAGTCTTAAGCAGAGGCAGCACGGCACCCAACTCGATACCTAACTCCTCCGTCTGCTCACTAAACGAGACGATGCCGTCGAAAGCATTCTCCTTTGCGGAGGCACTGCTGCTGGTCACAGTCTGCGTTACATCCGAGTCCTCCGCCACAGCGAGGACCGTCACGTCCGCTACCTGCGGGTTTGTCTGTTTGAACTGTTGCACGGCAGACGCTGTGTCCTGCAGACGCGTCAAGATTGCTACGTTTCCCTGGAGAGCCATTGGAAGCAAATGTGTCCCAGAAGAATTGTGTTGTGAAACACAATTTGCTCCGGTTTGTTTGTGGCTTCTATCTAGATTTTATTGGCTGTTTGTAAGCAGGAGACAACTGAACTGGTTTACGAAATCATCCGCAATTTTAATGTGGCAAATGTCAAATTTAAATACCACAACGCAATCGACCATCATTCTTCAAGCCATTCTTAACGTCTGAAAGCTGTAGACCACCTCGAAGTTGCCGAGATGGATCGATTAATTGTCGGGTCACGAACCGTCTTGTGACCATGAGCTCTGGTTCTCAATCCAACCGAATAACTTCTTTAGTGACAACATGAGTTTCCGCTCCAAGCCTTTTAGCGAAACGAAAAACTTAACAATCCCGGGCCACGTGCAGTCATTGGCAGGGTGGAAGCTACTGCAAAGCGATCCGCAAAAACCACGGTGTTCGCTGCATTGTGAACAATACTCACCGTACGGTGACCCTGCGAGGGTCGAAAACTGGGGTGGAAACTGCGGAAGACGAACTCGCAGGTTTATTTGCCTCTTTCGGGATTGCGAGGTCGGGCAAGGAACAAGCCGTCGACGTTGTTGTTCGAGACGGACCAACGCGCTGGTGGACATTCCAAAAGGCCAGGGAGACCACGAGCAATATGCAAGTCTAGGAGTATCCATATCGACTTCAGCATTCCGGACGTGCACTGGAGACCACACCAATGAACAGTTTTCGTGGATCAAGGAATTTCACGAAGAAGACATAGCTGAAGTCATGGACAACAAACAATCCGAGTTCCCGATCAAGATTGAGTTTGCTTTTGAAACGCCTTGCTTCAAACTCTTATCCAGTCGCTGTGAGAAGTCAACCATGTCCTGGATGGACCTGCAGAAACCCCGCAAGTTTGTTGAATACACGACAATTACTGCAGGCAATCGTTACTACAGTATCACTTGTTTGTATGATGGATGAACTTAACCAATTGATGGACAAGGGCGCGGAGCTTTAAAAGAAGCTATCGGTTTGTGTTGCAGGCTATCAAGGAAAGTCGTATTATCGAAGTTTCATCTCGTGGGGTGGCTGCACAGAGTGTATGGTAAACGCCGTAAATGTCGCAAGTGTGATCCTAAACAACGACACCTCTTTCCAAATGCGAGAATTATTCTCGCGAAAAAATCCCCAAGGATGCCTTAATTGGTATCATGCTTCACCTCGACTTCTCAATTCCCGACGACGGTGACTTTTACCGCTCGGAGGTGATGCTGAACCATACGGCGCCACCTGGAATGCGCATCTTGTCTGTTGATGCAAAAGCCAAAAGCCACGTGGATGCAAACGGGCTCCGTGTAAAAATCGGCTACTTGGACCAACACCATGACGAGCTCACTCTTGCCTGTCGTTTGACGAAAGTGGAGAAGGAAAAGCTAAGCGCCGATGAAAATGAGGCTCAAGTGCTGCTCGGAAAAGTGCTGGGGATGCTGGCGCGAATATAATTCGCTACTTTATTCATTTTCTTGGGCAGGAATGGGTTTCGAGTGCACTTTAAAGTGTGCAGCTACATGATGGTCGACCCTAAAATGAAAATGTCGGGTCTTACATTAATCTTAATCGTCCTTGTCACATACTCTTAAAAACCATTAAAATGGACTCAACAAGGGTTGGCGAGGCCGATATTTCCTAGGCAGGAAATTCAATTGAATAGTCAGTTGAGAGCACAGCTCTTCGACAAAAGACTGCCTTGAGTCGTACTTTAATGGCCCATATCGTACTTAAGTGGATGCTTGCTTAAGCCAAGTCAATAACAGATTTGGGCTTACCGGTATTGCAAAGAACCGCGCTTGGAAATTTTGAGTTGAACGCACAATACTACTGACGGAATTTGCCTTTCTACTGTTATACACGTGTTGATGGTCATTGACACGCCAGTTGTTTTGGGCGCTGGACAATGTATGCAATGTTTGTGTGGGCGCTCACTTCGAAATTTCGCTCCACGGCTCACAGGGCTCTCACTTCCAATCGACAAGATGAGCTTTCAGTCCACGTCTCTTCGCCAAGCGAAAAACGTGGCGATTCCGGATCACGTCCCAGTGGGTGCAGTCATCGGCAAGGGTGGCAGCTACTGCAAAGCAATGCGTGAAAATCACGGTGTACGCTACTCGGTGGACGGGACTGACCGAAAGGTGACACTAATAGGACCGGGGACTGGTGTGAAGAGCGCAGAAGAGGAACTAACGGACTTGTTTGCCTCCTTCGCGATCAATAAGCAGGAAGAGAATCGAGTTTTTGAAGTTGTTGCGCCAAACGGACCAACCCGTTGGTGGTCATTTCAACAAGACATGGAGACTTCGAGTGACGAACAAGTCCAAGAGTATCCGTATCGCCTTAAGCAATCTGGGCGAGCGATTGAGACCTCCAATGAGAATACTATTTCTTGGATCAAGGAGTTCCGGGAAGACGACATGGCTAACGTCATGGACTACCTTTTGGAGAAGCCATCCAAGTCACCGTTGAAGATCAAGATCGCGTTTGGAAAGTTGTGTTTTAAACTCAGCTCTATTCGCTGCAAAAGCTCAACCATCGCCTGGTCAGAGCTGCAGAAGCTCCGCAACTTTGAGGAGTTCATGACACGCTGGTCCAATTACTGCTCCAGATCATCGCCATCAATTACTGCTCTGATGGACGATCTTGAGTCGTGGATGGAGAAGGGTGTGGAGCCTCGGAAGACGTTATCAGTGCATGTTGCTGGCTGTAAAGGAGGCTCCTATGGCCTGAAGTACCATCTCGTGGATCGCCAATGGGAACTACACAGTGCCTACACTAGACGCTATGTGCGCGGCACATACGATGTGATTCTGGACAACGACACTTCGTTCCGAGTGCGCGCTGTCAGCCACGAAGTGGCCACCAAGAGCGCTTCAGCTGATATTCAGCACCATCTTGACATCTCCACCCCGGACGGTGGCGACTTTCTCCGTACGAAGGTGGAGCTGAGTCGAAACGCTCCGGCTGGAATGCAAATCAAGTCTTTCGAAGCGAAGTCGAAAGTTCATGTGGATGCAAACGGTCTCCGCTTCTCGATCTTCTATTTGGACAAACACCAGGACGAGTTCCGTCTCGAGTGTCGTCTAGCGACAGTGGAAAAGGAGAAACTGAGCACCAAGGACAACGAGGCGCAAGTGCTGCTCATGAAGGTGCTGGAAGTACTGGCGTAGCGATGAAAGCCATCCTTTTCACTGTTGTTTGCGTATAGCTATTACGCATTTTACCGTCTCGTAATCCTCAGGCGACGTTAACAATGAATCGCTGTGCATGAGAGCTTTTGCGTCTTCAACATCGTCAATTTGAGCACTTCAATGTTACAAAAAATGTGTCTCAAATGTAGCCATATCGGTATAACAAGGGGAATTCGTACGTATGTTGTCTTGATCGGCTCGCTTCGTGGCGTCATTCTCCGTTCGTCCGTCAGCCAGATAGTCTAGACATCATGCTGGGGAAGACCGTCGTATCCGCCATGGCAGCGGCTGCTGCTGCTTCGTCTTTGTGTAAGGGCGAGCAACTGACGGCGCTGAAGTCGCCTAGCGTCCAAGTTCTCAAGGATCCACTGCAGCGAGTGGCTTTTGGCTCGTGCAACGACCAGAGCTTCCCGCAGCCACTGTGGACGAACATCGCAGCGCACAAGCCCGAACTTTGGGTCTGGATGGGTGATAACGTAAGCAATGTATTAACTTGATAAAAGGAGCGAGAAGCTAAAGAATTTATTGTGTGAATAGATCTACGCCGACGTCAAGGAGCTGGGTGAGCCGCGTCCAGTACCCATTCCACCACGTAAGATGTTTGTGGAGGCTTCAGGCGATGTGCTTATTCGAAGATACAAGTGGGTTTTGCCTGAAAAACGAGAGTTCTGGTTGGGAGGCATTCTTATCAAGTGTTTTTTTCTTCTTCTTCCTCCTTATCTGGTTACAGCAAGCTTATGGCCAATGAGGACTACGCTTCTTTCGTTAACCGCACACCGATCATCGGCATTTGGGACGACCATGACTACGGTATCAACGATGGCGGCAAGTTTTACACCAATCGTGAAGAGAGCCAGCAGATTTTCTTGGACTTCATTGGCGAGCCGAAAGACTCACCTCGTCGTGAGCAAGAGGTACCTACCTACCTATAAGCAGTGTTCTGTGTTGTGATCAATCGACCTAACCGATACTCCTGTGACCACATTTGGTAGGGTATTTACACGTCGTACACGATCGGATCAGGAGAGCAGACCGTCAAGTTTATCCTGGTCGACAACCGGTATTTCCACAATCTGCGATACGAAAAGTATGATGGATACAAACAAGTTCTGACACATTTCTTCATAACTAGATACAACCGCGACAACTACGGCACAAAGAATGGCAAATTTCTCGGAGAACCTCAATGGAAGTGGCTTGAGAACGAGCTTATGACATCGACTGCCGCCTTCAACGTCATCGTATCAGGAGTTCAGATTCTTCCTGGAGACCGCTATCCTGTCGCCGAGTGCTGGGGGCGTTTCCCGAATGAGCGCGAGCGCCTGTTGAAGCTGCTGCTGGCCTCAAATGCCAAGGGTGTTATCCTCCTCAGGTTAGTTAAGTCCAGTGAAGTTTCACGTTACTAACCGAGTTTCTAACCGAGACCTCAAATATTGCAGCGGTGATGTCCATTTCTCTGAAATCAACCAAGTGGTGTGTTCCAATGGGACAAACACGATCACGGAGATCACCAGCAGTGGCATGACGCATAGCTGGATGGAATTCCACGTACTATCAGTAAGGTACATCATGGCTCTGTTATTCACGTACGCGAACCTTCTACTGCCTTGGGAATACCGTCCGACGCAGAAATCTTTCTATGGACATCTCAATTGGGGCTCGATCGATTTCGACTGGGAGAATACGCCCCACCCTGTTGCAATAGTGAAAACCCGAGGTGCAGATGACAAGGTAAAGCTACAGTACGAGTTCGAGTCCAAGCCCTTTTACTCAGACTCTCCCGACAAAGACGCGGTCGAGTGTCAAGCGCCACGTCCGATTCCACGCTGGCAACATGTCTTGTGGGACGGCTTGTTCGTGGGAACGGTGGGACTTTTCGTGCTTCTGGTCCCGTTCATTCTGCTGTGGTTGGTGTGGTTTTTCATCAACAAAGCCATTTCTCCAACGACACAGACAGCAGAGAACGTGGAAACGAAGAAGACGGTGTAATTGTAGACTCAAAACAAAGGAACTGGTTTTTTTTTACTTGACTCGAAATAGACAAATACTTTTGTTTTTATTCTGGTTAGTTGGTAGTTTCTATTGGGGTCTAAGGAAATGTCTGATCCGATTGAGCAGTACCGGAGGCAACAACTCTATCGTCGAATTTACGAGAAAAGAGTGGAGGCCATTGCAGCTCGACAAGTGATTTTGTGTCGCAACAATGCGTTGAGAGAGGAGATCGAGCGCAACATGAAGTACTTTGTGGCGACGTCTTTGCAGAGTCGATATCGAGGATGGAAAGGCCGTCGCGTTGCTGCAAGAAGGCGACAAAGACACTATGCTGCTATTGCCATACAACGGATCATTCGCGGGGTTCTTGGTCGTCGACGTGCTGCTGAAGAGAAACGCAAGCTAAGGCAAGTGCTTCACAGTTCTGTTGCACTTAAGCTGCTGTTAGAGAGATCTGCAGTCGTGAGGACGATCAAAAACTGGCAAGAACTGCTGGATCCACACACAAACGAGTACTTTTACTTCCACCTCTTTACGCATGATTCGCAATGGCTCCCACCAGAGTCATATCAAGAATTCCTCGTCTGCAAGTGGCCTGAATGTAGCCATATTGCGAAAACCGTTCATGGGATTCATGAGCATTACCGAACGAAGCACGTTTGGTACTGTCCAGTGTGTATGGTGAAAGTCTGTACCTCGACATTCCCGACGTGTCCAATGTGCAAGAGTATCTGTAGTCATGACCTCGAGACGGGAGAAATTATAGGTCCTGGAGAGACCCATTTGCAGATGATGCAACAAACACAAGAGGCAAAAGAAGAACTGCGTCGACAACGAGAAGAAGCACATCAGCATCGTATGCAATACTGGGCGACGTTAGCTGGACAGCAAGAAAACTCTCATGGTCAAGCGCCGAAGACGAAGCGAGCGCTTGGATTTGGAAGACCAAGCGAAGCCACACATTCATCCAGCTCAAATACTACACCTGCAACCAGTGCAGGAGACCAGGACGCTGCTGCATTGGCTCGTTTTAAGGATCTAGATCCATCAGTGATGGACGTTGAATGGCTTTCTACGTGGCATCGCAAAGCCAAGCAAGATCACATATTCGCCAAAGCTTTACTTCGGTTCGGCAGTCTTTATGCTGGGGACTTTCACGCAATAACCAAGAGCTTGGACGGCCTGGGTGAATTGATTTATACCAACGGTGGACGTTATGCTGGTCAGTGGAAACAAAACCAGCGACATGGCAAAGGAATCTATCAAGGTGCCGATGGTTACGAGTACATTGGTGACTGGGTGGATGGGAGAAAACATGGCGTGGGGGTCCTGACTTTATCTAGCGGGGAACGCTACGTCGGTCACTTTGAAAATGGCAAATTTCAGGGTATCGGCGTTTTTTTCGCAGCGAATGGAGATCGATATCAAGGTCAATTTCAAGACAATCGTCCGAACGGGTTTGGCAAGTTCAAGAAAGTCGCTGGAGATCGATATATCGGGCATACTATTGACGGTCTTGCATATGGGGTGGGAACTCTTAGCACAGCAGACGGCGAAGTCTACAAAGGACACTGGGAAAAGGATTTCCGTCACGGTAGTGGTGTTTGCTTTTATCCTAATGGTGCTGTCTACTCTGGAGGCTGGTGGCGTGGAAGATGGAGTGGGAACGGGATCTACGTTTCCAGTGAAGGTATCAAATATATTGGCGAGTTCTCGAAAGGCAAACAGCACGGCAAAGGCAAATTATTCTTCGATAATGGCGACGTATTCGAGGGATACTTCGTTCACGGTGTAGCCGAAGGATCAGGCAAGACAAAAGGGGTCTATCGTTTTTTCGATAGTGGGAATATGTATGTCGGCGACTGGGTTGCCAATAAACGTCATGGGCGTGGCACGTACACATTCTCCGGAGGTAGCAGCTATACTGGGACGTTTAACAACGACCATGTTGAAGGCCGAGGGACTATGACGTACTCGAATGGAAACGTATATAAAGGAGAGTTCTTGAACGCTGAGAAACACGGTCAAGGTGTCTATCGGTGGCGAGATGGGAGCGTATACGAAGGGCAGTTTATGCATGGATTGATCCGAGGTTCCGGCAAAATATTGTATGCTACTGGACATTCGTATGAGGGACAATGGCTTGATAACAAGAAACACGGCAAAGGGAGATTCGTTTACCGGAACGCAGACATTTACGACGGTGAATGGCGCGCTGATCGACGCCATGGGTACGGGGTGTTTACGTGGAATCCTAACACTATCCAACAGGAGAAATACGAAGGGATGTTGGATGATGAGCGACGTCATGGCAAAGGCAAGTATTATTATGCGAACGGTACTGTGTACGAAGGTGACTGGAACTATGGCAAGCGTGACGGAATGGGAACTTTCACGTGGCCTTGTGGCGATGTATACAGTGGCCAATTTGTCGACGAGATGCAACATGGGTTTGGGAGCTTCTTTTGTGCTTCGTCGGGTGATACATACGAAGGCGAATGGGTCATGAATGTACGTGAGGGACACGGCAAAGTAACGTACGCTTCCGGAAAAGCGTTCGAAGGCACATTTCATGAAGGTAGACGTCACGGGGCTGGCGTTATGACTTACAGCAATGGCAACAGCTATCATGGGGTATGGAATCGTGATTTAAAACAAGGTGGCGGAAGATACGTACTTCATGTTGCAAGCGAGGATACTGGAAACGCTAAGAAACAGAAAGAAGCACTGAAAGTCCGTGTGTTCGGCTACTAGCTTAACTAGTGATTAGTAAGTGTAGTCATAAGGATCCGTCGTTCCTACACGAATCTGGAACTCATCGAAGAGGTTTGTCTCGAGCGTTTCTTGTACTTTTGATAATATTCCATCGCTGAATCCACGGAGTTTGCTGTCGAGTTGTGTCAAATCTAGCGTCTGCACTTCATCAAATTTGTCGAGATTGATTCTACACACCTTTCCTGAAAATGTCGCTCCATTGAAATAGGGTACGAAGAAGCCATATTTTCCGGATACTACACCCCCATTGAATCCACGTAAATCGCTGTCGGCGAAATCAGGGACCTGACTTCGCAATGCTGCAGTCAAATCCAGAAAAGAAATTCCACTCGGTGTGAAATCATTCGTGTCAATTCGTGCGACTTTGCCAGATTGCGTAGGCCCCTTCGGGTCGAAGAATTTCCAGCGATGAGGCACGAGAAAGACGTATTGCCGATAAGCAAACCCCCTCATGAACCCTCGTAAGCCAGTATCGACAATGGTCAGATCAAGGAACTGTACCGAAGTGAAGTCACGCAAATCGACCCGAGCCACCAAACCAGAATACGGGTTCACTTCCTCCGAGTCGGGCTGTCGTACCCGCATGTACGGCACGAAGTAAGCGAAGTGGGTGACTGCCAGCACAGAGAATTGTTACTTCCAGATATTACAACCTGTTAAAGCTCAGTGCATTGTAGTGTACCTGTGACTGCACCGCTAAATCCGCATAAATCGGGGTGAAATAATGCAAGGTCGAGGCTTCCGGAAACACGAAAAGTGTTCAGATTCACACGAACAACTAATCCGGAGTTGGAAGCGGGGAACTCCCGCAAGTTCATCGTTCGTTCGTCCCCTGTTAATGGTCTCCTAAGTATGCCTGGTTTCCATCTGATGTTACAATACCGTTAGAGTTCCATCGAGTTACACTGCTATGCGATGGCACCTTACAGGTAATTGCGCCGCTAAACCCCACATAATGCGAGTTGACAGCTGCCAAATCCAGCACCTCGACGCTCGATGGTGTAAAAATGTCAGTTCGAAAGCGTGCTAACTTTCCGAAAAGTCCGTTTTCATTCTTCCGAGGAACTAAATATCCGTAGGAGCCGTAAGTGAAAGCTGACCCAAACCCCTTGAGACTTTTATCCACGGCGCTCAAGTCCAGTATCTCCACTATCGGCGCTTTTGACGAAAATGTGAGAGCCATAATGCGAAGTACCTTGGATGCGTACGCTGTTCCATTGTTATACGGTATCAAATACAAATACTCGACAGCTTGTTCCATTTCTGCGGGTTTCCCGAAGCCTAAATGTGTCGGTGAGGCTGTATACTGAGCTTTCAAGATGACTTTCCAAGCTGTCGTTTTGTAGTTGGGGTCATCCGCAGCTGGAACGAGAAAAGTTTCATTCACGAAAGAAACATTTGAGAAAGCAGTAAAGCCACCACAGAAACCTTTGAAGGAGGGATCCAGAGTCGCCAAGTCGATGACAGCTACTTGGTTGTTGTAAGGACCAATGCCGTTGGGTGTTTCATAGTCGCTAAACTCGAGAAATCGAGCTGGCCGAGGTCTTTTCTTACCCTTGAGACCAAGCTCGATTCGAGTCACACGACCATGGAAATTACTATTGAAATATGGCACCAGGTAGACGTATTTGGATGCTGTAAAATACACTTCACGTCAGAATTATCGTTGTTTAATGTAAGAAAAAAAAACAAGCAGCTTACGAAAGATTTTAAACTCATTGGAGATTACCACGACACTGTCGTTCATTCCTTCTTTCACGGCAACCGCGAAAATCTTGCAAGAGTAAGTGGGGAGTGTGATAACGTCTCCACTAGCAGCAATACTGAAGTTTTTACCAGACCCAAACAAACCAGCAGCAGTGAGATTTGTAGTTGCCAGTTGAGTAGAAGGAACGATACGATAGTGGATCGCTGCACCCAGTTTTGCGGTTAGAAGACGCACCACCACCTGAGTATTGAATTGACCTCCGTTCGGCTCGATCTCTGGAGTGTCCACAACTCCCTGCCATTCAAAGTAAACTCCAGTCGGGAAGTCAAGAAACGCCTCTGGATGCGCATACCGATCCGTGTGAGAGATGTAGCAATCGTGAGTGATAGTCTCAAAGTCGAACGACAGACACAGTGGGTCGGTGTCGCATTGCACAGCACATGTCAGTGGTGAAGATTGTTTAAGCACGCCTCCTTCTAGAAACCCGCGTAAGCCTTTCTTGTCCACAGCTCTGAATAAGCTGAGGATATTGGCTGAAAGTCTGCGTCCGGGGTAGTTTTCTGTTACTGCAATACCTTCATCTGCAACAAAATCTTTCATAGAAATTATCGACAAACTAAAGCAAACTCAGATACCTTACGAAATAAGTTTTGTGGTAGGTGCTGTAACAACGTACAAGTGATCTGTTGATGGACATGTGAGTATCTCGGCCGCTACAGTGCGGAGAGAGAGCCAGCATAGCAGAACTAGCATCGTGCTCTTGACTGCAGTTGCCATTCGTGTGTCTCTTCACGACATGCACTTTTACTATATATTCTGTTTCATTTTTATTTATCATAAAATTATGCATCGATTTGTACGGCTACGCGGGTACTTGCAGAAGGCTCCGCTTCCGATAACGCCTTCTCTGGTGACGCAGGTTCGTCGTTATTGTTGTCGTGATCGTCACTCTCAGCTTCGACTTCAGGCTTCACTCCTCGTCGCGTTTGAGGTTCATTGTTGGTTGCGTGTTTCGTTTTCAACTTGATCTCGGTGAGGGAGGCGGCATCGAAAGGAACCACACGAGTGGAAGAGTTAGTAAGCTTCAGCTTCATGGGACTTAGGATACCCGTAGGCATCGCCCCAATGACCTTCTTTAACGGCGAAGCGGGAACACTCGGGAGAGCTGAAGCCTTGACCATTCCAGGATTTTTAAGTGCCTGTTCCTCCACGGGTTTACTCGTCTCTGCGTCCGGTTCTGGTGTCTTGCCGGTTGTTACAGACTCTGGCTTCGGTTCGGTCTTCACAGTGTCCTCACTTGCTGGGTTATTCGACGTCCCTGTAGAGCTGACACCTTCGCCTTTTCCGTTGAATCTGGGCATCCCAGCAACGTTCCTCCGCGGTGTTGCGCTCCTGAGTTCCTGTTGTTTCAGTCGTTTTTCTTCACGAATCCGCTTGAGTTCATTCTCGCGGTCTGATTTCATGAGTGACATGGTAAAGTCATAAATGATACTGAAGAATTCTCCAGCACCTGATAACATTGCGGGTGTGAGCGGAGCATCAGATGCAGGAGCCGGAGCTTCCTCCTCGTCTGCGTTCTTGTCGAACCGCAGCATAACATCTCGCATCAGCCGCAACGTCTCATCCAGGTCGGTCTTTAGAGTAGCGACTTCCTTGGAAGCGTCATCAACGAACACAGTCATGGACTCGACGAATAAATCGTTCTCTTCCTTCTCCTCGATCCGGTTCTTCAGACGTTGAGCTGCTAATTCAACGTTGATAATTTCAGTGATATCGTTGATCCTGTTCATGTCACCTTGAAGCTCTGGGATCGAGATACTCTGAACATCATACAGCGACGCCAGCGAGTCTCCCAATCGAACCCCATTCCCTTTCTTCATTCGCACCATTCGTGCCACGTAATGCAGAAGAGTAACAGACTTATCAACAGACTTGAGTTGTGCCAACTTGGTCAGATCATTCAACCGGAATCCTTTTGCTCCTCCTCGAGCAGTACCTTGGTTCATTTTGTTCCCGACTTGGAGAACCACCAGTAAAATAGTCTTGAGTTCGGAACTCTGTCCGATCTCGTTACTAGCCACCCGAATCTTGTTGATTTTGGTCTGAAGATCTCGCACTAATCCAGGGAATTGGTGCTTGGTTTCCAACGCTGAAAGGCGCTGCTTTAATCTCGGTACAGTGATGAGTTCTTTCAAGACCAATTCTGCTCCATTGAGAGTCGTCGGGTCTCCACTAAACCCAGTGATAGCTGCTATTTCTTCATCAGTAGGCAGAATCTTGATCAACCCTTGCACACGATCAAGAGTTAGTACTTCTGCGTCCATCTTCATAATTGCCACTCGTAGCGCTGCGTTGCTCATCTTGAACTGCTTAACAATGATCGAGATGTTGTTGGACCTTGCACGGTCAATCAAGAACACAACTTTGGGCGAGGCGAGAGGAGACGCAGGACTTCCTGGTGACAAGAGTCCACTCATAACGCCACGTCGAGTGCCAGTACCAGGCCCACTAGCAGCGGGTGGTGGGAACTCAGTCTCTAGGAGCTCCAATTCACCGTCAGTAAGAGTAAGGAGGTCCACGTTACTCTGATTACAGTGCTCCTTTTCAAGCTCTTCCCAGATCGTTCCTTTGATGGCTTCATCCTTCAGTTGTTGCCAGTAAAACGAGCGTGTCTTCGCCTTGATAGCAGGTTTGATCGCGATAGATAAATGAGCTCTACGTGCTGCTGTTGAGGTCGGAGCTGGTGGCGGCTTCGGAGTAGCTGGCGTTGCACTGGGTACGAATGCATCGGGTGTATCAAGGAGATCTCCTTGTAGTCCTGCCATCCTCATCTTGGCCTTGACACTCTCCGCTGGTGCCCCCATTTCCAGCAACTTGAAGAATTTTGCATACGCAGGATCGTCTTTAACCTTTACTTGAGGCTGTGCAATGGCTTGAATGTCTCCACTAGGCAAATCAGCGTCGGGAGTATCAAGAAGTTCTGGTTTTAGGCCTGCCATTTGTATCTTAGTTTTCACAGATTCCGCAGGTGCACCCATAGAAAGGAGCTTAAAGAACTTGGCATACGCAGGGTCGTCTTTCACCTTTACTGTCGGGGTAGTAGCTACAACAGGGGCGTTCGCATTGGCATCGGGAGTGTCCAACAAGTCGGGATTAAGCCCTGCCATCTTCATTTTCGCCTTCACTGACTCAGCTGGGGCTCCCATCGAAAGTAACTTGAAGAATTTGGCATACGACGGATCATCCTTCACTTTGACTTGAGGCTGCGAAGCAGGAGGATCAGACACAATAGCAGGCTTCAATGGGGCGTCAGGAGTATCTAGAAGTTCTGGTTGAAGACCTGCCATCTGCATCTTCGCCTTGACGGACTCAGCAGGAGCCCCCATCGACAATAGCTTGAAGAATTTAGCGTACTGTGGGTTGTCCTTCACTTTAGTCTGAGCTTCAGTTGGAGGAGCTGCGTGACTTTCGAGCATGTTCGATAGCATAGCGCGAGAGGTAGATGGCGCTTCACGTGGTGTAGAGGTAGAGGGTGTTCGAATCGTTGGCATCTCGACGTCTGGAGTGTCCAAAAGATCACTGTTCAGACCAGCTTGGACCATTTTGGCTTTCACTGCAGCAGCAGGAGCCCCCATCGACAGGAGTTTAAAGAACTTGGCATAGCTAGGATCATCTTTCACTTTTGCAGGAGCAGGAGCAGAAGCTGGAGCAGGTGACGATGCCTTTGGACTAGTAGTGTCAAGTAAGGCTGGATCCAAGCCAGCTTGAGTCATCTTGGCTTTCACGGCAACTACAGGAGCCCCCATCGAGAGTAACTTCTTGAATTTAGAAATGTCTGCCCCCGATGCTACCCCTTGTGATGGAGGAGCAGCAGGGGGGTCCTTGACTTCCACCTTCTGGTCCACATCTATGCCAGATTGACGCATTTTCGCTTTCACTGCGTCCATGTCAAGTCCCATACCATCTTTGGAATCTGCAGATGTCGTTTTACCTACTGGCTTTGGTGATGCCTTCGGAGTAAAACCCTGCTGCTCGTCCAGTAAATCTGGGTCTACGCCAGCCTGTTGCATTTTCGCGCGCACAGCTTCACGCGGCGCCCCCATTGATAAGAGTTTACGAAACTTGGAAATGTCCGTACCAGTGGATGGAGCCTTGAGTGCTTTAATATCGACACTGGTATCGGGTGCGATCACCAGTGCCTTCACCTTCAAAGGTGGAACCACTGGAGTGATGTCAATTGGAGGTAAGGTAGGAGTAGGAACCGTAGCAGTAGTTGATGGCGGAGGTATTGACGGGGTAGTAGCTGGTGCCTCCTTGCGTGGTGGAGACGGGATTGACGGGAACACTGGCCGCTTCGCATCTTTCCGAACACTGGCAGTGGCGATTGGTGTGCAGGCTGGTGTCACGCCAAGTCCTGGGCCTTTTCGAGAACTCTGGAAGAATGGCAAGGATAATTTCGCTCCTCTTGCTGCAGGGGAATCTGTGGGTCTTGCAGCACTGTCAGCGCCTATAAAACTGGTAAGTGACGGCCTCGAAACGGAGCTTTTAGCTGGCGTTGTAGCAGATAATGACGACAGTGAGAAATCGCCAAAACCAGAGAATAACGGTGGACGACTGGGTAGAGGAGGCTTGGTCACGGATGCCGATCCGTCGCTCAAGCTCGGAAACAAAGCCAAACCTACACGTGTAAGTATATCGGGCTCTTGGCCTGGTTTTACTTCGGTCGGTTCTTTCGAATCTCCCGGGTGTTGAGTTGACGAGAAACTCTTGTCCAGGAGATCGACAGCTTTACTAGCACCAGTTTTATCCGATAACGACAAGGCGAGCTTCTGCAAGACACTGGTTAGCTTTTCGTTGGTCTGGTGGTCCAGGTTTTTCGTACTTTGCTGAAGCTGACTGAGTATTTTATCAAGCGAGGAACACTCAGCGTTCGTGAGAGCTTGTGTCACATTCGAGCTTTCGGTCTTAATTTCGGTACTGGTCGTATTCTTCGCTTGAGGTTGCTCCTGCTCCGGGTTTACAGCGTCGCTAGTCTCGTTGCTCTCGCCTTGATTGCTCGTCGTAAGGTTATCTGTCAGACTAATCCCGTTAGATCGTTCTAGCCCGTTCCGGTTGGTGTTCAAGGCATCGCCCAGTACGAGTCGTAGGGCCCCGATGGAGCCTTTATTTCCTTCAGTAGCTTCCCCATAGTTCTCGAAGAACAATTCAACGTGTGCAATCATCGACGATGTGAGTGGAGACTGTGTCTTCGCATCGCTATTTTGACTTCGGAACGGCTCAAGCAGAGCGAGAAACCCATTGGCTTTAAGGTCTTGGCACATTGAAGCTCGTTTCTTTTTATCGCGAGTGTCCAGCAAGGCATTCACAAATTTCACAGCAGCAAGCTGGAGAGCAATATTTGACTGATCCTGTTCGAGCTTGGAGACCAGCGATTGGAGCGAATGATCTTCCGGGCGTTTAGACGAGAAAGCGCTCAGTACCGCGTCTTGGGCCATCGCGCTTTCGCGACATAGTATCCCCAAAAGTGTCAGCGAGCGCAGCTGGATTTCACTCGAAGACGAGGAGTTAAAGAGCGAATAAAGCATCGGACAGCACTCGGAAATCTTCAAGACAGCCGAGATACAACTGCTGTTGTTAGCCAGTACGAACAGCGTACTGATGATCTCGTTGCACGTGTCTGCTGATGCACCCCCGGAGGCTTGTAAAGGGGCCACCAACTCTTCGATTCCATCCCCCGAGACAAACTTCTCAAGCCACGCACTGCGATCACAATTATTGTTACAGTTAAAATGTAGGAAAAAGGCAGCTCACAGTATCGTACCCAGTTCTTAGCATGATATTGACTCGGATCGCCAAGAAAAGATCATGAACACATTTCACATCGCCACGGAACCGCTGCACAAGTTCCACACACTCCCGAGGATCCAACCATTCCTCTGCGACGCTGCCTTGCGGAAGTTTGCTCCTGCAAGACGATAATGGTTAGTTTGTCTGTCGCTATCTTTGTTTACTTTGAAGCGATCAAGACGAATACTTACAGAAAAGCATACACCCACTTGCTGCCAATGGATTCTGCCGCATTCAACTCCTCTCGGATCTCAGGGTCAGTGCACGCAGAGAGCAATAGCTCGTCAAAGCGGAGCTGAACTTGATCGTCAGTGGGGGCTGGAGGGATCTGGGGACGGATTAAACACGAGTTATTCTCCAAGTTTGGCGTCATCTTATTCTTTCAAGCATTTACTGTACCTCCGGACATCCATCTAAGAAGCGCAACTGGACACCTTCGCTGGAATTCGAGTTCCCCATTCCCGGCTATAGATTGTGCGAGAAGAAAACTACTGACAGAGAACTGCACAGCCCCTTAATACCTCAATCACTTTGATGAGTGCACATGGAGAGTATTTTTGCATGTCGAAACCACCAGAAATCGCTTGTCTTCTCCTAAACAAAGCCACGGTTCGTTTCACGGATATAGCGTCGGAGCACCAGTCACCCCATCGAAATGCCTGACGATTATATTTTCATGTCGTTTTACCCGTTGGGGGGGGGTCTCAACAAGTGCTGTCGTCTTGAACGATGCCAAGTACTGTAATACGTTTATGTGAAGAGTCACATTCGGATGAGGTACCTGCTTGGAGCTCTGTGGCTTGTCCTCAGCTACGTCGAAGTCGAAGCGCAGTTGCTGTTGCCTAAAGAACTCATCACTTCCTATAATGGCAACTCCTCCATCTTCGTATCGAACGCAACATGTAATGCCTCGATAGAGTTTTTCGATGGAGCAGCTCTTGAGTGCAGTCAATGCGTCATTGCGAACGGAGCTTCCACACTAGAAAATACCTGGCTGGTAAGAGAATCGTTGATATTTTAAATGCGTCCGCTAATGAGAAATATTCAGATTCCAGACAGCAGTAGCTCACGAATACCCGGGTTGGCCACAGCCTGCACTTGCGAGTAAGTGAACTGTCAATGTATAATATAAATTTTATCACTGCTCACGCATCCGCTATATGTAGCCAGAACGCTATCTTGAAGACACGAAAGGAGTCCACGTGCGAAATGATTTGGCCGGTGCCTTGCAGTCTTCAGATTTGTACTGCGTGTCCGTCCGGCCAAGTTCCATCTCGTGACGCATTAAGGTGTATGACCTGCGGTACCTCCACACTCGGTATCCAAGAATTAATACGCGAATGCAAGTGTGATACCAACTCGATTCTACAAGAGAAAAACGAGGTGCGCCCGGGCTTCTCCCCACTAGTTTTCAAAGAGTGAACTGATCTCAGTGTAACTTAGGATGGCAGCTATCTCGACGCAAAAGAATGTGTGGAATGTGCCGCGAACACAGTCGCTGACTATTCCACCTACACGTGCAAACCATGTCCAGATCCAATGATGATTGTAGCTAGCAATAGCTTCGTGTGTGCCTGTCCGAATGACTATCAGCAGGTCACGAGTTTATTGATGAGTGTCCAAAAGTGTGTTCGCAATACACACATCAACTTGATCAGCTCCAAGATCACACTTAACAACGCGAAGGACATGACGTTCTCGTCCTTCCTGAAGGAAGAAACTGGCAGCTTCGAGTCGGTCGTTTCCGTCGCTAGTGCTGTTCTTGACGACATGTTTCTGTCTGCCACCACTGCATGTTACTTTTACCAAAGCGAGAAAGATATCGTGTCGTGTCAGGCACTGGGGAACCTCTGCGTTCTGCAACATTTCGACCCTCAAGCACCTTCCTGCGCTGTTTTCGACTCAATTCAACGCAGTGGACGATCGTCAATAGTTAACAACATCGACGGGTGGTTCACCACGTTGCCATTCTTGAACTATCGGTCGGTTGCATCCAGTGTACTTCAGACGCCAGTAGGCATGAAGGTACGTCGTTTTCTAACATATACATGTCGTTAATAATGAGCTGTTTGCTGTAGATGACTTCGGACGCGGCATCGAATGAAGGCATTGATCATCTTGAGTTCGTACTGGCCAGCTATCACGTCAACGGCACGCTCATCGGATTTCGACCGCTGACACATGAACTGGCCTACTGTCAACCAGGCAGCGTTGGCGTGGCTGATTCTCCTTCGTGGATGCACTTTGGAGTGAGCGCAGTATCGGAATATTCGTGCAATCTCGAGGCTTTACAGACTTCCAAGCTAATTCTGCACGAGATTTTCTTGGTCGATACGACGAGCAGTGGAGACGATAAGAAGTTCATTCCCATTCCTGTGAGGAATTTAAACTATCGTGACAGCAGTGGAGTGTTCGTCAATCAGGATAGCGACATAGCAAACGATTTTCTATCTCATCGCTTCTTCCTGTACGACTTTCAAACGGGAATTCCAGTTGACGAGACCTCTTCCAACGTGATTCGATACGCTGGAACCATCACACTCACTATCCGAACACAAGCGTCCGACCCACACTTCATTTATGTCCCGGAGCTAACGATAGCATATGTCGACACACAGAGTCCCAGAGTCGTCGCAGTATCACTTCGTGTAGCGTACACTTCCGACACGGACGAGTTTTGGTCGTTTGCAAAGGCTGTGTACACTGTGGGGTGCGTCCTCGCAGGATGTCGCGTCCTCCTTCAGACGTTCAACTGGTACAGACGTAGCATCCGGAACGAAGTCGTGGAGAATGCCATGTGTCAGATTCTATCGACCGTGATCAGCTACAGTGCCTCCTACTTCGCCCCTGTCACATTTACAGTCATGTTGATAATGTGCAGCTACTTTTTCATCGTCTTTCGACTCCAGTCCAGCACCGTTCTCATGCTTCCAGAGGTGAATTTCGACCCCCTTGCAAGAGGTGTCGATGAATATTACCCGTTCCGAGTGCTGCTTCCTCTATCCTTCTTCTGTCAACTGGTGTCAGTGTTCCATCACGTCTATCGTCAAGCTCAGCTACAGCTCTTCTTCATTGACTGGGAGAAACGTCGCGCTACCGTCATGGATATCGATTCCGCCAAGCCAACCCACGCTTCCATCAGTGTGTGGCGTATGATTTTGGTTGTCAACGAGTGGAACAAGCTCCAAACTGTTCGCAAGACTTCGTTACGCTTCACACTTGTGTTCGTATTATTTCTTGTGTACGGATGCAACTTGAGGATGCTCTCGCTTCCAGTTCCAAGAGCACAAATGCCGTACGTCACCCTCACAACGACTGCGGTCTCCAATGATGCAGCTGATGACCAATCGAATCCTTATTTACGCTTCGCCAACGTCTCGCTCTGGTGGCTTCTCGTTTATATGGGTCAAAGACTCTGGAAATTTTTAATCTTTGAGCGATATATCGATGAACCACGCGAGCAGCTCTTCATCGACTTGTGCACTGTATCGAAAGTGAGTTGTCTGTTTCTCGACGAACCTTATCACGGTTTTTATCTGCATTGTCGATCGCCACATCCATTTGCCGACGGGAATATGAGAGAGCTGGTCGATCAACTCAAACAGGAAGAAGCAGGTCTTACAGCTGGCAGGCATCTCGACTCCACGTTGCCCGATTGCCAAACGTTTGAAATATTTGTGACTCGCAAATGGAAACGCAAGTTCCGCAATTTGTACTCGTCGGTGCGAGGTGAAAGTCTCGTGGATGGACGTGGTGTTGGCGGTGAAGGATTGATTCAAAGATCTTTCTCTCCAAACGGACCGTCCACACTTCCGCTGAAAAGCTCCGACTTGAACGGAGTGGTGACAACCGAAGCCATGGTTCACAATGCCGAGCAACTCCGGGACTACTTGAAGTCATTTATAGAAAACCAGAACGATAGATATCGATGGAGGATTTACCGTGCGCACACGTGCCTCACACGGCTTCTGGATATCCCACCAGACATGTCGTTCAGCAAGCAGTCTCTCTTTTTGCCAGGTACGTCGTAGAATCCATCAGTACTGCTGGTGTTTCAGTACTTAATGTCTTCATTGGTCTTTGACAGACACGGCGTCCAGGTTTGCTAAAGCTTCGCTACTGCTGGGGATCGAAAATGATCTGATGTTGCTGGATCTGCTAGTACGAAAGCTGCTTATCAGAAAGAATCCTCCTTGCCAAACTGGAACTAACGCTCTGCTTTTTTATATAAACCAGTGCTTCTGCTTGTTCGACTTGTGGATTGGTAACCATGCGATTTCTGCTCTCGCGACATATGCGCTCCAAATTCTGTTGCTCTCCATCCGTGCACATGTCGGTCGACGAAACATTGCCAGAAGCACACTCGTAGATCCACGCTTCTTAATATAAAACACACCACTAATAGAAAACCAGTTCTTCACACCCTGCAGTCGCAACATTAATCAACGAATCTACTCTTGGCTGTTGTTACAATATTGAGCTGACAAGCACAAGTAAATGTATGATCATCACAATGCCAATATTAGTCCGTGAACTGCATCCGTCGAGCCCAGTCGAGCTCGCTGCTATCTTCCGAGATTACTGTAGACCAGCGCAAGGTGGCAAACGTCGACGGTAACGCTGCATCTGCATGTGCAGCATCGAATTGGTCCTTGCACACGTCCAGGATCTGTTGATTCTCAGTAACGTCTTGCTCCTCATCCGGTTCTGTTTCACACAAGCTCGGAACGCACGCAGTGATGAGGTATGTGCACAGCGCAGGCTCGTCGACCTTCTCCACTGACAGCTCTTTAGGACGAGACTTGCAGCAAGTATACACCACTTTAGTGCTGCGTAGTTCGCCGTTCTCATCGCAGTGCTGACCGCCAGCAAAGTACTGTACAACATCAGTGCCAGTGTCTCTATCCTGTGTGACAGGCACGTACACGCCCATACTCCAGTCGCTTGGACGAGATCCGTCTGGCTCTTGGTGGAATTGGCGCACTTCTTTCTCGTAGCAAACCTCGTAGGTCCACCAGCCAGCAGCAGCGAAGAGACAACGGCCTTCTAGCTCCTTCTTCACTATTTCTGCCTTCCGTTCTATCTCCACAGTGGACGCCAGCAGCTTCTCCTTAGCTCTCTTGGCGGTGATAGACTCCACTAATTGTGTATTGATACACTGTTGCAACTCGTCGTGGTAGAACGCCCACCCGACGTGTCTCTTGCAGCTAGTACAGCGAATATCTCGCCAACTGTAGTCGTCGAAGACTGTTGCCTTCTTGGAGAAGACCTCGCCCTCTATACCCAGCACCTTCTTGAAGCCGGCTAGCTCAAATTCGGCCTGTAGTAAACGATATACCATGCTTAATGTTATTGTGTTGAGTACGGAGGCTCAAAAGCTATGCTGCGTACCCTACTAGGGTTCACGAAGGTGAAGAGTTCAGCGTCATTGCCCAGCACAGCCTCGTGGCGACTACCCACGGCTTTGGAGGTGTCGTGCAGGTCGATGAAGTCCCTAAATTTATTAACAGAAACGAGTTAGAGATAGTAAATAGAGCGCGAATGTGATGCAGAGGGAGAGACGTACTTCTTCAACGCGACAGGGGCACCGCACGAGCGACAGCGCACCACGACGCCATCACTTTCAAGCTCGTGACCAAGGTGGCTGTGATCAGCTAGATCAAGCGCATGCAGATTCTGCGCATACAGCGCTTCAGCCGCTACCGAGGCCACGCAACTCAGTGCAAGCACTAGCACTAGCAGAATACGTGGCATGGTGATTGAGTAAATTGTGATCTGGTCCACTTTTGTTTTTGGTCTTTGATTTTGACAAAAAGGGGTATTTTCTCGATTGTTTTGGCGATAAAAAATGTTACTCATGTTCCGCGAATTGCCTTAATTTTTTCACGCGCTTCCCGCCCCAACTGCTACGATCATACCCAGTATGACATGATACGAGTCAGCAGCTGGCAGTCTGTCCAGTCTTCGTGGATTTGACCTTGAAAATATCATCAATTTTAAACGATCTCCATCTTCTTTTTGTTCTTGTTCTTCTTCTCCGCCTCCTGGATCTCCTGCCACTTGTAGAAGCGGCTGATCCGGTCCATCTCGCCGCCCTTCCAGTTTCTCCAAGCTAGGCCGAAGCCCACGGCCAGCATGATGCCAATCGGTATATCCTTCAGGGGAGAAATCATAAGGACAGCAAGGCTTTTCTTGACGGTCAGTTTAGCAATTGCGAAAAACATGAAATTCGACACTCTGCTATCCTTTATTTATTACCGGTAATAAAAAGATATGTATCGATTGGTAGTAGAGTCCTCTAGGGACCAACATCGCTTTCCACTCAGCATGAAATTGCTTTAAATTTATTGCAATGAAAGAGGAGCTTCTTGACTTGGTTGACTTTGCAGGGTTGGAGCGATGCTTTCTTCTCCTGCTCAGATCGCAAAAACGTAAATGAAATCAAAGAAACATGATATCCTGTCGCATATTCCGCCGAGTCTGTTCCAAGAGATTGCTGTACAGTAAAAAGGTATTGGTTAAATTCTTGAGCCGCTATTATATTTACATGTCAACGATGAAAAGACGGTAAATTGGTCACCAACCAGCTAACGCAATTTTAAAATTTGGTATTTAGCTGAAATCTTTGAAATGTATGAGCTACTGAGTGTCTCGTACGATTGAGGTGTGCAGTCAAGTAATACAAGGTGTGAGGGCTTCAGATGTTATTTCACCGGTGTCTGCGTATTAACACGGAAAATGTCTGTGACGAGGACTCATATCACTACATGTAGCATATTTGTCATCGACTGTCCTAGCAAAAAATACTCAGAATAGGGCAAATATTTTTGTCTGACTTTTTTGCATTTTTTTGTCATCTACGGTAGTTTAAATCTAAATTACCGGTACATGTATCTCGGAAAGTATTTGTAAGCGTCCAAAAACTCCGAAAATAAGAAATAATTTTCTCCTTGATCGTATCACCATGGCAAGGGGGCAAGCTGGCGGTACGCAGTCAAGCTCTCATAGAGAAATGAAGGTGTTCTTGCGCAACCGAATGTGGCGGGAGCACTGGTACGTGTTTGTATCCGTCGTCGTGATCGTGGTTGCGCTCTTCGGCTCGGCTTTCCTGCAGTTCTCGACGTCACAGGACCACGTCTTTCGGCTGGAGGTGACGGACTCGGTGCTAATGAAGCGCGTGTTCCACTCCGGGGAGCCCTGGGTGGTGTTATGCTCCGGTGCAGACGACGTGTTGCCCGAGGTTTTCGACAAGGTGTCGCCGCGTCTGGCGGGCAAGAGCTTTGTGGGCGTGTTGGACTGCAAGCAGAAATTGCCAGCATCGGGCAAATCGGTGCTCAAGCGCTACGGAATTAAGAGCAGCATCTCACCCACAGTATTTACTGTAGCGAACGGGGAGAAGCCCAAACAGGTTTTCCTTAACTACTTACAGTCGTCTGCGGAGCTGGCTAAACATGTCAAGGCACGGACCAGGAAGACCATGCAGCAGGTGCAGAACTCAGCACAGCTGGAGGCTCGGTGTCTGTCCCGGTCCAGTTGTGTACTGCTCCTTCGTGGTCAACGATTCCAACCCTACGAGAAGCAGTGGATTGATGAGCTCATGCGCAAACATCGCACGCTGAGCTTCGCCTGGATCGATGCGACGAGCTTGAAGTTGTCGCTCGAAAATATGCTGCCTGATGTTCGACGCGGAGAGCACCGTATGGTGCGCTTTCGGCGCCAGCGCGATCCTGATACGCGCAAGAAGGTGCTGGCAGCCAAGGCGTTCCGTGGTGACGCCTTCAATGCTGTCTCTGTAGGAACGTTCGTAGATCAGTATGCTGATGCAGACTCGCTAAAACCACTGGCAAAGTCTCCTAAAATTTTGCGTCGAAAGAAGAAGAGTCAAGCTTCTAAGCCAGAAAGGTCGGAGCGTAGGCATCACAAGAAGCAAGACACTGAGGAGAAAGACGACTTCCCACAGCATGTGGAGCCTGACGAAGGGTCAGTTGATGACGTGGAAGAGGAGGAGGACGTGCTGGATCTCGATGATGACACTGACGAATAAAAGAATTATGGGTAGAGGACAAGTATCAATACAACACGAGTTCCCACCACCAGCAACAAGATTTATGGTCTGTGTTTTCCATCCACTCTAACAGACGCATTGCTTCTTACGGCTGTTGCCTTCCACTTGAGCAACCTTCCTCTTACCGCGCGACTGCGGCGCATGAGGAACTTGATCTGCGTTGGGCAGTTGTAGGGAATCGATAGCACCTGCCGGTAGCGCCACCTTCTTGCAGGGGGGTTCGAGACGTCGATTCTGGTGGACAGAACGGCTTCGTCGCTTACCCAACACACGCGTCGACGGTGTCTCCTTGACAGCTTGGAGACGTTGACGACGAGAAGACCCGAAGATCCCAGAGGCGTCAGAGTTCGATCGCTCCAGAAGTGATCGGATAGCGGAGCTGTCAGCGGAATACCGACGCTTACGGCCCTCGACGCCCTGTGTCACTTGCTGCAGAGACGACAACCAGTCGGGCGACGTGTACTCTTTGAGACTGACATAGCCGTCCCTCGTTTGCGGAGGTTTTCCGAGGAACTCAACAAATGCAGGGCAATTCCGAGCAGTGGGGTGATTCTCAATCCATTGCAGCAATGCCTCGAATTTGGCGCGTCGTTCCTTTAAGACCGCCTTGGATGATGACACTCGCCAGAGCAGACCTACCAGCGCTGGCGAAATGTACTCTTTCACTGGGAAAGGAGGTAAGCTGTTAGTGACTCCCTCCGAGGCTGCAACCACGACGCGAATCTGCTTGTATAGCTTCAAAAAGTCGTTGTAGCGTCTCAGTATAGAGTAGTGCTCGACGTCCAGCACCGACTCGGCATCGCTGGAATTGTCGTCACCATCATCGCTCTCGTTTTCGTCGATTAACGTCGACAGGAGCTCCTCTTCGTGGACAGACACGTCCACTCGGTAGTACCAGACGCCAGTGGCTGGAGCCCGCGAGAAGTTGTCAATTACGAGGCCACGTCGAGGCCGTCGCGTGGCCTCGACCAACTGCTGCTCCGTTCGGCTACTGCAGGTTCTTGTCGTTGTCATACACTAGGTCTCGGTCAAGAGCACAAACCTCCAAGCAGAGAACTCTGCTCGACACGGAGGAATTCAAGGAATGGCAAGTGATTTCGAAGTTAAACGAAGGATGCGCGATTGCCACCCAAATAATTTGACCAGCAGGGTATCAAGCTTGTGGTTAGCAGCCACGAGAAAATCAAATCTCCAGCACGTGGTGCTGTGGCCGAAGATATAACCGGGTCTGGTACATTTTCTCTTCCGCAGCGTACCTACTTCGAAAGAAATCATGTAAAACAATTAATTTCCTCCTTCTAAAACGCTCAGACTTTGGGCCAAAACTTTTGTCATTACAGATAGGGGCTGCCAAACTACCGCGTCACGAGCCGAGTGCCAGATCGGCTTGAGCTCCATAGATAGGGAGGTAGTTGGATGTCCGTCATTGTAAAGTTGCCAGGGTAGTGGCCTCACTCACCATCTTGGCGGCGACGGTGGAGACTGAGTCTCTGCACAGGCGCGTATAGAGTTTGAACGCGTCCGACGACCAGCGGCCGTGGAATTGGATGGTCAGCGAATCCACGCCGACTCGGTACATGTTCGTGGCTCCGCCGGTCCTGAGCGAATGCGTGCTGTACTGTCGAGGATCCTTGCCCAGGGGGGCGGCTACACCTTGAATTTCCTTGGCGACGCGGGCCGCCGTCACGCAGCGGGGTCTCTCGTCCTTATCCAGGAACACGGCTGCCGGGATGGTTGGCGGCAAGCTACCTCTAGGTCGAAGGAGCAACAGCGCGCCTAACACTGGGCACAAGAATGGATGTCCCGACCGTGAGAGCATACGTTGAACCGGTGGGCCGTTTTGATTAGTCTTGGAGCCTCTGAGTCGAATGCACACCGCCGATGCCGTCCTGGGATCCGTTGTGGTTGCCCCCTCTGCGTTGACCACGGCAATGTCTGCTGCCGTAAGGGCAAACCAGCGAAATGTCGTAGATGTAGTGGCTGCAATTTCTGACCGGCGCAAAACGAAAAAAAAGGCCAGGCTCAGAACCCCCATGTAGCTTGGTCCGCAGGGTCCTGAAGGGAGAGGGACCGGAGGCACTCTTCGAGCAGCGCGACGGACACGGGAGATTTTTGTCGCGAGGGGGCGTCGCGTCTGCGCACCCCGCGCAGGAGCATGCGGACCTGTGGATGGCCTGCTGGGAAGTCGTGCCCGGCAGCGTTGAGATAATGGCGAATGCCATGAAGCGCTGACTTAATTGTGGAGCTCTGAACTGGTTTGCTCGATCCAAAGCCGCGTTCGTGAGCGTCGATGATGAAATCAGAGATAGCGCGCACTTGCTCGTCTAAATCAGGGCGTAGGTGCCAAGGGATGCCTCACCGGTGGGTCCACTGCTTCCAGTAGCTGAAGGAACGGGCGTAGGATCGGAGGGAGGAGGCGGCAACGGAGTGTTTGCGGAAATATCTAGCCACGCTGTCTCGAGCTCCTTGGTGGACGACGGAGTCGGTGCCTGTGACCAACCACTGGTTAGCTCGGTGAACAACAGGGCGAGAGAGCCACCGCCCCACCGACGTGACCCTGCGTCAGCTGTGGTGTTCTCGGACCCGAGAATGTGTGACGCAGTAAAACGCAGGCCAAATTGTAGTTCCCAGGCGCCGAGGAGGCGGATCAAGAGCTGTGCACGGGTGTTTCTAGAAGCCATTCTCGACTACCACGAGACGACGGTGGTATTGTCAATGCGGAAATGAACATGAATGAGACTTGCCTGAGGTTGGCTGGCGCGCCACAGGGGGGCCCACGTTTTGGCCGCGAATGCGCATGCTAGGAGCTCCCGATAGTTGATGTCGAACTCGTTAGACGAAGCGAGGTGGAAGCTTCCGATGAGGCTTCGCTCGGAAGGGGGGAATGGGTATGTGAGGTGCAAGCGCTGCGATGAAACGATTGCGCAAATCCCAGTGTCGGATGCATCCGTAAAGACGGTGACGTCAGGGGATGGGCTTGAATTGAAGTACTCGAGGGGGACGCCGTTGAGCGACGGAGAGCGGAGAATGTACCATCACCAGAGGAGGTCATCGCGCATCGTCGAAGACAAGGCGATGCGCTTGGTGCGGTGGATGGCGCGCTCGCCGGGGCGTAGACGTTGTAGAAACACGCGTGCAGGTCTTACGCACGTAGCAACATGGCGAAGGGACCCCAAAAGTGAGCGGTACTCGGTACGAGAGAGGCTAGTTGCGTGAAATGCCTTCGCTACTAGAAGTTTTGCCTTTAAGATATTCGACGTTGGCATAGCAACCGTGCCGGATTCTGTGTCGAAGACTAGACCCAGCACCTTGAGCCTCGAGTTCCATGGCGTAAACTTGTCGTCGTTAACAGCGGTAGGGCCCATCACAACCGTCATGGCGTGGCGTATCGAACATTCAATGTCGTTGCAGCTCGTTCTGGAGTCGATTGCGACGTTTACGTGATCATCGACCCAGTGGTAGTTATAAAATCCGGTGGGATATGCGGCGTTGGTGCACGATCCGTGTATGAATGCCACCGCACCGCCCAAGATGCCGTACGTTCCGGCTCTACCAGTCCACCCAAACGCGGCCGAGAGGTCGATGACGATTGCGTTGTCTTCGGGGATGTGACCCGCAAACAGGAATACGCACTCGCTGTGAGTGCACGCGTTACGGTATGCGGTCGCGACATCGCCGGCCATCAACTTGACGGTCTTATCTGGAGATGCACGGCGACACCGTATAATTTCCTGTGCAACGCTAGAGCAGTGCTCGAATGACGCGGACGGGATGTCGTCTGCATTCGTATGGGAGTTGACCGAATCTCCCTCGGGAAACGAGAGGTCGTGGATAACTCTACCCGAGACGTGTGGGTCGCGATCGCCTTTGTCGACCACGCCGAACGGGCTGATGAATAGCTCCGGCCAGATCATTTTGATGTCTGCATCTACAACAATACAGCGAAAGGCGCCCTGCTCTTTCCTTATGTTGGCTCGCAAGACCTGGATGCGCTGCGACGCCGACGGTTAGTTGCGGGTAAACGACCGCTGCGGGGGGAGCGGAGAGGTGAGGCGCACGCGGGAACCCTCGGAGGCGATACGCAGGAGATCGTCGACATGATCATATCCTTGGCAATATACCCGCAGAGTGTCAGGCTGTAGTGCTTTATTGGGCCGATAGTCTGTGGGTGACTGGCAGCGAACTAGTTCGGTGAACTGCTTGAGAGGCATTTGTGTGCGCCGGATAAACTCAGACATTGCGTGTTGCATGGATTTGTCGAGTATGTCGCGGCCGGGTGTCGTGTCTACGGGGCTGGCTGCGTGCCTGACGGGGAAGTGCACATTGACTTTGCGAAATGCAGAGGAGAGAGACGCGTCGCGTATGGAATTCCAAAGTCTCGCGCGCTGGAGGCCTGCGTCGCAAATCTATGCTAGCGTTGCGCGTGACGGCGATGGGCGTAGAGCTTGTTTGTTCCCTTGAGATGGGTGCGGAGAGGCTGCGGAACGGGAAAACGTGGGGGTTAGTATGCGGTGCGCGGCCGAGGGCGAGCACGCGAATGAATGCCGATCAGCCGTCATGCTGTGGCTGGCGCCGGAAGGCGCGTATGTGGTTAGAGTAAGTGGGAGCTGTTCGGAGCTCGAACCCAAAAAAATCTTCGGTGGAATGGCCAACGCTATAAGCGGGCGGCGGCTCACCGGCATTAGGCTGGACAGGTTGAACTGGTGCACACGCCTCGACGGCGAGGTCTCCGTTGGCGGGGCTGCCAGGATACACGTCGACAAGTGTGATGGGCTGTTGGAATAACCCGTGTGGTTCACTAGAACTCAGATGGTCAGTATACGTGTGTGTATTCAGATTACGGCTGAGTCTGGGGTACCGAAGCACTGGCGAACCAGCAGTACCTCGGCCGTATCAGGCGCGGCGCCGGTCGGACGGCTGGCGTCGGCCGAGCCTTTTGGTGGCAAAGCTCACCAGTGCAGCGGGGAGCTCGTCCGGCCAGGTGTGTTTCCGGCTCGCCGCGCACGTGTCCGGGGTTCCACCGGAGCACATGCCCCCACCGAAGAAGCGCAGACACGGCTCAGCTCCATCAGCGTCACGTGGGATGATGGCGCGCACGCTGGCTGAAATGCCGCTCGGGCGAAAAGACGGACGTGCGTCGTCGCCTCGGTGCACGCGGCGGTTGCGTGCATGGGGACTAGCGTCCGAGGAAGGCGCGATTGGGCTGGGTAGAGCTGTCGCGGTGTGCGTGCCGCTAGCATTGGCGATATTTTGGAGAGCCATGGCCCACCTAATGGACCGGAACTCAATTCGCGTTGCTGCGGACAAAAACTCCCGCCACCAGAAGGGAGGGTCGCTGGACAGATGAACGTACACAGACTAAAGGTGCTGGCTTACCTCGTGCAGTGTCCGTTGAATGCGCAGCGGCGAATGATTGGGGTCCGCGTCCATGTTGGCGACGACGAACTCGCGAATGCGGTGTAAGGGGCGCGTGAATACCTCGTGCCACTCGGCGTGTGCAAATGTGAGCAGACCTTGCACCGCTCCAAGCAGGTCGAAGTACGTATTGCATAATGGGGGCAGAGTGGGGCGGCGTTAGAGCTGAAGTCAAGGGTGAGGTTAATGTCAGATGACCCAGCTTGGAGCTGAGTTGCAGCGTCGGCGCGGCAATAGTGCATGATGGACGCTCCGTGTCGGCCAAAGCGAAGTCCGGCGGTAGCCCCGATAATCGCTGGGTGGTCGTTGAAGTGCACGCATTCTAACATGCGCATGCGTAGGACAAACGAAGTAGGTGTCTCGTGCTCACCGGCTGGTGTCTGCCAGTAAGCGTATGCCCGATGAGAGGCAAGGCTATGGACGGCTAAAGGTACGAAGTCTCCTCTGGCACGCAGCGCCGAGGGTGGGAACTTGGCTGCGCGCAGGCCGCACACGGCTTCGGGCGGTAGTATGCCGCGGAGGTTAACCAATGTCCAAGAGGAAGGGACCTGCACGGTTCCAGCGGCTGTGGTGGCGGTGGTGAGGGCCGAAGGCTCAGGCGCTGTTCTTCCCGGACGGGCTTGAAGGAACTGCAGAAATGCCGAGAACACGGAGGTTGGATCGTGTGTTAAGTTTAGGGGCTCATCTGGGACGGGAGCTGTGCCGGACTGGGGGTCTGCTGAGCGGCTACTTTGCTGGACAGCCGGGGCCTGGACCAGCCGCACGTAGAGGGAGGGGGCGCTAGGAGCTGCATGGTTGGAGCTGGCGTTGAATGTGCTGAAAAAATTGGCGAGGTCGAATGGCTCGCGTTGAGAGAGCGCTGACCCGGTGCCGAAGGTTGTAGGGCGGGCAGCGTGCGGGGCCACCGTCGCGCTTAAGGTGTCGCTGGCATTGGGCGACGGTGGGCGGGCGACGGGCCGCTGACCGGCGGCGGCATGCCCATGCCGGACGGGCTCCAGGCGACGTGAGGTGCGCTAGTAGGAGTTAGATCGCTGGGTGGCTCGGGATGGAGCGCTGATGTCTGGCGATCACTGGCCGCTGTGGCGCTTGTAGCCGCACGCATGGGAGCTGGGGGCGGCACCGGGACCGCAAGACGTCGTTCGGGTACGAGCCGAGCCGGCGGGGTAGGTGGGTGTTGAACAGGCTGGGGGGGGAGCTGGAGGCGTAGTCATCACCGCTGGCTGCGACCGGATCCGAAGGGGGCTGAACGTCGGCGCTGACGGGGTGCCGAGTGCCACGGCGGATGCTCGCGCTGCCTGTGCTGCGGCCTCCTCCTTGTCGACTACGAGATGCTTCTTCTGGCGCCGCGCCTCCGCGTTAGGCGCCGCACACTTCTTCCTCTTTGCAATGCGCGTACTCGCACGGACGCGCGCGTCCGGTGAGCCGGCTGCTGCCGTGAGCGAGGCCGTTAAGGAGCTTGTCGATGGCGGTCCTGGCGCCGGGATTGATGTTGGCTGAGCTGAGACTGGTGGGGCGACCTGGACCAGAGACGCCGCTGGGGCCGGAAGCAGCTCGGTGGGAGGGGAAGTCAGGGCGGTTAGCGCAGGCGTCAGCCCGGGCTGCGATGAAGGCGTTTCCGAGGAGGTGGGGTTGGCCCGGACAGCGGTCGCGGGGGGCGGAAGCGACGGCATTGTCACGGACAGAGGGTTAAATTCTTGGACGCTTGAGCTTGGGAAGCGAAGACGCGAACTGCAGTCGTGCTGCTCTTGCTGCCGTTGCGTCTGGTCGCTATCTATTCCGAAACCTATGTTTCAATATCTTGAAACTCCTATTTTCTAAATCGCTCTCTTGATTTTTCTTAAAGATCGAGAGAGCTTTAAGAAAAATTAGTAGCGCTTTTTATTTGAAAAATTAGAAGCGCTTTTTATTTGCAAAAAAGGCACAATCTTGTTAATTTGCTTTCTTAAAAAAAAGCTGTGTGCATTTAACAAAAAAGCGCATTTTGTGAAATACTTTTTTTTGCTAGAAAGCAATACCACCCAGCATGACCTATTCATAGTTGCCTGCGTAAAGTTGGTTGTACGAGGCAAATGGTCGATGCAAGCAAGTCATATCACGCTCTGTCAGCGTTGCTCTCTCAATGGACAGCATGTGGGCGTCTTTCGTACAAATTCTGCGTCACGACCATTGCCAGTGGTCGAGACGGCAAGCCTCGCATGATGGCCACCTTCAGCAAGCCCACAGCTCAGACACCCTCACCCGAGGCAGTGGCACGGCTTTATTTTCACTTGAGCACAGATCATCAGCGAGTGCGTGGCTTCACAGTGGAGCAAGACCCACACTTCCACGACCTCGAGACGGTCAAGTTCGATGAAGCGGTGCTAGACCGTGTTATACGACGCAAATTGCAGCTGCAAGCCGCGCAACTTGTTGATCTCAGTGATGAGTTTGCCTCTACACGGGTACCGGCAGTGATACGATCACGCCAAGAAGAACAACGAGGGCACGAGCGAGAGGCAATAGAGGAGTATCTGTACGAGCAAATGCTGCACAGCGACTCGTACAACGATGGTAAACTGCTGATTGAGGTGTTCCGTGAGACTATCGACGCGCTGGAGCTGGATCCACGCGTGGCACCTCGCGAAATACTGCTAGCACTTGTAGCTTCAGACCGAGACGACATGATATCGTACGGCGATTTTGCATCTGTTGCTGCAGACGTGATTGACGCCATGGTTGGAGCTGGTCAGACTGAAGACGGGAAGACAACTCAAGAGGATGAGGCTCTAGATGCATTTGAGGTAGTGTCAGCTCGACAGACTCACTACACTGTGGAAAAAATGACAACACTCGTGGAGGCGCACGCTGAACGCGTTGCTGAGGCAGCCAAAGCCATGGCTGCCCGTCGTGTAGCAGCTGAAATGGACGCACAACAGGAGACAACGACTGTTATCCCAGAGGAGACCAAAGAAGACGATAATGAAGAAGAGGGGGAGCAGAAAGATGCAGAAGCTGCTTCTGGAGTGGAAGCTACCGGTAAAGACGACGAAAGTTTACGGGGAAGCTCTCACTCTTTCGGTGTCCACCGTCGATCGTCAGTTAAACAACACCCTCGTATGACTCGATACCAGCTGCGATCTCTCCTCGAAACACCGCAACTACTGCTTAGTGAAGCGGAGATCAACCTCACGCTAGCTTTAGTCGACACTATGACCAATTTTAACGGTGTCGAAGAGGTTCTTTGCGAGAAGCTGGCGCCGGTTCTGCGCCGTGTCCGTCGCATGATCTTCCGCTTTCAGCGTAAAGGCTTCGTCGATCGGACGGAGACATATTTGCTGCATCAATTCCAAAGCTTTGAAAAGCGAAATCTCCAGGGCTCATCAAAACATTTGAAGCAACGCTTAACGCAGAAGGAGGCGAAAGCAGCTATGAAGACCATGCACAAGCTGTTGCTGTCTCCGTATCAACTAATGCAGCTTTCTGCACTGGCCGAAGAGCGGCCTGGCGAACCTGATCATGTTGTGTATTACCAGGAGTTCATCCCCCGCATGGCACAGCAGCTGCGGGAACTTGTGAACGTAGATACCTTGGTCGAGAAATCTACTGTGCTTCATGGAATGGGCGTTTGGGACTTAGATACGGTGGGTCTTCCGAGTGAAGACATTGGCAGACAAACAAGTTTTGACTGCTTTGCCAGCTTTGATAAAACGCAACTTGGCGCTATCCCGATTGGAGATTTCCACACAGCTCTTCAGCAACTTAGTCAAACCCATGGTTTCCCTGTTGGGACAGCTGCGGAAAAGAAGCAACTGAGTGTTTTGGCAGACTTGAACAGCAGTGGTCGCGTAAATTATGCCCTTTTCCAGCACCTCATGTACCCTTTGATGTTGTTTCTTCTTCAGGAACGCGAACTAGCTGCTGCGAAGGAAACCTCACGGGTGCGATGTATTGAGCAGGAGATGAAGAGCGAATAGCGAACGTTCACAACACAGAAGAATCAGGAAGAATAAAGGGCGATGACAATTACAGCAAATAAATCGTCAATAAAAACACTATTCTAAGTACAATGCCACTACGAAGTAACTCGGTTACTCACCGACCCGCGAAGGACACACCTAAAAATTAAGGACGTCCATATCGTGGAACAGCAACAGCTAAACAAATCTACAGTTGATGTCGACTTTGCCTGTTCAGAAGAAGTACTTGATTCTATCTATTTGACTAATCTACTGTAGCTTTCTGTGAGAGGATTGTACTGTAGGCAGCTATCTAAACTGAGAGGCGACCCACTAAATTGTACGATCCGCGCATGGATGACAATTGCTTGGCAGTCTCGAAGTGATGGAAATGATCCAATCCACCAGAAACTTCTGAGGTCGATCGCTGTCGAGCGGTAAGGTTGCTCGTGGAATATCGACGTCTACGACTTTCCACCCCCTGCGTTGTTCGCTGTAGGGAGGATAACCAGTCAGGTGGCGTATACTCCTTTAGGCTGACGTATCCATTGTGAGACTGTGGTGGTTTTCCTACAAAGTCGACGAATGCATCGCAGCGCCTGGCGACGGGGTGGTTCTCAATCCACTGTAGTAGTGCCTGGAACTTGGAGCACCGATCATACAGGACAGCCTTTGAAGAAGTCGTACGCCGCAGCATACTTTTCAGTATCGGAGAAATTAGTTCCTTAGTCGGGAATAAAGGAATGCTGCTTGTACTGCCTTCGGTTGCAGTAGTCACGTCTCGAATCTGCTCGTACAGCTGCAGGAAGTCGCTGTAACGTCGTAGAATGGAATAGTGCTCCATGTCTGTGCTCAACAAACTGGAACCGCTCAATCTCTCGTCTTCAGTATAGCTGGCATCACTGACATCGTCATCGATAAACGTCGACAACCGCACTTCCTGGTGAATGGACACGTTTACCCGGTAGTACCACGCGCTTGTAGCTGACTGCTGCGAAACATCGTCGATAACAAGATCGCGTCGTAGTCCATGTGGGGTACTGTTCAATTGCTGCTGTGAGCTGAGCTCGTTTTCATTGCAGGAACGTTCGGGGTAAGTAATCCAGGGCAGGTCCGATGCACCAACAAAGGTTTTTGAAAAATGAGAAACTGAATAAGCGGACACACCGCGAAATACTACAGTAATGCAGCTAAACAACCGAAAAAAAAAACAATCAAGTAGGAAGCGTCTGTTTTAGTGTCGCTTGAAGTGCTCGATATGAATTGGAATGGACAACGCACGAGTGGCACGATCGATATGAATGGGAATGGACAACGCATGAGTGGCACCATTATTGTCCCAGTATCCATACATTGTCGCTCCGTCATCACAGGAATTATCTTAGCGCCGTAGTTCGACGGCTGTTATTCAGTGCACATCGCGCACGTGGCGTGTCCTCATTTTTTTGGACTATTAATAGCATGGAATTTATGCTAAATTCCGCTGGTTACACTTTGAGATCGCCAACACAGGTGGTTTATTACATGTAATATTGTACATGTATCGCATGGAAAACCCAATGCGTGTGTAGCCATTCTTAAAAATAATGGGTGGCTACTGGTATAAATAACCGGAGGATGATTGGCCAATGAGAGGCGAGTGAATTCTTAACAGTGTAATACGAAGCGATACACTTGACTCTGTAGAAGCACACAGTACGTGAAGAAATTATTTCCTTTACCTTAAGACCCAATTTCAAAGCAATAATAGTGGTAGTCAGAGTTGGATACAAGAGCTCTTTCCAAGAGCACAGCTCACTGCAAATCATCCAATCAGCGCTAACGTACTCTGACAACCTTTGCAAGGGCTTGGAGTCGACTGTTCGGCAAGATCCAACGATGCCGACGCTAAGTAGGAAGAAGGTGTTGCTGTCAAGGCTGCTCCTCGCGTGGAGAAACCAGCTCCGTCTGAGTGCAGATAGCGAGGCGTCGAGTGATGAAGATTCGAGTGATGAAGACATAAGCTACGCGACACTGTATCTTGTATTGGAGTCCCGCCGCTACGTCACGCCCCGCGAGCGTGTGGAGCGCCCACCATCACGGATTAATTACTATCTAACCCGGATGCCAGATAGCGACTTTAAGCTCCACTTTCGCATGCCTAGGCCGTATTTTCACGCGGTGTGTCGTGCAATTGCCACGTTTCCCGAGTTTCAGAGCGTGATTGGTAAGCTGCAAAAGGCTAGCGTGGAGGTACACGTGATGGCACTCCTGAAGATACTTGGATCGATGGACGGCCAAGGCCACGCTGCTGATTTCCTCTCTGTTGGAGGGCATACACCAGAGTCATTGCTAGCTAAACGTGTCGTGACTGCATTGATGCGAATAAAGTCAGAGGTAATCTGTTGGCCCGGATTGCGAGAGCGTCGTGAAATTGCAGAGAGGATTAAGAATGTGTCGGATCTGCCGAATTACATAGTCCTCATTGATGGCACTTTGTTTCCTTTGTCCCAGCGACCCGAGAATCATGGAGAAGATTTCTTCTCTCGCAAAAGTTCTTACGCTATCAACGGACTTATCGTCTGCGACGGCCGCGAGCGAATTCGCTATGAAAACGTGGGTTGGCCAGGCTCAAGCCATGACAACCGTGTGTGGAGAAATTGCAGGCTAGCACAACATCAATACGATCACTTTGCGGATAACGAGTATATCCTGGGGGACTCTGCATACCAGGCTTCGAATGTGCTGATTCCTGCCTTTAAAAAGTGTCGAGGTTCAGAAATACCGCTGAAGGAGAACACGTTCAACACACAGTTAGCGAAGATACGTATTCGTGTAGAACACTGCATTGGAACGTTGAAAGGTATATTCCCGCTACTCAAACGTCTGCGTGCTACAATCAGAAACGTAGGCGAGCTCAACTCAACCATTTCACTCATTCGCCCAGCCATCATATTACACAACCTGACGGTCAATGATAAACTTCCTGATGCGTGGATTGATTGCGATGAAGCAGAAAATAATGAGCCCATAGAACTACCGAGCGGTACCAACGAGTGCCGTAGAGCTTACTTACGCGACTATATTTTCGACAGCGTGCATTAAAGCATCAATTAATCAGACTCCGCAGATGTTCCTACTCCTTCACTTTTGCTCTGTAGAGGTAATAGTCGATCAATTTCTTCTTGTGGAACACCGCTATCTTGCAGCTGCTTGCGTGAAAGAAGAAGTTGAACCGCAGCTTCTCGGTGTGCGGTCTGAAGCTGCACCATTTTGACTTGAAGGTCGATGTCAGCTTGGGCCTTTTCGCGGTTATTTTTTTCGTCCTTTAGTAGCAGCTCTTTAGACTTGAGTGCGTGTTCGCGTTCACGATAATCCATCATCCTCTCCCGTTTCTCTTCACGAATACGGAGTACATCCGCTTGCTGTTCCAGCAGTCTGTCAGCAGAGTCTACCTTGTGTTTCTTGGTACTCGAATCTGCGTCAATGGCGAGCGGCCTCTTTTCGCCTTTTTGAAGCACAGAGAGGCCGGTAGAGAGCAACTCCCCTTCAGCTGCGTCTTGATCATCGGATGTAACCTTGGCACGAGCTGAAGGCCTGTCCATCATCACATCATGCAAGTCGTAGTAGTGTGAACAGCGCTTCAACAATGCATCACGAAGGCTCTTCTCGTCCGTAATACCTGCACCAGTTGCTAGACGAAAATCCTCTGCCTGCCGCCACTGTTTCTCCAGGGAGTTAATCTTAACGCGGACCCCAGGACTGTCTCGATGCTCAATACCAACTGCTTTCAGCTGAGCTACGATCTCCGCTAGCAGCGCTTCCTTCGTTTTGCCGCTCATTCGATCACTACCTCGCCACTTGTTATAGTTGGGGGGGTTAGTCATCCATTCCAGCACCACTCGCAGGGAGGATTTTCCTCCATCCACCCCATCGGAGTCCCAGAAAATGGGAGCCTTCTTTCCTGACCTTGTCATCCCCCGACCCGACTGATCGACCTGCTCCGGCACCTGACCCTCTCGCTTCTTAGCCTTCGAAGGCCGAGTCACCTTCTGCTTGGTCTTCGTCTTGAGCTTGTCAGTGGCGACCGCTTGCTCAGCAGGTGCCCTGCTAGTCGTATTGCCCTCTCTGTTCTCCATAGTGCCCTCCGATCTTCTCATGGCGATATCTCTTGGAATCCAAGACTTCTCCTAAAACAGAAAAGCTAGGGTGAGATCTCTTGGATTCCAAGAGAGTTTTGGCCAATGAGAGTCGACGGTGTGTCTTTTCAGGAGCTACCACTAATGCCCAGTGACCAGGTGCTCCGGAATAATCATTGTTTTAGCGTTTAATTTTTTTTTGACAATATATATTTTTATTTTTGAGAAGCCAGATATCACTCCCAAAAAATTATTTCTTCATGTACTTTCCGATATTTTTTTCTTTTTTTTTCCGTGTTTTTTTCTTGAAACCTATTTTATTTGGAGCAAAAAAAATATTTTGGCTGCAATTACTTATTTTCGCTTTTGTTTTTAGAAGAAAAAAAATTATTACTGAGGGCTGTGAAAATATTATTGCACTGTTATTATCGGTACACCTGAACGCGATACCATTGACCGCTTCCGATGCGATTCGCCTCGTAAATTAGAAGCGCTGACCCAGCACTGGCAGTGCACAGCAGCGATTGCTTGCCGCTACGCTCGAGCCGATCAGCCATTGGTTGCAACTTGCAAGTGAAGCAGTTAGGATACCATCATTTTCCCCTTTGAGTCGAAGTCGACACCCACCATTTGCCCGGTCTCTGCGGCCAGAAACCTTGCGTGGGCCGCAGCTGCGAATGGAGCAGACATCGTATCTTTGCTGCCTGCCAGCAATGCCTGAAGTACAGCCTGGGCCAACGCTAGACATCACTATCCACTGGAGGCAGTGTGGTAGTAATCTACAAATGACCAATAGTGCGTAGTGCGTCACTAACGCCGTCAGGGAGAAGCAACACCTCGGCGAGCAAAATGGGGTCCATGATCCATGAGTCATGTAAGGTCCCGACGAATTCCAGAAGGTTGAAGCAACAGAAAGATACAATATCCATGAGGTTTTATCATTTAACCTTGAGGTTTTATGAGGTTTTATCATTCTGACTCGCGCAAAGACAGACAAAAGGAACCATTTTCGAAAAATGAAGCCCATTCTCAGCGCGCAGCGAGTGGTTGTCGCTTCCTACCTCCACGGCTGGACTGCAGCCTGCAGCTCATACTATACGAGCATTATTGCAATTGCATTGTAGTAGTGCAATGTATGGATCGGCGGCGTCCACACTCAGGACGGCGAACACGTATTGTGGCATAAGCCGTGCGTATCATAACTATTGTAAAAAAAAACCGCGATAAACAACCTTGTCGCTTTCTATCGCGTGGACGTGTCTTGTCTCTGCCTCGGTTCTGAGACCCATTGTCGCCGTCCAACGGTAACGGCGCGGTATCGGCTCACGGTGTGCAGGTACATTGTATGCAGCATCTGATTGTCGCTAGATGTAGGCGTCGTAATACAGTGTAGGACTCCTACGGGTCTCCTCTGTAATCAGATGTGCGCTGTTGACCAATGCTCGTCTCGTGCTGCCGAACGTTGGCAGCAGCGTCAATGAGGCGGGCATTTTCCGCCGTCAAGGTCGCTTTTTACAAATCCTCATATATTAATTAAGGACCCATTCGAACGTATCCAAGCCTACCCATTTTCGACTGATGGGCATCAAATCTTTGCTTGATGCCAAGGTGGGAAGGGAACAGCAACCACGGCGGGAATGTATACCGCATAGAGAGATCAAGTGCTGGGATCTTTGGCTAGCAAGACCAACGGCCACCGTTGATTCTCCAAGACATTTCGGATTTTGCCTCCTTTTCCTGTTTTGTTGGTGAGATCATGGCGGAAGCTTTTGAAGTCTACGCCTACGTGGTGACCGCGGGTGTGTTCGGCATCCTTTTCGCGGCCTACCTGTTCTGGGAAGTTTCCAAGGTCAAGGTGACTCGTCGTGGCGATGGCTACGCGCTGCTGGCGTCGGAGGTGCGCCACCAGACTGCCGACCGTCTGTTCGAGATCTTCTGCGCCATTCAAGAGGGCGCCCGCGCCTTCTTGCTGGCAGAGTACACGCTGTGCTTTGCCTTCATCATCGTCTTCGGTGCCGTCGTGCTTGTACTGACGTCGTTCGTCAACAAGGACGGCAAGCAGTTCGACTGGCTTTTCGGTACGCTGAACGCCACGGCCTTCGCCGTCGGTGGTCTCACCTCGATGGCCGCGGGTTACATGGGTATGATGGTGGCTGTCTACTCGAACGCTCGTACCACGGTCTCGGCCATGAAGGAGGGTGCTCGTGGCTGGCGTGACTCGTTCAACACGGCCTTCCGTGCCGGTGCTGTCATGGGCTTCGGACTGAGCTCCATGGCTCTGCTGGTGCTGTTCATCCTGATCAAGGCTTTCGAGACTCAGTACCCTCTGTCGACTGACCACAAGAAGTTGTTCGAGGCCATCTCGGGCTACGGTCTGGGTGGTTCGTCCATTGCCATGTTCGGCCGTGTGGGTGGCGGTATCTACACCAAGGCTGCTGATGTCGGTGCTGATCTGGCCGGTAAGGTCGTGGAGAACATCCCTGAGGATGACCCGCGTAACCCCGCTACCATTGCTGACAATGTCGGTGACAACGTCGGTGACGTCGCCGGTATGGGTTCGGACCTTTTCGGCTCGCTCGCTGAGGCGACGTGCGCGTGTCTGGTGATCTCGACTCAGAGCCCTGAGATCATTGGCGCTGGCTGGCCTGCTGTTCTGTTCCCGCTGGTGATCACCGCTACCGGTATTTTCGTGTCTGCAATCATCAGCTTCCTTGCTACTCACGTGTGGACTGTAAAGAAGGAGAAGGACGTCGAGCTTGTGCTGAAGGTTCAGCTGTTCGGCTCCACCCTGCTCATGACTGTTTTGATCGTTCCCGTGGCACTGTGGCTGCTGCCATCGCACTTCTCTATCGGTACGGCGTACCAGGTGACCCCTATCCGTGCTTTCTACTGTGTTGCTGTCGGCCTGTGGGGCGGCTGCATTGTCGGCTTCGTGACGGAATACTTCACCTCGCACAGCTACAAGCCCGTGCGTGAGGTTGCTCAGGCTTGCGAGACTGGTGCCGCTACCAACATCATCTACGGTCTTGCTCTGGGCTACAAGTCGGCTATCATCCCTATCACGATCATTTCCCTGGCTGTATACGTTGGATTCTCGACCGCTGGCATGTACGGTGTCGCCCTTGCCGCTCTTGGTTTCCTGGGTACGCTAGCCACTTGCCTGGCTATTGATGTGTATGGTCCCATCTGTGACAACGCTGGTGGCATTGCCGAGATGGCTGAGCTGCCCGCTGAAGTGCGTGACAAGACTGACGCTCTTGACGCTGCTGGTAATACCACGGCTGCTATTGGCAAGGGTTTCGCCATTGGCTCGGCTGCTCTTGTGTCCCTCGCTCTTTTCGGTGGCTTTGTCACTCGTATCGAAGAGGAATCTATTAACATTTTGAGCCCGATCACGTTCGCTGGTCTGTTCATGGGTGCCATGCTGCCGTACTGGTTCACTGCCATGACGATGAAGTCGGTTGGCGTTGCTGCTATGGAGATGGTCAAGGAGGTCAAGCACCAGTTCGCCACGATCCCTGGTCTTCTTGAGGGTCTGCCTGGCCACGGCCCTCCGGACCACGCCCGTTGCATCAAGATCTCTACCGATGCTTCTCTGCGTGAGATGATCCCGCCCGGACTTCTTGTGATGCTCTCCCCTATTATTGCCGGCACCTTCTTCGGTGTCCACGCCGTGTCTGGTCTGCTTGTCGGCAGTCTGACGTCGGGTGTGCAGCTCGCTATCTCGCAGTCGAACACTGGCGGTGCCTGGGACAACGCCAAGAAGTTCGTGGAGAAGGGATGCGTCTCCATTGAGGACAAGGAGGGCAAGCTTATTGTCCAGGGCAAGGGAAGTGCCATCCACAAGGCCGCTGTCATTGGTGACACCGTGGGTGACCCGTTGAAGGACACTTCTGGTCCGGCCCTTAACATCCTGATGAAGCTTATGGCTATCATCTCGCTGGTGTTCGGAGACTTTTTCAAGAGCATCAACAACGGCCGCGGTCTGCTGAACGTGCCCGCCGATGTGTCGGCTGCTGCTGCCCCCGTTGTGGAGGTCACGGCGGCTCCTCAGCTGTAAGCTTGTTTTTGCTGTAGATCAACTGTAAAGCACCCGAGTGTTTTCAGTTTGGTGTGTGGAGAAAGCGGGACCTGCGCTGTAGAGTGAAGAAGAAGAGGAGTGCAGGACTACTTGTTCTGTCTTGTCATTTTTTTTCGTAGTGAGCGTGCTTAGGCAGAGCTGGTAGTTGCAGTCTATGCATTAGTTTTGCAAATAGAGCTAGCCGATGCACTATACTCCTGGTTTTGTTGCCTTTTTAAGAGCTTCGATGAGACTCTTACCCAGCATTTAATGTTACTACTACATGTAGTAGTACTTGATTGTTCGTGATGCACTTGAAATGATCATTGTGACGACTGGTAAAAATGCTGCGGACTTTTCCATTAGATTAGTACATGTACACTTAGCTTCAGACTTCAACATACCCGCTCAGTGATAACTTGTTGATACGTACACCTGGTTCCACCAACACTGTTCGATTCCGCGCATAGCATTACTGATGCGGTAAGCCAACGCGGAGCATTCCGACAGTGATCTCGCTGCTGACACTCCTTCATGACCTACGCAAACCCGACGTAGGGATGCAGTATTTGAATGCGATGAGCGCGTATGACCACACGAATTGATGTACTTGCCACGCACGTTAATCCAAGAGACGACAGCTTCATCTTTTGGTTTATGCTTCTCTTCTCGAGTTTATCACAAGCCGTTGTTTGAAACTGAAATAGGTGTAGATTGGGCGCGACGTCGGTGACGAGCGGCGGCACATTCAGACAAAAAAATGTCTAACATAGGGCAATGCAACAAGCACGCGGCAGTGCATCGACAAGCTGCGTGGGCAGTGCCCACTAAGCACCATGGACCTTGGTGCCCAGTAGCCGGCCGTACCATGATGGTACGGCGGGCTGCTCCACCCGCGGCGTCTATCGCGCCGGCGAATTTGAAGTAAAGTAGTTACATGAATTGATGGCGGCGTTGGGCGGTGTTGAAGTGAGTCTCGAATGTGGGACTTTCAAATCTGTACTTGATTTTGTATGCGATTCGGTCGATATCATCAGCGGTGGTGAGACCCTCTTAAGGAGGGTCTTATGCATTTCACCCTGGAATTAAATGGTTGAATCCTAGCTCGATTTAAGCAAACACGATTTGTGCGGGTTAAATGAGTCTTGACATTCCATATTTTGACGAAAGATCCATGCTTGTTTTTTCGATACTCAAAGACAGTGAGTGGCCCATGGTCCCTCTGCGTGTACGTCGCTGGCAGTCGACTCAACGCAGCTGACGCTCTCTTTGCACACCGGTCGACGCACTTTGCTATTCACCCCAAGCAGCACAAGCGAACAAATTGACGGCAAGAGAGGACCAAGATGAACGAGAAGGGCGAACAAGCATTCCCCAACAACAAGGGCCACCCGGAGCATGAGGTGGAACTCAAGAGTTCATGGATGCTCATCTCCAAGACACATCTGTATCTGGGCGCCGTGCTCGTGTTCCTCGTCGGCATGCTTTCGGGCGGCGGCTACTACTACCGCACATCGATGAACCTCGCCGAGAGCCTCGGAGCCACCGCCGTCGTGCAGCCGTCCAACAACCACCCTACTGTACTCGTAACTGGTGGTCTTGGCTTTATCGGCAGTCATGTCGTGGAGGACTTGATAGCCAATAACTTCAACGTGAGTGACCCCCTTGTAGCTGCACATCTTGCAGGCTTTGCAGTGTAATCTGACTAAACTATTCACTACTTTTGTAGGTGGTTGTGTACGACGACATGAGCAACGGCAAGAACTTTAACAAGGATGTATCGGCCGTGCTGGTCAAGGATATTACCGTGGTGAACGATTTCTCGTACATCGTCCACCAGGTGCGCACAGTCGTCTTCATTTTAATCCCTGTCTTTATCACTTCAAATGTCGGACGCGCCTATTTTTTGCTTGCTGTCAACTCCAGATCGACTACATTGTGCACCTCGCTGCTGCCATTTCCGTCGAGGAGAGCACAAGATTACCGGAGAAATACCAGCGTATTAACGCTGAGGGATCTCGCAAGGTGCTTGATTGGGCAGTCAAGAACGGCATCAAGCGTGTGGTCGCTGCCTCTTCGGGCGCTACCTACGGCACCCCGAAGGTTGAGGATCTCCCGCTACGTGAGGAATCCGCGACTGGCGGAATTTGCGCGTATGCCACGACCAAGTTTGAGATGGAGCAACTTATGGCTCAGTTCCACGAGCAGTTCGGTCTCAAGTCGACAGCTCTGCGTTTCTTCAACGTGTACGGACCTCGTCAAGACCCCCATTCGTCGTACAGTGGTGTCGTCTCGTGGTTCATGGAACAGGCCAAGATCAACGGTACGTTGAAGGTGACAGGCGACGGTGACCAGTACCGCGACTTCGTGTACGTGAAGGATGTGGCACGTGCCATCCGAACGGCGATGCTTCTTAAAGACGACGACTTTGACGTGTTTAATGTCTGCACCGGTGTCAAGACCTCAATCAACGACGTTGCCGTCGCTGTGAAGGCAAAATTCGGCTCATCGGCTGACATTACGCACATTGCGTACCGCCAGGGTGATGTCAAGGAGTCGGTATGTTCGCCTGTGAAGGCATCCACCAAGCTGGGCTTCACTGCAAGCTACGACTTCCCTAAGGGTATCGGCGAAACTCGCGACTGGTTCATGACTGTGTAGGAGGTGTGAACTATATACACTCACTATGCAAGACAGCCGGGAGACACTGGTTGCATTGTAAGTAGATAGCCAATGTCTTCAAAAACTGCAACGGTGCGGCTTGGCTTTTGCAAATGATAATAAAAAGACCGAGAAAATAGACGAACAGCACAGATGTTAATTGAAGCACCAATTGCGCATGTACATGCGAAGTTGGCGCTCATTTCGTACACGCTGTGCAGTAGCTCATCTTGTACAGTAGTCTACTACATGTAGTACAATATGTAGAGTTGCCGACCATGACGATCTTCCTGAAGTTTGTCGCCGACGGACGTGGTGAAAGCCAGACAACATGCACATGTTGTAGTACATGTATACATGTACTTAGTACATGTATTTGATAGTCATTTTGCAAACTACATTGCAATATAAAATCTCGCGTACTGTACAAACTTTGGTGGAAGGAAATCCTTTTTTGATCTTTTCGATGGGCTAGCGCCACCGCCTGTCGCTAGAGTACGGTACATTTCTTGCCACCGGCCAGCCAAAAAGCATCGAAGTGAGCTGAGTTGTCTGTCTTTTCGCTGAACGCCAGTGCGTGACTTCTTCCGCGCCAAGCGAGCCTAGATCCACCAAGATACACGATGCTGCCCACGCGTCACGGCCGCAATGGCCGTCCCGAGACGAATTGGCTGCTGCTGCCCAAATTTTACGTGTACGTGGGGGCGCTGGCCATCTTCGCGGTTGGCGCGCTCTTCGGCGGAGGCTACTACCAGACCAGCGGTGGCCGCAGCGCCATGACGCCTGTGTTCCGCCACTTCGCGTCCCCCAAACCCGTAGTGCTAGTCACAGGAGGGCTGGGCTTCATCGGCAGCCATGTAGTGGAAGACCTGCTGGCCAACAACTTTGAGGTGAGCAACTGATCAGAGCCGATCCGAATAGGATCTATGATCGGAAGGTTGACAATGCTGTTATGCTGGTGTAGGTGGTTGTGTACGACGACATGAGCAACGGCAAAAACTTCAACCGTGGCGCGGCAGCAGTACTGGTCAAGGATATCACAGTGGTGGACGACTTTTCCTTCATCATCCACAAGGTGCGTGGCATTCCGCATGCCTTGCTGGTGCTGGAGACAATCCCTAATATGTCCTTTGATACAGATTGATTACGTGGTGCATCTCGCCGCCGCGATCTCAGTAGAGGAAAGCACGCGTCTTCCCGAGAAGTACGAGCGCATAAATGTCGAAGGGTCGCGCAAGGTGCTAGACTGGGCTGCCAAGAACGGCGTCAAGCGTGTAGTTGCTGCTTCTTCTGCTGCCACGTATGGTACCCCACTCCCTGAGAACCTGCCATTGAGTGAAGAAACCGCCACTGGTGGCATCTGCGCGTACGCCACGACCAAGTTTCAAATGGAGAAATTGATGAAGCAATTCAACGAGGACTACGGTCTTCCGTCAACGGCGCTACGTTTCTTCAATGTGTACGGGCCACGTCAGGACCCGCACTCGTCGTACAGCGGTGTCGTCTCGTGGTTCATGGAACAGGCCAAGATCAACGGTACTCTGAAGGTGACTGGCGATGGCGAGCAGTACCGTGACTTCGTGTATGTGAAGGATGTGGCACGTGCCATTCGCACAGCAATGCTCTTGGGAGACGACGAATTCGACGTCTTCAATGTGTGCACGGGTATCAAATCCACGGTTAAATCAGTTGCGGAGCGAATTGTTGAGAAGTTCGGATCTTCGGCTGCTATTGTGAACGTGCCGTTCCGCTCCGGTGACGTGAAGGAGTCAGTGTGTTCACCCGTCAAGGCTACCAACAAACTGGGCTTCACGGCATCATACGACTTCTCTGATGGCATTGGTGAGACGCGAGACTGGTTCCTGTCGCTCTAGTGATTCTGCATATTCTGCGAATGATTCATGCGCCTTGTATCCTGCACCGTGTATGCTTTTGACCTTAGATTTTCGGCGAAGATACAGTAGTTCTGTCCAGACAAAAAGCAATGCACAAAGAAAACAATACTACAGAAACTAAAAGTAACGTTACCGGTATTCATAGACTTTGGCTGCACGTGAATGAGAAGACGACTCCACACTTCAATGTCCTTTGTGCTGAGCCTACCTCAGGCAGGACTCGGCTCATATTGTAGACAACACAGTGCACGTTACAAGTTGGCATCACACTCAGTGTGACACACTCGGATAAGCGTGTCTCCACAGGCTAGGGCCCAGCTCACCGCAGTCGTAAGCCCCACAGTTTAACAAATGCGCGATCGTCCGAACGCGCTCGCTTGTTCGCTGCCAGTAATATCCGATTATACTGTACATGCAGCAAAACGAAATTGATTCCGCGGCCACAACAATTGCGAGATGTTTGCCAATGTCTCCTATGCGTAATCTACATGTATCAAACCCTTAAATAATACAAGTCCTTGCAAGCCATGCAGGCCGAGGCCGGTACAAATATACGCTCTTCGTTCGCGTTGCACCGACACGGATGGGAGACGTGTTTGCGATCCGTGAATGCCTCGCTTCTGGCTTGCATGCACTCGAGCATACATACATAGCCCAGTGCGCGAGCAGCTCTTCCGAAAGATCCTGTCGCCACGTTTAACAAGATTGGGCTTCTCTCGTTAAAGTCGAAGCCGGCATTGTCGGACTGTAGACAAGAAATCCGTGCCGAGGATACAGCAGCACGTTGAAACCACCAAACAAAACTGGACTTTCTGGGTCAACTACAGAGAGGCGGGTCCCATTTGCCCATCCCACTACACAAAGTCTCCAGGAATTTGACCTGACTTCACTATTGCGTTCATAAGCCCAAAACCGCCACCTCAGTTGGCCATTCTCCTTGCCACCACCAAGCAATACCGCGCTCTACCTTCTCCAGTGTAGGCTGCACCACACTCTACACTACCTAATAGTGCGCATTGCTCACTGTGTTTTCGTGTGGTGTATTTGATTACGTGCACAGCTTTGCCGACGGCGACACCCGTAGTTTCGAATCGTTTTGCTGACTACCAAGCCTGAGCCCTCACGTGCATGCAGCCCAACCAAAACTACGTGCTGGCCAATGCGCGGCCGGACTCGCTACCCACTCAAACGGGTGCCTTCATCTCGGTGATCAGCTGCTCCGTCATCGTCTTCTCGTTCCTCTGGAAGCGCAAATGGCGACGTTACCCGAACCCGATAATCTACTGGAAAGCCGTCGTCGACTTGCTCTACGCACTACGCTTCCAGTACAACTGGGACACCTACACGAATCCACTGGGCTGCCGTGCGCTCGCCACGTTTACACAGTTCTGCATCTTCTCGTCGGAATGCTGGTTCCTCTGTATGTCTTTCAATCTGTACCAGTGCTCCACTAACCCGTTCACGAATCTCAAGCACAACCTGCAGTGGTATCACGTCTTCTCGTGGGGTGTTGGAGCGGTGTTTGCTGTAGTATTGTGGCTTTCAAGTGTCCAGTTCGATCCCAAGATCCATCCGTCGTGCTTTGTCGACGAGACAGTCGCCAACGAGCTCGTCGTCTACTACGTCGTGGTTATTTTAGCAGTACTGTGCGCAGTCATCTTCGCTGTACTGGAGACACAGACTCATCCGTTCAATGGCATGAAGGAGGCGCTGGAAGCCAAGAAAGACGTGATTCGCAGTGCCAGGATCTTCACGGTGGCTTATATCATCTACCAGATCATCCTCATCTCGTTCTGGCTTGCTGATGTACTATTCCTCAGCAACCATCCACATGCTCTTCAACTAGTACGTGACGCGTCATCTTTCCTCCAGACAGCCAAGGGTTTGATCGATTTAATCATCTGGGTGGCCATTAACGGTCTGGATTGTCGTGCTGGTCGATTGCGCGATACATTCGACAGTGACCGATACAGTGACGTCGACATTGATCTCCAGCCTCAGCTTAATGTCGCACTACGAAAGGAAGTGCTTCATTTCACGACGAGAGGAATTGTAGCAGCCTCGTCAAACACACCCATGGTTACTGACGGTCGACGTGTGGTACATCTCCGCTTACATGAGTTGGGTATGACAGTGTGTTTCGACGACTACAGTCCGGCCTCGTTCCGTGATATTCGACAAGGTTTCGGCATCAACGAGACGCTGTACAGGAAAGCTTTTCTAGCGACATGTCATGAACGACTCGAGTCGGGCGGATCCAGTGGCGCGTTCATGTTTTACACGGCTGACTATGCGTTCTTGGTCAAGTCAGTGACAACCAGCGAACGCAACGTGTTGCTGGATATGTTACCGGCGTATATCCGGCATATGAAGCAGAATCCAGACTCGCATTTGACACGGTTCTACGGTTGTCACTCTATCGAGATGTATGGCCAAGTGTTTAGCTTCGTGGTGATGGGAAACGTCATCGGAAGGACAAGTATGCATCAGTTTTTCGACATCAAGGGATCCTGGATCGACCGTAACGCTCCGGTACGCAGTTTCTTTGGGGTTTGTTGATTCAAGCTCGAGCTAACTTGATTGTGTTAACGCAGCCGATTCCCCCCGGAAAAACGGTCATTTGTACGTATTGCAGTAACGCTTTCCAGTATGGAACGAACGAGAGCTGTGAGTACAGCATCCGTGGCAATCATTTGCCCCACATTGTGTTGAAAGACAACGATTTTCATCGGAAATTGCGTGTGGAATCGGAGACAGGTAAGCACACAACTGGCTGACAACGCTATCATGAAGTACACCAGAACTTACACTCGTGTTTCATCTTTTGACAGCTGAAGCTCTTGTTCGTCAACTCGAAAACGACAGCAACTATCTGCGGGAACAAGGGATCATGGACTACAGTTTAATGCTGAGTGTTCACAACACGAAGTACGTTGTGGAGCACTCAATGGACAACAGAAAACCATCTCCGACGAAGCGTAAGGTGCACTACCCGGTGTGTCATCCTGAAAGCAACGACTCTTTCTTGTCGATCGTTACAGACGGTCCAAGTCAGACGGAAGCATCTAGCCACGAAGACCTGGACGAGGTGGAGTCAGGGAACCGGAGAAAGTTTAATCGCAACTGTCGCTACTCTGTCGTGAACCTGTGTGATGAGAACAGCATTAGTATTCGAGAAGGCACCCCACTCCTGGGTCATAGTGGCCGTCGCTACAACTCCGTGTCGTATGGGCCAGTTGATATGGCAACCCGTACAGTAGACGACTCGAAGTGGATCGGCACAAGAACGCTCGAGAAGCGTGGCTATCAGGCGTGTGTTGTGGTTGGCCCGGATTTCTACACGCTAGGAGTGGTGGATATGTTGCAGACGTGGACGTGGAGTAAGCGGCTAGAACGTCTGTGGAAGACGCTGGTGCTGCGTCATGACTGCTTGGGAATTTCCGCAGCTCCTCCCAAATTGTACGCTGAGCGTTTTCAGCGAAAAATGCGCGACATGTTAATGGTATCGTCGGCATCAGTTAGTCTTGACCCCAACTAGATGGAGTCTCGATCGATAGAATATGTATTGTGGATTAGTGAGACGTTAGGCCATTTGCCGACCTGTGTTCTGCTTAGTACTGCCCTTTGGATGTCTACGACTCAGCGATCATCGTGTCGTACTCCTGCAGTTTTTGCAGAGCCTGGAAAGCGGAATGAGTGATGTGGTTATAGTTGAGTTCTCCCATCTCGTCCGGTTCTGACAAAGCTAGTAGCGAGCGCATTTGACGGTCTGTGATCTCGGGGAAGGCAGTTCGAATGGCTCCAATAACTTCATCACGGACGAGAATCCCACGATGATTTTCGTCGACAGCTTCTAACGCGCGTGAAAATGATTGCTCGAACGTGTGCTGGTTCAGGTCCAGCACGGTGTAGTACTCGCTCGTCTTGCGATATCTCTGCAGGAATGTAGCGTACGATTGTTGACTGTCGACATTGATCAGCGCTAGCACCATCCCCGAGATCTGAGCAGCAAACTTTTCGTAGTTGACGAAGCCTGTGTTGTCTTCTTGGGCCTCAGCCAGCACTGCAATAATCTGAAGTCTGGTGAGTCCAACATCAGCGGCTCGGAATAGGCGACCGATCTCTGCAACCGTGAGAAGGCCAGTGTTCTCGCTGTCTCCACTTGCGAAAACTTCCGAGAGATATTGAGCAATCCAGTCTAGTTTGCTGGGTGCTTCTAAAATGCCTTGAACGTAGGCATCTTTTAGTAACGGGAAGCAAATTGGAACGAAATCGGGGTACACTACGATGTTCGCGTCATCCTCTGCTGCTGGTGTTTCGGACATGAGAATGTTTACTTCTCTGCGTGTGAGGCCAAGGTCGGCATCTCGAAGTGCATTCGTAAATGCCAGTCGAGTTAATGCCCCAACTTCGTCCTTGTCTGCACGCTGGAAAGTCTCGCGCAGAATACTCTCGAGCTCATCCTGCATCATGCCGTGGAGGAAAAACTCTGTCTCTCGTTTGCTGAAAGAGGCGATACGTGCCAGTCGTTGTGTATGCGTTGACCGGAGCTGCAACAACGCTTGAATGCCCAAAGGCAGGAAATCTGTGATTGACATAAAACAAAATACTCATAAGCTACGTCACAAAGAGGTATATAGTTACGCTACCTGCACAGCTCATAAAGCCTCCTTCGTTCTCATCTGCTTCAGCATAAAGCGCTTTCATTTCAGTGGGAGAAATCTGTAGCTGCTCACCAACTCCATCCAATATCTGAATAGTAAATATGAGTTTCTTGGGTTTTCGATGATTCCAATATCCACCATACCTGCTTGAATTGATCGTAGACCACCATACCTCCTTCCTGCTGCTGGGCTTCCATGAACGCAGCGACTAGAAACTCCTTGATTGCATCTTCCCCCATTTTGATATACGCCGGTGTTAAGGTATTCACGGTGGTATCGTCAATCGTTTTATTCGTCCCGCTTTGCTTCGCAATTAGATCTTTGAAATATTGCGACCCGAAAGCGTAGATGGCTTCTTTCGTCTCCACTTTGCCTTGTTGCCGTAGTACCTCACGAGTGAAATCCCGCAGGACGTCAGGGAAATTAGCAGGAATCTCTATCAGCTTCGCGTACTTGGACGCCATCGTCACTCAACGAAAACTATGAAAAAAATAACCATGAAAAGTCGCGTTCCCAGAAAAACATGGATATGAAACGCCGATTTGCATGACACCATCACGAGACCATGACAAGACTTTTTGACAATGTAGATGACTTGCAGATGCAATGAATGGATGTAGCATGGCGATGGGAAGGAGCTAGCGACAATCAATAGATTAACATTCATGTGATCGTGGTGTTGACAACGTTATCGCTGACTATTGATGCTGATAGCTGTCATCACGTGTTGCCTGACAAGTGATTCACTTGAAGTGAAGGATTATGAGGATGGCTTATGCACAGGCGTCTGCATCTCAGTGAACGTGGTCGCTCTAGAAATGCATTTCTTATCACCTCCACCATGCAAACTTGACCTGTTGACATATTCTGAGGCGATATAAAGGGTATGACTGACAACCTGATTGGTTTGAGTCACGTGTTCTTTAGTACATGCGATGTCATTAGTAAATGGCACGTGGTCACGTGGGACGCCAGCTCAGCTCACCTTTGAAAGCGCAAGAAATGGTGAATAGTAATGCACCACGATACCAACAAGTTGACGACTGCAATGGCGTCGACAGGCAACAGACATCCTCTCCATCTTTGCAACTTGAGACGAGCTTGACTGTTTCAGTTCCAGTCAAACGAAACACTCACTTCTCAACTTCGCTGCCTTCGCACAAGTCTTCAAAGTCTCCAGCATGACCACGTCAACGACGGCAGAGACTCCGAGCAATTCCAAACCCACGACGCTCTCAGTTGCGTCGCCTAACAATTTCCAAGAGCTCAAAACTCCAGATGCTCTCGAGGGTGGAGCACTGCGTCCGGGTGGACCTCCAAATATCTACAGTCGCGAGACAATTGGTATACTGATCCAGTATGGTGCAGTTGGAGTGATCAACGGCACCATCTACGGCTTGGTATACCCCCTGCTTAACAATTATTTACGCATGTCGGGTACCGCTACAGCATCGGCGAGGGTCCTTGTTCGCATCCCGTGGACCTTCCGGATGTTCTTCGGTATCCTTTCGGATTGCTTTCCGATTTGGGGGTACCGTCGTCGTCCATACATGGTTTTCGGATGGATCTTTGCCACAATTTGTCTGCTACTTATGGCTGTCTTCCCGACTGGTGATCCGTACTATGGATATGCCGATCTAGCCTACGTACCCGCAGCCAACCTCACGGACGACCAAGCTGCACTCATCAACGAGGATGCACCCGATAAAGGAACCAAGTTTGTTCTGCTCATGATCTTCGCCAACCTAGGAATGACCATGGCAATTGCTGCTTCCGACGGTGTAGTCATCGAGTTCGCACAACGTGAGCCAGCCGAAGTTCGAGGCTCTGCACTGACCATGATGCAGGTCTTCAAGCAAGTCATGTCCATCTTTTCGTCCGCCATGGTCGGCTTCGGACTCAACGGCGAAGATTTCGGAGGTTCATTCTCGGGTTCCATGGGTGTAAGTGCCATTGCTGCTGTGTGTGCAGCTGCAGCATTAATTGCCGCAGCCTCATCGTGGTTCTTCGTGGCTGAGGTGAAGGAGTCTGCCAAGTCTTTCAGGGTATACATGGGTCTCCTATTCGACTTGGTACAACATCGCGTAGTGTATCAAAACTCATCGCGTTCCGGTTCTTCTACTTTGTGTTCTCACTTATGAGCGTGACAGCAGTGAGTCCCATTGAGAGTCTTTGGGCCAATGTGGAACCTGTGAACGAAGCTATCTCCAGTATCCTCGCGGCTGTCATTTTTGCGGGTCGTCATCACACAACTCTCGGTTGTTTTTGTAGACTGTTTCCCTACCTTCTTCACGATTTGGGACGTCTACAGAAGTCAGTGGATGTGGCTCGGCCCACCTTTGCTTGAAGAAGTTCCAGGCACGATTTCCAAGATTGTGTCGCAGTATGCCACGATCGGGATCGTCGAAGGCGGAAATGAAGCTGCGGTCTTCGGTTTGATCGCCACGTGCCAAACGATCGCTTCTCCGTTCTCCACTGTCATCTACAAGAACATCGACGCTCATTTTGACATCGGGAAAACTTACCTGCAAGTCGACGATACCTACGTACGCAACCAAGTAACGTACTGCTACCTCATCGCGTACGCCTTCCAGATCTGCGCGATTGGTTGGGTATTCCTCCTACCGCGTCAGAAAGCTGAGACGTTGGAGCTCAAGCGTACGGGAGGTAAGAGTAAGTGGGCCGGTATCATCACCATCGTCGTCTTTGCCTTCTGCTTTGTATGGTCCATTATGACCAACCTCATGACCATTTTCCCATCAACTTCGTGCCTGAAAGTCGCCGGTGGAACTGGTTGTTAGTGTTCAAGGTTGCAAATGCTTGTAGACGCACAGATTCAAGAAAAGAGTTAAGCTCTATAAAGTCGGCATTGGAGTCTAAATAACCGGGTTTTTCGTTCAGTTAAATGAAATCCTCTTCTTCTTCGTCGCCATCAAAGTCTTTTGGCTTTGTATTGACACGACTACTGCCAATTGGTGACGCAGAATCTGTCCAATAGATGGCCGCTGCAACTGCCGCGTCGCTAGCGGAAATCTTCTTTGGGAAGACAGGAGTCACAGACCCAGGAGCGACTTTAGCCCCAGCATTTCCCTTTGCAAGTGCAAGATTGGGACTCGACGGTAAATTGAGCTCCACTTCTTCATCGGAGTCATCAATTGTCCACGCTGATGTCGGCGTAAGTGCCTACATGACAAGAACAGCATTTCCATTAGTAGCTGCAGGATTATAATGAACAGTATATGGCAGTCTTACCAGTTCGGTGTAGCGTCCGTCACCCGAGTGACTTGTCTTGAGAAGTACAATGATTCCCAAGATGGTGACGCACCCTCCAATAGTGAACATGAACATCTGTGTCCGAGTCATACTCACGTACTCTTCAAAGTACATGATGCCACCCAGCACACTCGTGAGAATCCAGAAGCTCTGATACACGGGAATCACCACAAGTGCATCGAATCGTGCCAGTCCACCATTGAGGAAGTGAACTTGGAACCCGAGACACGCGCACATTCCAGCGACGATCACGTAGGAAGTGAGTTGAGTGAACATGTACAAGCCAGCGTCTCCCCAGATCGCACTCTTCAACAACTCTACCGTCGACTTGGCAAGCAGCACTGACTGCCCTCCAAATGTCCCTGCGATGCCGCCGTAACAAATGATGTGGAACAGACCTTCCTCGTAATTGTGCGTGCGTTCGATGTAGCGGCAGAACGTGAAGAGACCTCCTAAGAAGCACACGATCAGCGTAATGTACGCGTACATAGCTGGTTGTTGATAGAGACGAATGAGATCTTCCAGCTCGTAGGATGGAGTGCTGTGTCCTGCGAAGATCACTGTCAATGTTACCCCGACAAAGATGATAGCCGTGGCGATCAGGTTCTGACGTGTCACTTTTTCCTTGTGGAAGATCGGGGCAATGAGCATATTCCACACTAATGACAGGGCTGCAAGTGGTGCTAGCAGTGTCTGTGGTGCCATACCGAACGCCACAAAGTCCAGTAGCGAGCCAAGACACACGAGGCCGAAGCCGAGCATCCAGAGAGGCTGTTTGAGTGTGGTTTTCTTTACTTCTGCCGTGTCGTTGCGTGACATGGATAGCTTTTGTAAATTAATACCCACGGAGTTGAGCACAGAGAAGATGAGCGAGATGAGGAAGCCTGCCACCCACATGCCCATTGCGGGGCCTGTGTAGCCAACTTTGAAGCACTTGTTGCTCTTACTTTCCACCTGTGTTTCGTCGAATGTAGCGCAAATGTTGCTGAGTCCAGGACATTGTGTGTGCACTGTGGACAGACAAGAAGTCAAGCAAACTTTGGAGACGTCTCGACCCACTTCACACACGGGAAAGTGCACGGCGCACTCCATGCGACGCAGAAAGAGGCCGCATGCACTGCTGGCGTTGGCGAGGTCCAGCGTCTTGATAGTGTCCTCGATCTTCTCGTGGCTGAAGCTTTTATACTGCGGTAGTAAAGAGAGTCGATATTCGCTACTGTTGAGGTCGCTCCAGGCCTTGAAGGCCAACAGTGCGGCTTCGTCCAGCTCTTCATAGGAAGATTCGCCTCCACAGACGGCGAACGACACGTAGGAGCAGAACTCGAGCCCTGACGGTGTACCACATGTACTAGAGCATTCATCAGCTGTAGCGGCGGCTAGGAAAAGCGTTGCGCAAGCCAGCAGCAGGCCGTGTACCATGGTGATCGGCAACGGACGTGCAGCTCTTCAGGAGTGAGCATTGGTTCGGTTCAGCTTACGAGTTTTCAAAAATAGATTCGAACGATGGTTCTATTTATAAAGAGCTGGAGGAGATAATATTTTAAAGGGGTTTTGGATCGAGCCCTCTAAAGTTTATAAACTCACCCAGTACGTCGAAGTTCAAGGAATCCTCATGGGGAACAACGGCAGCAGCGCTAATGGCGCCCGCGCAGGCGAGTGGAAGGGCCCGTTTAGCGACGAAGTAGGCTGCAATAGATGTGTATAGATGGTGGTGCTAGTGGCTCACGGAATAGATGTGTGTGCTATTGTGTAGGAGTATGAGTGTCTGAAGAATAAATTTGAAGGAACCATCGCGACAGCGTCGTCCGAAGCTGCGACAGCGAATCTTCAGGTAAAATGCATGAAAACATCGTAATTTGTGGTAAATATACTGACATATTTGTTGGTGCTTTAGATGTGGTTGGAGTTGCCGCTGCCTGCCACAGCGCCGGAGGAGCTGACAGCACCGTGTCATCGTTTGGGCACCGCCTTCTACCAGTTGTGTCTGCAGACGAAAGATGATGGAGAATCTAATACTGGCAAGCTGGAAATGGTGAACTTCGCGAAAGGAGGTGATGAATATCAATTGACCTTCAAAGGGCTCTCAGAATTAATAACTTTGGGTGTGCAGTGGCACAATGCGTTCGAGCGTCGTCGCAGTCAATCTGTCGGGCTTTGTTCCGCCTGTTTGCGTCCAATGCTCAAGCCAATTCCATGACGGAGCAAGAGCTGAGTCAGTTGCTGTTTGCCTGCTTGATAATGGCTGAAGGTGGAGAAGTGGAAGATGTGGATCGGATGGCGGATGCAGCAAAAGCTCTCGCTCGTGCTGCGTTGCCACCATCGGCTGGGTCTACCCAGGCGTCTAGTGACGACTTTGTCCGATGGATTGGATCTCAATTCCCGCTTCTCTACACGATTTTCATGTCGTGGATGGCACGAAAGAGTTTCGAGTCCCTCACAAAGCCATCGTATGAGGCGCCGCAGCTGTCGCACACGAGTGGCATTCTATCGAGGTAATAACCCAGTATGTGGAGAATCGCGATCACTAATGCTAACCTTTGTAAATCTTTTCTCGTAGGTCGCATTTTGTGGCGTTATCCACGGTAACTACGTCACTCCAAACACCTCTCAGCCGACTCTACACCAGCGCACAGGATGGACTGAGCTTCAATCGCCTCAGCTACCACATCTTAGGATACTCTGGACCAACCCTGACGATCATCCGAGACACTCAAGGAGGTAAGATCTGGCTGTGTTTATAAACCATGATGTTATCGATACTCATGAAGTTGCTCTCTAGCCGTATTTGGTATGTTCTGCGATACTGAGTGGAAGGAGTCAAGTCGCTATTACGGAGGGAACGGCTGCTTCCTTTTCCGTCTGGCGCCAGAGATTGCCATTTATCGAGTATCTGCGAGTGGAGCCAACGAGAACTACATGTACCTGAACTCCAAGGGGTTTGCGCTACCACGAGGACTCGGCATGGGAGGATCGACAGACAAATTCAGGTTGTTCCTGAGCGAAGACCTGGACGAGAACAGCTACACAACCGCCAAGTGTTTGTCCTTTGAACCTGGTCGTCTGTCTTCCGGCGAGCAATTCGTGATCGATGCCATGGAAGTGTGGGGATGTGGAGGAGAGGAAAGTGACCTGAGACAGAAAGCCCATCGCCAAGAAACAGCCGACCTGATCAACCGAGCGCGGAAAGTGGACAAGGCGCAGTTCGTCGGCAATGACTTTGACAAGGAAATGTTCCTGGGGAAGACATTCGGACACGGAACAGACAAAGCTCGCGTCGTCGACGACGAGCAGTAAGCCCATGGATGTAAGAGAGAGAGAGAGCCGAGCATATTTGTGCAGTTATATCATCATGAATGCCTTCTCACATCTTCAAACTTGCGTAACTAATTAGAATTATCAAACACTCGACGGCTACTCGCCCATATCGGCGTCCTCGTCACTTCCATCGCCGTCGACATCGTCCATATCATCTTCAGAGTCATCAACACCATCTTCACCATCGCCCTCTCCATCGTCCTCTTCGTCGCTTTCCTCCAAATCGTCACCATTTACATTTTGATCGTAATGACAACGACGCGGACCATCCAAGACGTTACAGTTCTCCTCGTCGTGGAAGTCGCCGCGGAAGGTGCTACACACTCGCAGTTTACCTTGCTTGGTGCCATAGAGGAAGCCGCCACCACAAATCGGACTAAACAGCGCAATGTTCACATCGTCCATGGCACTTTCCACATGCGACAGCAACGCCATGTCTTCCCATCGATAAATACGAGTTACACGATGAACTGGGAACTCCGTCTCACTGGTGATACAACCACATGCAGGACAGTTAGTGTCCGGACGGAATTGACAAAATAGGGGCAAGCTAACGTACCGTTGTATGCGGTCTCGTACTCCGTAGCCAAGCAATACATAAGCTGATGTAGGTGAGATTTTCACGGAGGTAACACCGCCTGCCGCCGTCTCTGCTAAGTGACACGTCTGGACAACACGGCCAAGCTGTTCAGGATCCAGCGATATCAAAGCTAGCCACGTTGACTGGTTCTCGGACGATAATCGTCCCCTTCGGTTGCGCTGATTCCTAGTGAATCGTGTCCGACTCAACGCGATGTTTGGTCGAATCTGTGAATATCTCTGTTGAGGGACGGCAGCGGGCGCGGCGGTACTCCGTGCTGGCTCCATGGCTGCAGTATATCGGTGGATGCTATGCGGTGGGTGCAGTCGTGGTCTCACACGTCGTATCTGTTGATTCATGTACTGATCCATCGTGAGGGATAAGTCTGCGGCTGCTGACTGCAGCGCTGCTAGCATATTTGGAGCACCCGTGTGCATACCAGAAAAAGGCACAAGTCGTGGCGGTGGCGGGTGAATGGGGAGGGATAATGGCATCGTTGTTGGCAGAGTTTGAGGAGCGACGCCGTTTCCTCTCGTCGTTCGTGCTGCAGCACCAGATGAAGAGCTGCTTTCATTTAACGTTGTGGCTTGCGGGTTCGATACAGATACGTCATTTACATCGTCGCTTGGACTCGTAGCGCCACCAGCGGTCGTCTCTTGTGTGGCTGGTACGGAGGACAGAATACTCTCCAGATCCGTAGCTGCTTCATTCTCTGCTTCCATCTCCACCTCCTTCTCCGCTTGCCGTAACGAAAAGTCTGCACATATTGCCAGGTATCGTCCACATCGTGAAATGTCGAAGCCACCGTCATTGTAAATGAGAGCATGTGAGAGAATCACGCGGCTGTTGTTCATTGCCTTTTTTGTCAGTAGCGGCTCTGGCGATAACGCCCATGACGGATCGAAGTCCCACATCGTCAAGGTGACCGTAAGATCTGAAGGTGGGGCTTGGCCTTGCGGTCTCTGCTCAACATTAAAACGATAACAGTTTGAGCACTTCAGCCGTCACAGGGCCCCATCGCAGGATAGTGACGTACCACATAGCGCTCATTGGCTTCTCCGACCATGATCTTAGACGGATCTGGCAAGAAGGTGACAGACCGCAAGGTCTGGTAGCTGAACATTGCAATCCGTGGGCAAGTGTGCTGTAAATCACAAACATACGAGTGAGAATTGAGTGTGAGGTGTTGTGCTTTGTAAGGTAGCTTACCTGGTAGTCCCATGTGTACACACATGTTCCACTAGCAATCGCCAAAATGTCGCCTGACGGATGGAAGGAAATTGAGATAATTGCGTGACGAAGTGTCGACACGTAGAGGCAGCGACCAGTCTCAATATCCCAAAACCTGCAAGCAATAACCAAATCAAACCAGAGAAACAGGTCAGCTTCGTGTCGTTACGGTCTCAGTGACCACGTTCCAGCCGTACCGAACTTGGAATCCTAGACAACCTGAAGCTACATATCGAGGATCCGTGGGGTGGAATTTGACACTCCAAGGAGTTCGAGGATGGCCCACCAATGTCTGTATAGCGCAGTCCGACTCGTGAGTTCTCCCGTACCGCAATGAATGCATAACCACCGTAGTCACCATTAGGTTTACCTGAATAACTTTGCCCGTTTCGATGCAAATGATCTTGACAGTGTGGTCTCCATGGGTCGAAGCGAAAGTTTTTCTACAACAAATAAATAAAAATACAACAAATAACTCAGCATCAAAGTTCCATCTTATACCTCATTCTTGCAAGCAGTGTACGTACCCGTCCGGACTGATAGCGATGGAGATCGTGGACTTTGTCGTCTGGGGCAACTCAAAGTAGCGACTCTGGTGCTGTTTCCACAACAAAAGAAAATAAAAAAAAGTAACACAAAAACTCCATGGTTAGCACAACCTGCTATCTCCTTCGCACTGCAATAGATCGCACCTTGGCAGAGCTCTCACTCTCGGCCCAAAAGCTTTCTTCCTTGTCCTCTCCGATGGCGCGCACAGTTTTCTGACGTCTAGAGCCACCAAACTCGCGACGAAGTAGCACACTGGCAATATTCTGCTGGTTCTTGGCGTGACGGAAGGAGTTCGGCACTCCAGGAGGGTTCAAGTCCGCAGCGGCACGCTGCCAGACCTTGGAATCCATTGCGGGCGCGCGGAATAAGACGCAGAGAGGGGGGAGTTTCGACAGCGGCGGAATCGACGGATTCCTGTCGTTAGCTCGTGACACAAAGCACCCGATGTGTCGTGGAGATGCAGGAGAATGGATCTCAAGTGTGGTGGGCGGTGGCACACGAGTTCCCTTGGTGTGCGGGGGTCTACTGCTCCGGCGTCTTAGTCGGACACTTTCTCGCTCTGCTCAAACTCACGCGATCACTTTTTAGTGTGGGAAACCGGAAGATTGACTGCTGCCACCGATGTCGATAGGTCCGCCACCATACGGTGACACAAGCTGGGTATAAGAGACAGTCAGCTGGAACATCAGTTTTACACTTGCACAACATCTAAAAACTCGTTTTTTTTTAAAAAGAAATTTCAAATGATAAAAACAGATTACATCGGGATACAGTACTAGGTAGTACCGTAGATGACATAAAAGACTGACGGATTTTACGCGTCTTCCAAGAACCGTGTATATACGCTCCCATTCTGCTCTTTGTTGGAAGTCTCGATTTTCCCAGCGTGCTGCGTTGTTACCACGACCTTGCGTTTCGGCAGATACACTCTGTATCCCTTCGTTTCTCCAAGGCCAGCAATCGCTCCTTCCTGCGCTCTCTGCCCAGAATACTTCTTGCGTGGGTCCCTATACACCGTACACGGCGTACCAATACTGCAATCTCCGACCAACGGTGTCTGCTTCGTCAGCATCTTTAGAGGCGAAGAACGTCCCGGGTTGGAGCTTGTCGGTGACCGGTTCAGAATGTGAGCTGCACATTGCACAGCATTTCCTCAAAAACCTTAATGAAAGCCCACACGCAAAAACCATGCAGCTGGTTATGTTTATTATGGTCCGATGCATGCGTTCCGCTTTGCGATTGTTCGTTTCTGATTTCGAGCCTTGCTACACTGGCATGCAAATCCGGTCCGCTTACAGAACAAGTCCACGTTTTCGTACTCGCCACCGGAGTCGGTCCGCAGAACATGGATCCTGCAAATAAATTTCTTCTTGTAAGAAGACCGAAAAATGCTCTACCTTCTTTGCCACACGGACCTTCGTCTTCACCAAGAAAACGCCGCAATCGTTCGTCTTGTGACCCACGAAGTTTATCATGTATTTGTTGTCCCTTGAGATGTTGCCATCTCACCCCGTAGACGTGATCGGTCGGTGCGATCAGACAATTCACGCGTCTGTAATCTTGACGCCGCACTGGGGGCACGAGCCAATCTCTCCACTGCGTCATAGTTCAGATGTCCCATCCTGCAATGGAATTCTCCCCCGGTGAACGTCGTGCAACCCTTCCGTCGGTCTCTCAGCTTTATCCGACAGTGCCTCCATGATCACACCAGACATTCGCTCCCGTGGTCTTATCACTGCTCCGCAAACGATTAATACATTTCTCTCCGCCCGCCATCCCTGGTCGCAACCACCCTGCGCCCGTCTTCGAGCGTCAGAGTCGAGCACTTCTCATTCAACTTCCAGCAGCAGATCCGATTGTGCACCATGCCGCTACCGTAATATACTTCGGTTAGCTTCAGTGTCTGATCCACACCACACACCGTCACCTTGAGCCTCGGTGTTTCCTTCTTGGTCATGTTCAGTGCTGCCCCGTCCGGCTGCGCCCACATCTGCACAGTTCTCGACCTGATTCACACAGGGTGGGTCGCTCACGAGGTTTCTGCTGGGTCCACTATCCATTATCCAGGCCCCATCCCTCGCGCACGACGGTTTGTTTACGGCGAGTGTGAGATCTGGCACGCGACCTCGACCTTGCACACGATCAGAGCATACACGCAGGTGCCCGACAGCACTGCACTCAGGTCTTTCCTCACGCACTACGTTTCCAACGGCTGTCACTACATCTCTCCTGACGTTTCTTTGTCTCAGTGGGTCCAACTCCCACGACTGCGCAAAGTGCGCTAACGCCTCCGCCTGTGTCAGGTAGTCCGCTTTACTAGCGTCCACCATGGTCATCAGCACTGCACAGACGCGTACTAAACAATATTGTTTAGCACGATGTAACCCGCCCCACCATAGCACTCCTCGGATATAGCGAGCATTTGCATGTAAAGATCCTGCCAGTGGCACCGCGCATTCTTTGAAGCAGTGAAGAGCGTCATTGTTTGGTAGGCGTGATGTTCGTCCTAAGCACCATCTACATGCGCTTCATGATGTTCTGAAATGCGACAACTGTGACCACCACAACTCCATTTGTTTGTGATAATACCGCTCGGCATTGCCGGATAGATAGTGCCCCAGCATATCAACCTTAGGATCTCCAGGCCATAGAAATCGACGCACAGACTGCGCAAGGCTGACTTGCCTCTCAAGCCGCCGCCCTATTCTAGAAAACCGGATCCAAAAGGCCCATGTCAAGCTCTCAACCATCGAATGGAGGACAGCAAGCTTCATTTGGCGTGTATCTGGATAGCCCGCGGCAGCTCCGACTTGTTGCTGTCCTGCGTACCCGTCTCCATCTACCGGTCCGCCTCCACCTCAAGGCAACTGGGGTCCGAGACCAGGATGAATAGCTCGCGCCGCAGCAAACAGTCGCCGAAGGTCCGACATCGGCATGCAGTGACCAGTCGACCGCTGACCGAAATACCATGATGGTATTGCCAGTCTGCGTGGCGTTGTCTTGTCCATCGATTGCGTCAATAAGCATTCTGGCTTCTCGATTGAGTCTTGACGCGAAGAGACTTGACTTGGACGGACTCATGGGGCGTCGACATCATGATCTCGCTCTTTTCCGACGGTTAATTTCTGTTCCAATTTTCCATGCAACCCCTCGAGTCGCTCAAGCCTTTTCGTGATACCTCGCATCAGTACGAGTAGCTCAGATGTGTCCCCTTTCGTGGGTCATGGCTGTACCATCGCCTCCTGTTCGAGCGATGGTTGTGCTCTAATATTCCTTGCCATTCTGATCCTAGCGTTATCAATGACGGGTGATGTGACCGGCTCGGTTCCTCCATCAATCCTGGACTCGTCCAATTCGTCATTCATTAGACCCTATAATCCCAAGATTATAACAGACTATCCGGAATTCTTATCAAACATACTAACGTATACCGGAAACCAGTACTTACATCTAGTATGCTGAGAAAAAGAGCACATATTTTCGCTTAAAAGATGTCCAAGACAAAACCTGTCCAAACTACTACCATTTGCAATCTCCCTGTAAAATCGCTACGTAAATATCCCACGACGGGACAACGTTTGCGCGTCCAAATGGCCATCATTCAACCGAATTGAAAAATCTCCATTCATTAGTTCTTTATTCCTCAAAGATCTCGTTAGCGACCGGTCTGCGATTATCGAACGAACCTAATCTTGCGCTGCAGGTTAGCAGGAAGTGCCGTCCCATCCTACCACGTCTGGTGCCACACCTTGTTTTAGGTAAGCGCACTACGGTACTTCAGCCTGCGTGCCTTGCTGCAAAAATCCAACCCCTCTTCTTGCGCGAGCACGTTGCGCAGAAGTAGCTAGTCTCGAAGCTGCGAACGCCTGCACCAGCGAAAGCTGAGCAAATTTTGCGAAGCCAGCCGCGTCGCTTAGCGCCATTTCCATCTCCTCCGTCTGCCCAAGAGTGTGCTTTTACTGTAGAGGGGGCTCTGTGACCAGATCCGCCATACCGTCGCCGGCATTGATGTCCTCGCTGATTTGGGTAAGTAAATCCACGTTAAGGTACCGTAAGAAATCGGCATGAGCTGGCACTGTCTTTTTTTTAATAGCTAGTTTATGCACAATAAATGCATTCACCATGGCGATATCCCCCAGCCTGAGAAACATCGCGCTGTATTACTTTCCAATTCTAATGCATCGCTGTATAGAAAAATACAGTAGTCTTAGCTGATCGTGCACATCAACTGCTACCATCAGCTAGTGGTAATCGCGCACCGGGCGGGGGCACGTCATCCGCGAGAAAAAAAACCACTTCGTTTGCGTCGTGACACTTGTGTGAGCCGTGTAGAGCAAGCCGAAGCGAGAAATCGGACCGGCTTACTGGTCATCCATGCCAGCGCAACACATTCAGGCTGGGCTTGCCACACACTAATCTGAAATGTTCCACGATCCATTCGCTTGTACTGGCGCTTTTTGTTTGAAATCGATTGCTTGACACTAGCCTTTGCAATCCTTGCGTATCGAGCCGATATAATAGTACCCCATAGTGAAGAGCTTGTACGATAACGAAATTGACGTGTCGATATTGTTGGTGCAGATCAGACGCGGGGACGGCTGTCCGCAACGCACATAAGTAGAATTTTTCACGACTGCTCTTTGGACAACAGCTTCTTCATCAACATTAATTTTTTCCATGGAAAATATCTAACCTAATTCAGTTATATCCGTAATATCGCAAGCCTTTTTTAAACGTATTACAGTAAACCCGGAACGAAATACAACGGATTCGCCGTAGCAACTTCGTATCTTGGACAGTACGTCGTCTTGGCACAGCAGGTCAAGTAGAATTTGGTGCCCCACTAGTTCAGCTTCATAGGCATGAGCTGAAGCATCAGGTTGCGGCAGTGGCGCATGGGAATAATGCATTCGTCAAATGATATACCCCCAGTCGATACCCACGAAAGGATAATATTTGTAAATAGTGGATGACAGGCCAAAACTTGAGCGGGCGGTCACCACTATCTGCCTACAGATCGTTGTCACCGAAGTGTAGATAGCGGGCGATATCTTCGAAACGATGGCGGCTGAAGAACTGGTCGAACGTGCCGCGAGACAAAGCGCCTTCTTCCTTCGTGACACAGATACGACGAAGGCGCTCCCGCCTTGGCCCAAGAGCACGCGCAATGAGAAGAGCAATAAATGGAGCAAGCTCATGAGGCTGGATAGAGCTCTTTCGTTGCAACTTTGTCCTGATTTTTTTTAATGCAGGTGCAGCAGTAGACGGAACAGTCGGAAGTCTTTGTAGAGCAGTTTCCATCTTGGCGGCATCATTCTTGGAACGTGAGGGAGTCTATTCTTGCTGATTGACTTCAGCGAGCTCTCGTTCCAAGAACTCTTGAGCGGCTTGCCGTTGCTGGTCGAAGGACGACGCGGTGAGCGGCGACGCCTCGACAACTTGCCAGGACACCGCCGCGAGGTGGTTGAGATCCCTTAACTCAGCGCGGGAGAGGTGGGGGAGCTGTCGTGCTCCATGATTGCTCCGATGGAATCGGATGTCAAGCCGTGCTGCATCTTGGTCCTTACTACAAA